TGGCGGTCGCTTTGGAGATTAAAATTAAGGACGTAAAACTGTTCGTTTCTCAATCGTTAAAGTTTTGGTCTCGCGGGACACACGAATCGGTGTCGTGGAAAGGGGGGAAAAAAAAAAAAAAAAAAAAAGAAATTATTGCATGAAATATTCTGGGTGATCTGAATCCTTCTCAAACCTCTTGGCCTCCTCTTGCATGCTCTCCTTGATCTTGAGGATGGCTGCTGACTCGGTCTGATCCTGCGAACCAACCAACACCAGGCCGGTTACACGTAAGGTTAGGCAAACCCGGGAGGGATACCTTACCAAGTATGCGCACAGCGTTCCACCAAGATCCGTTTGGCCCGAACGAACAATTTCGACAAGAATTCGAGTGACGAGTGAAACAATAATATCGGGGAGAGAAGGAAAGAGAAAAAAAAACAACGACAGAGAGACAAATGGAAAATAATTATGAGAAAAAAAAAATGACGAGAAATAAGCGAAGAGACAAAAATGGAAGAAAAAAAAAAGAAGTCGGATAAAAATTTCATTCAAAAAAAAATAATCGAGGCGGTAACGTTCAGAGTCGTGCGGATGTTTTTCGTGTGTAATTAAAAAAAAATATATATATATACACATACATGCGACCACGCATCAGGTGCGCCAATTGGTGGTGTGTGCATTTGAAATGCGTGTTCTCTCTCTTTTTCCTCTTTTATATTATCTTCCTTCCTCTTTTGTTTCTTTTTTTTTTCTTTTGCTCAATACATTAGGGCTCCACGCGATCTCGGGGAATAATGCTGTCCGGCATACGCGTAGCGCAGTGCGGTGGTGCGTTGGTGGGGCTAGGCTCGAGACAAGCTGGTACGAAGAACTTCACTTTAGAATGCATCTTTTTTTTTAATCTTTAATTACGTAGTTTCCCATTGCTCATTTTTCCATCCGCTCTCATTTCCATCTTTTTTTGGGTTTTTTTTTTTTTTTTTTTTTTCAGGGTGCTCTGACCCACAACACATGGACGTTAGTTTTGATAATGAAATTCCAAAGAGAAAAAAAGAACAAGATCAGAATAAGAGAAGCGTATGTATATCCAAGAATCGACTTCTCTTGTTACTTTTTTTTCTTCTTCTTCTTCTTCTTTACTCTTAAATAATACAGCTAGCAATCTCACCTACCCCCAAGACGCACACCTCACCGCCATCGGGCCGCCCCCATTTATTGCGCTCTCTCACTAGCCGCTTTCGAGTTTTCGCCAAGTCGTAAAAGTAAGATCTACCTCGCATTTTTACTTTTTCACGCATCCATGTGCTACAGGTCAGTACAGGCTAGTACTATATGGCTACCAACATTGTTACGCGAATATTACGGATCCTGTGTTTCACGCCGAGACTGGATTGCGGTAAAAAAAATGTTTCCAAAAAAAAAAAGTTCGAAAAAAAAAAAAGAAAGAAAATTTGACTCCAAGACCTGGGTAACGTGTGAGAGTGGGAAGAGGGGATACGGGGGCACGGAACAGGGGGAATAAAATGTACGTGACGAAGAGTGGAAAACGTGAATTTTTTCTACGAGACATTTGGACCCATTCTCTCTTTCTCTCTCTCTCTCTCTTTCTCTTGCAACGGGGAATTTATTTTCACTTTCAGTCTCTTGGTGCGATTATGTAAATTGGAGATTCTTTGTTTTTTTTTTTTAATAACGCAGTAATATCGACCTGGAGGAGAGTTCGATCGAGGATGAAATCGATTAAAGAACGTTTCGACATGAAACACCTGATCTGTGAATATAAAAGGAAATGAAAAAAAAAAAAAAAAAAGAAGAATATCGTGAGACGATATAGAGATAGATATACATATACCAGCAGCCAGCACCCTGCGGGTAACAACAAATAAAAACAAAACGCAGTATCTCAAAAAAGAAAAAAAAAAAAAAAAAAAAAAGAAGAATATCGTGAGACGATATAGAGATAGATATACATATACCAGCAGCCAGCACCCTGCGGGTAACAACAAATAAAAACAAAACGCAGTATCTCAGTGTAACAGGATTACATTTATTGTCACGATCTCCCTGGCGTAGGCATATTATTATGTAATCAGGCGTATATAGCTTACAACGTGGGAGTAATGGAGTAATCAGTATTAAAAGTACCAAGGTGCGTTTACACTTCAAGTTTACACTCTCTCTCTCTCTCTCTCTCACATAAAATCTATCTTTCGCTCTCTCTCGCTCGCTGGTTACCATCTCACCGTAAAAGACGAGGCGAAAAAAAAAAAGGAAGAAAAAGAAAAGCCCTATATAAATTTCCAAATTACGAGAATCGAAAACTCGATCGATTTTTCGTTAATTTATTATATTTTATCTTCAACCCTTAACGTCACGACCCGTGTACAATTATTACAAAATTCCTGAGCTTGTTTGCCACTATATATGAAAAAATGAAATTTTTTTTTTTTTTTAAATACTACCGACTACTAAACCCGATAATAATTTGCCTCCTGCATTCATTTAAATCGATCCAACCCTGTTACGAGTCATTAATAAACGAATAATACAGATTACGCTAAAAGTCAGAAGTGCGTTAAATCTTTTTGTTTCTGTCAAATTAAAAACAATTCGGAATTTGTTAACAAAAATTTACCGATTTTCCCTCTCACTTTATTACTCCCCTTTATCTCACTCGCACTCTCTCTCTCTCTCTCTCTCACTCTCTCTTGTCGAAGTGCACGCTCGCCGGTCAGTACGGACGTTCGGATCGAGCAGCGGAGCAGCAGCACACAAATTCACGTGCCACGTGTCACCAATCAATTCGTACAAGTGATCCCCCCCGCCCCCCGTATCTTTAAAGGAAAAAATGCCTGGCGGACGTCGCGCAACTTTTTGTTCATCGTCTCGCCCGAAAAGGAAGATTCCCAAAAACCAAGCGAAGTAAACGAAAAGTAAATTGTCCCCCGGACCCATAAGGACTAGCGGGAGAGATCGGAAGGATGTGAAAAATATCAAGCGAGATACTGGCGTGTCTGGTTTGGCAAATTAATAAACAAAACAACAACAACAAACAAAAAATAAAGCTGCAACGATCGACAAACATTCAACAAGTTAATCGACGGACATGAAAACTGGTGCGAAGGTGACGTGATCGTACATGAAGTTGAAAGGAGTAGATCCAAAAACAAAAATGGCCGACAGCCAATTACCGATTCGAGTATCGCAAAATCTCCTACAGCAAGAACCTTGAACAGTAGTACAGAAAAAAAAAAACCAGCAAGAAAACGTATCCACGGATCACTCGTTAACGGTCCAATCGCGACACGATTATATACATATATATATTAAAAAGAAAAAAAAAGAGACATTTCATAAAAGACCCATTCATTGCCGCAAGCTCCGAACGGCTGCACTCGGCAAACGATAACGGCACCCCTTAGCTTCGTCTTTACATGAAGTAGTCGCCACTACGGTTTAAGTATCGTAAGTTTTTAAAGTAACTAAATAGCAGCACAGCAATAGTCTTGTACTGACCTATTAACACTTGCGGACGGACGTATAATAATTCCATTTTTCTATCGATTCATAAATCTTATCCGTAATCCGCTCCAATACCTTTATATATATATATATATTTTATATATATATATACATATATAAAATCCCACGTCATTGTGTATCCTCCTCTCTCTCTCTTTTTCTCTTATCTTATACCTCTCATTCTCTCTCTCACTCCCTTACGTTTCGCACTTCCTCCATTGCATAGCTTTTATTCGCTTTTCCTCCGTCATAGGTCCAGTACTTGCACCGTCTACGTCTTCTTATATCCATACAAAAATAGTAAACGCTTCTGTTTTTCTTTTTTTTTTCTATTTTTACCCTCCCCCACCCTCCTCCTCCTCCTTTAAATAACATCCTTTTGCATTTCCTCCAAGTCTATCCTTATAGCGTATACGTTGTGTCTAGTCGCGTCGTCTAGTCATTGTCCTTGAACGCACGTGCATGGTAACCGTCGCCCCCCTCTCCGTCCCTTCTGTGCGAGTCTTCAACGGGTGCTGCCAAAGGCATTTGCTTCGCAAGTGCCTGTTATACAGTGTATCGCGGTGTGATGCGAAACGTTCATGGACGTCATCGTTAATACCGAGATAAAAGCAGCAAAACCGGGTTGTTCCTTGTTATCGACGCGACCAAAGAAAAAAAAAAAAAAAAAACCACGATCAACGCCAGTTCCCGTCTGCCGTGCATTTATGGCACTTTCTTTACTCTCGTCTCTTTCTCGACGTCGTCGACGGAGCTGCGACGGCCCCACGATGACGTGTATCGACGCTCGATGACGTTTCCGCATAAAATCTCGACTGTCCATAATTATTAACATTTACAAGTATTTACTACGTGTCACGTGTCAACTCGTACATATCGCGTGTGCGCGTGTATTTCTCGAGCAGTGTATAGTGTGCGACCACGTGTTGCATATATACATATATATGCAGTGTCGATTACGCGTGTTCGCGAAAATATATGAAAAATTTACTAGTAACAAACGAAGTAGGAAGCAGCGAAATAATGAGGGAAAAAAATAAAATGACAGTATGGCTTACGGATCGAACGAATCTGTCTCTCTTTATCTCTCCCCCCCTCGAATGATCGGCAAGTACATCCATGAATCGGTGCTGCTGTCACCGCGAGCAATATCTAATTACAAGATTAACAGTAGAGAAAGATACGTAGATACAGAGAAACGGATGAGAGAGAAAAGACAGAAAAAAAATCATTATAGACAATATATATATATACACACACACGACGTGGTACAAATCGCGTCCGTCGTACAGAATCGATGGTCGGCATATATATATATATATATATATAGGTATATTATAATAATTATCATAGTAGCGATTATAGTGCATTACAATTATCGATGTAACGCGAGTAAAAATTCAATTGAGCAATTTGAGCTGCTTCAGCTCCCCCGTTCGGTTTGTTGCGTGTGGGTGTTTCTTTTTTTTTTTTACGTACGTATATGCGTAAGTGACAGAGTGCGTAGTGTTATTGGGGTACCCATCAGGCATTGCGACGCAAATTACCCGAGTCGCCGTGCCCGTGTACCTTGTGTCAAATAGTGTATATATATATAAATATACATATACAGGTATGTGAGCAAATAGTGGAGGGACTCAGTTCTGAGTTTTATCGTCGACCTGGCTCACTCGTCGTCCCATTCGAGAGAGTCTGCGCATGCGCGCGCGTGCCCTCTTGTCACGTTAATAAAATAGTTGAGAGCATCGCGCGAGAACGCGGCAATTTACAATGAGGGAGAAGAAGAAGTAATAAAAAATGCATCCACGGTCAAAAAATATTTCGTGGGACGTTACGCGTAAAATAATGTAAAAAGGATGGGGCGGGAAGGGAGGACTTTAATATTAAAAAATAAATAACGAACGAGGAGGTTTTTGGTCTTTTGGCAAGAGAAGGCGGCAAGAACGAGCAGGACGTTGATGTGGATGATGAACATTGAGGATGCTTAAGATTTTATGGGAAAAAGTTGAAATTCATAAATTATTATGTCCGTATAAATATATATATAGGCAATAGTGTATATACATGGAAACGGAGTTCCCGTTGATTGTCCTGTAGGCCATTTTGTCATAGACGTTGTATGAGACTCCTGAATGGGAGGACGAAGATGGGTCTCGGCCGTTTACTGGTTTTTTTTTAGTCCAGTATCACGAAGGGTATTGGAAAAAAAAGAAAGAAAAAAAAAAAGAAGAAAAAAGGAATTCAATTGGCGATTATGCGACGAAAATCACAGTAAATGGACAGTAACGAATTAACAGCCTTTTCTCGTATTCCTTAGGCACCCTTTCGCTTACGAGCTAATGTCAAATAAATATAAATAAAGTGCAATGACAAAAGCGCTAACTAAGAGAAGATTAAAATCTTGACAATTAAAGGTATGGCGGTATAACCATAATAAAAAAATATATAAGTGTATATACCCTATATATATATGCGTACAAGCGTGCCTTTCTCTCTCTCTCTCACTTTCTCTCTCCTTCTCTTTTTGCACGCAGAAATCGTACGTATATATATATATTATGTTTTTTTTTGCAACCTTGTGAGTATTAGCGAAGCATATACATAGTGTATGGCGGGAGTGGCAACTAAGTATCATTTAATAATTATCATCGTAATTGTTCCTTAAATGCTAACCTAACGGAGCAGTGTGGATTGATAACAAAGAAAAGAAAAAAAAAACATGGATAATGGGATGCATTATCGAAATCGTTTCTTGTTTTTCTTTTTTTCCTCTTTCGCACAACTTGCCACGAAGAGGAGAACGACTTGTGTGTTATTCATTGACGAACCCGTTCCCGTACAATAATGTATATGAGCTCGTCAGTCATTTGTATCATCTTCTTGCATTACGCAATTAACTGGGAGACTTTCGACGTGTACGAACTTCGAGAGCTGGGTCCGAGGCGTGTACTCGAGATTTAAAAAAACTGTCGGGAATACAAAAAAAACGAGCACGAAACCATTATTTTTTGAGGTCCAGACTGAGGGATACTCTTGATTGTGGGGGCGGGAGGGTGATGGGGGGAGGGGGAATAGGGGTGTCGTGACAATGATAAGTAGTAATTACAAGTAGTAAAGGAAAGGTATACCCCATTATGGGTATAGTACGCTATAATGACAATTTAAATCGTAATCGCGTGGAACTCTTTTGTATGTAAGCCTTCAGGAATCATTCGCAACATGGCATATTCGTAGATTATTATTATTGTTATTATTGCTCGAAACACGTGGCAAACGCGAAGTAGAAACGCGCGCCATGTTTTATTCGTAAGGTGGAGAACAGAAGGGAAAAAAGGAAAAAAATTAAAAGAAAAAAAAATTGGAAATGATGTTAATAATGGGAATGAGAAATATATATATTAAATCTAAAAACCCTTGTTAATTAGAGTTGCCAATTCGATGCATTCTATTGAATCTCAAAGTAAACGTGTTCTGACTTTATTTATCATTGACATTGTCACTCGACTGTTGACTATTCCAGAGGCTGATGTAACTGGGGCAACACTGTTACGCGTACGAGATATAGGATGAACACTTCGAACGGAATCGTTAAAGGGAAAAAAAAAATTATTTATCGAATGATGATAGCTGATCGTAATTTCATACAGTGTGATTAATGGATTGGAATTGAAATGCAGCACTGAAAAACCAATTGAACGAAGCACGAGGTCTAATGCGACTGTACGAATCATCGAATGCGGGCTAATTGTGAATTTTGTTTACGATAAATTTGATCGTTAAGGGGAAAGAATATATTTTTCGTGAAAGTGATCATCGCAATCCTGGTTCATGAAGCGATCATTATTTATGGAGATTCTGGCTGAATTTTCGATTCTAACTGTATAGATCAAAAGTCTATTCTTAGGGATTCATGGCATTGTTGCCCATTTTTAAGCCAGATATCATTGAACGCGCCTACCGATTATTTACATATAGGTCCAGGATTATGCTAAGTGACTACTACAGGGAGTCGTTAAAGAACCTGCTGATACTTACGTTCTCGCCACCGCCGAAACCACCCAGATTATAATCACCCATGCCGCTGCCACTGTCTTCCCGTGGAGTACCGGGACCACCATTGGCCGGACTGTTTTTCATCCCATCTAAACCGTCACCATTTAGTACCTGACCCATTGTATTAGGGCCCATCGGACCCATGGGACCACCTTCCGGTCCACCGCCCATTGGAAAATCCTAAAATAATAGTAGAAATTATTAAGAATTCATTGCGCTTGCTAAGCTTCAAGATATTGGAGCTTCTAATTTGGATTTCTGTGAGGACTTTCTTTTTTGTTTATCCATAATATTCGAGTGCTTACTCCAGGCATGTTTCCTCCAGGAACTGGTTTCATCATAGTGTACATATTTTCGCCGCCGCTGTTACTGCTATCCTGTGGACTGGGCATGATCGGTGTACCTGGTCCGGGTGGACCAGTGGAACCTGGTGGTCCACCGTAATTGCCTGGTGACGACGACGAATAGTTCATAGGCTGTAGGGCAATGTCAAATTGAAAATAATTACCATATACGAAGTTCGACAATATTTGTTTTTTTTTTTGTACTGTTGCAACATACCGTCGATGTGTTTGGTTGCCACTGTGGTCTTCCAGGTCCTGCCATGCTCATAGGTGGCATACCGGGTCCACCTGGACCACCGGGACCTAAACTACTATTCGGAGGTGGTCCTCGCATCCCTGGTGCATAATTTCCTGGACCCATTGGACCCATTCCAGGCCCTCGTGGTGGATTCATACGTGGATTCATTGGATTCATTCCTGGTGGACCTAGGAGAAAATAATTTAATAATTTTCATACACCTGGACGCCAAGCTACACTTCTATTACTAATATAGGTTAATGCTAAACCGCTAATCGCTAATACGCTGATTGCGAGCGAAGAGCTACTTCAATCCACACAAACAATTGGCTCCCATATATATAATTGCCTTTTATTCTAAGAGTACTGTAATAACCCTAAGTAGCATTCGCGTAGATTCTTATCACTCTTTGCCAGAAATCAGCAACAAAGTAAAGCGAATAATGGGGTGACATGCTAATGTAGCAAAAGTATTCACACAGATTAACACAGTAGAAGGCTCATGCTCAAGACAGAAACAAAACTGCGAGGATTACCGGTAACCTTCTATTCTTGTACACGGAAAAAGAACTGTTTTAGATTTTATTAATCATTGGTGCTCCAATTAAATAGTACGAGGTAATAACGTAAATTAACATAGTCTCTGTCTTATTTTGTGCCTTTTACATTAACGCTGCTATATCAGAGAAGCATGTCGGTAGGATTAATTATTTTTTAATTATTAATTATCCTACACACAAGGTAGGATTAATTATTATTTTCGTGTACGGTTAAAGTGACTTGGAATTATCATCATCAGACCATCGAATTTTCTCACTCGAGTGTAACGTCAGGTACAAGATAATTGAGAATATTTACTTTATCGATTCTGACCCCTCTTGCGAGTCTTTCCAATAATAAAATAAGTCTTTCGTGGTTACGTAACGTTTTGAAACGAGCGTAATATGATAAAAAACAATAAATGAAATCACAATTTGGCTTTTGCTAAAATAGTCATTGCGATTCTTCATGCTAGATGCAAGAATGTCTGGAGGAGGAAACGTTTGCGGTAAAACAAAGCTAGTGCGATTGTCTGTGAAGGAGAGACAAAAATTAGAATGGAAGGTATTAAAAAAAAAGACGGTAAGGCTTGACTAAGTCATGTGAGTATGATTCGGTTGCTGGGTTGCTTCCTACCTTGCCACCCTACAAACTCTCCAGCTTCGCCTGAGGAACACAAGAGCACACATTAGTACGCCAGGTAGGTAAGGTCAGGTTGATGGTGGTAAGACTAGTTATTTCGCAGTGGTATAGTGAAATCTCTCTCCTTCCCTCTATCTTTATATGGATGGTTTTGTAATGCTAACTCCATAACCATGAAGTGATGACTATATCATGCGAAAGCCCTTTACATGATCTCTGACCTTTTGTGAACTTGTGAACACTTCAATTATAATACAAAACTACACAGTGATACCGTGAGATGGGTGGCAGGTGTTAACTTAAGAATTTTGTGGGATGTAACCAGATTACAATATTTTCTTGGAGTAATCTCATTGATCAAGACAATATTCTTGTTGCTGATACAAATTTTGTAATATTTGTTAAAGGAAATTTAAGTAGTATGACATTACTTGAATCTACCTCGATAGGTCTGATCCATTGTAGGTTTGTCAATTAATGTAATTCCACCTTGTTTTTAATGACAATACCTCATTTATTGGACCATGAATATCTCTTATCCGTACACACTTGACACATGAACTATACCACTGCTTGTAACTAGACAGTTCAAAAACCAATCCACTCCACATCACAGCAATCCAATCCAATTTAAAAGTTACTTCTTTGTTTATTGCTGTGTGGTTTTTGATACGCATGCTTATAATGCCATTCTCCTCTCGCAACGCTCATCAATGCCAAAAAAAAAGTAAAGAAAACTTCTATCACCATCAGGAACACTCACCTTGTCTGGTGGGGTCCATGCTGTTTGGCATCATCGGTTGCCCTGGTGGCTGAGGAACCAAGAAAAATGATAAAATCAAATTCAATTCTCGAGCTTTCAGTTGCATACGTTAATCTTGACTAATTTTTAATATTATCAAAGTTTCAAGCACATCGATGCACTTACCCCATTGAAATCATTTCCCATTTGTGGCATGCGTACTCCAGGTCGTGGTCCAGCAGGATACCTTGGTCCCATAAACTGCAACAAATGCTAGTTTGCTTAGACAAAAACTTTCATAGCAAAATTAAATATGAATCTTTCTCTCTTTCCAGTTACCAAAGATTTGACAACAGTCCAATTAGTATAAGCTACAGAGTTAACCACATAGATACCAGAGGACAAGCACAGTAAGCACTTGACAACATGATAGGCCATATAATATATAAACTTCGCTAAAGAAATTTTTCAAGGTATTATTATTGTTTGGTGTAGTACAACACCTGTCAATTGCATATGTAAAGTACATGCAAACTGTACTTAGGTTATTACATAAAAAAATAGTGCATTTTGAAGTAACTATAAATATCTATTGCATTTGACAGGACGAAATAAATACGTGATATTAATTAATGACCAACGCACATAGAAGTAATGTTGCGAGCAATGCATGTAAAAGAAAAATATAACCTTACCTTTTCACTACGTGGAATCAGTGCCACAACAAACTTAAAATTAGTGTTACATCACAAACTCCCATAGAATCATTATACATTGTTTCCCATCCTCTTCTCCCACTTGTATCTCCTGAATCATACAGACATTCATAATTCTAAACTTACCTCAACGAATTGATGCTGTAGTGACCAAAAATTGTACAAAAGTCGATTCGTGCCATCATCGCACATAAACTATCAAGACTTCCTAAAGTGAGAACCAAATAACGTGCAATAAATTAGCACAGTTTAAAAAAACCACGAATCGACTTCAGTATCAACCATTATTAAACCGTGAAATCGATTTCACAAAGGACCAAATTCAAAGTAAAAAAAAACTCAGTCACAAGGATTCACAACCAAAATAAAAACCCAACATTAGGACTAATAGTTTCTCGTCTGCTTCTGTTAGACCCAGAAAAAAGAAATCAAGACAACCCGACCGTTAAACATACAAGACAATAGAATGCAATTATTATGATTAGTTGAAAACAGGAAGCAAGAGAACAAGAAAGACAGAATATTTCAGTGTACGATGATGCGGCGTGTCATGATAGCGGAACAAGTGATTTTCCATGAGTGAGAGAGTGTATGTGTCGAATGACGCTTACCTGGGTGGACATCATCTGCGAGTGTGGGGGCGGGGGTGGCTGGGGGTGCTGGGGGGATGGCTGTGATGAGGGGTGTGTGGGCGGAGATGGTCGCATTGTCGAGTTGTTCTGCAACAAGCAATGCAAACGACAGACATGTAGCAACACTGCGATCCAGGCAACAGCTAGACTAGAAGGCTCAGGGTGGCTGCATTAGGATGTCAAGATCCGTATAGGTTATACAGTGGCGGTATACAAGATTATTTGTCTCCTTCATGAAATGATTCAGTGCACAGAATCCAGACGTCATCCATAATTATCATCATTGCATTAAATGCCATTTTGTTTTTTTTTGTATTCAAAATTTTTTTATGTTTACAACCACTGTATGATATTTTGGGAATGATCACAAGATCCACCATCGACTAGTGAATTCTTGGTGGCGAGGAAGGTACATATGAGAGACGCCACATTGTATGTACAGTTTGTACATATATGTGTATATATATATATATATATAACAGTAATGTATAATCATGAAAATAATAATGGATGCGATCATTCTTATCTCGCATGGGCACCTTACTCTAGCGTTATGCCACGTAACATAGAGGAAAACTGAGCAAGCAACATACGCACGATCAAATTTCTCTTGTATGATGGTATCTTTTTTTGCTTTTCAATTATCTTTAAGATTTGTTTTTCCTTTTGTAAATGCAATTATTTACGACGCAACAATATATTGTTACTCAAAAGATGGTCTGTACGTTAATACTTTTTTTTTTAACTGTATGCGAAATTATTGATATTAGAAAAACACGAAGAACTGCTTATATCAAAGTTTGCAACGTAAGTGCACAAATACTTGAAATTTACGTCAGATATTTTTTTTTTTTTTTTAAATGATATTTACCAACGTATCGAGCTTTTCTTTAAATTTTAAATTCAAGAAGAATCTCACCGTTAGATCCTAGTTAGTGACTATTCTATGGTCTTTAAGGACTATCGCTAATCTAGTACATCCAGATAATTCTTCTTTGGTTGTTAATTCTATGACTGTCTTGGCGTAGCAAGAAAATAAAACAGTAAAAGTGATACATGAACGCACATATAAGAGTTAGATACATAGCAGAGTAAAATTAAGTACATAAATACAATAGTAGACAAGCATTGGAGTAGTTTTATGATATTTCTTATCTAAAACGTTAGCCTGTTTTTGAGACGCTCTTTGACGGTGTGAATTTACACAGATGACAATGGAATAAAAAAGTTTGCCGATTGAACATTAAATAACAAATTTGTTTCAATGAGAAATATATTGATCATTGTGTAATGTTGCTTATGAGAATCAATTTGTTTTTATTCGCACAATTTTACGTCCTTTTCTCTCTTTACCCAGAGGTCTCTTTCACAGTTAATTCTCCTTGTTCGACGTGGTATATAACATGGTATCTCCTACCTTTTTCTGAAATACTGTTACAGTTACTGTTAGAATTTACCGTTATAACTTTATACTTTATTGCTATATTGGGTATATATAATAAAGCAGGCGGCTTATTTTCAATGAAACAATATAAACGTAAAATTGAGTTTCTATCACATTAAATTACAAACAAACTGTGAAAAATTGCTAATGCATAAAAAGGAAATGTAGATTTAATATTTGATAGAGTAGATAGTAAATATTATATTCTAAAATCAAGTAACGTGATGATTGTATCACCAATCCGTTATTATAATTACACTAGACACTGGCTGATCATCAAACTGAAATTACCTTCCATTAATAATGTATACAGTATTATTTTTCACTTGGATATCTTCTGTATAATTTTGTAAATATTTAATTAAAACATTTGGATGCTTGTTATTAAAAAAGAGCTGCTACACTCAATTTCGATAATCTTATGGAATCCATCATAGAAAAATACGCCGCGTGCTTGTCATTAAATTATTTGACACCCCATAAAATGTATGTTATATTAACACCGTGCAGAGTGACTATAATTAAGAAAATGGATGACCATGCACCCTTAGGACGAAATGTGCATACATTTAATTATATGAACGTAATATCGTAAAATTTCATGAATCCCATGACGGACAGAAACACGGGTTTAAATCACAGGAATAAGAAAAAGAACAAGAAGAGTGCATCGATATAAACTAGATCGATAAAATTGATCGTTGGATATAAATTATCTAATAAAATTCTTCCATCGATCCTTCATCCGATTCGTTTACAATGATCAAACGAAAATCAGGGAGCGTATCATCGACATAAACGTAAAGGACGTGGACGAGGAGTAAGAAAGTGTTAATTATGTTAAAAGAAAGCGAAAAAAAAAAAACTTACTGGAAAGAATCCAGGAGGCATCGGACCGCCAGGCATGCCATCGTTTGGCGGCATCTGCCCAAGTGGAGATGGGGCTGGTCCGGCATTCTGCAATCATCTCTCAATTACATAACAGCTATTGACAAAAAAATGTCAAACTACCGACGCAGCTCCGTTTTGAAAATACTCGACTGTATTGTGATAGGCATTACAGGATAGGTGAAAGTTCACTCGTCATTTTTTTTAGTCTAATGGTCAAGATCAGCTAAGAAAACAGCTTTTCGTTAACTAGATTAGTTCTTATGTACGAATGATATCAACGGCGATTGTATGATAATAACGATAATAATAATTGGTACGTAGTGACTTTATATTATATGGCCAGCAAGAGCATATCAGTGGTATTAGTACCAGCAGAAAAAAAAGAACAGAAATTTAACGAATTATCATTGCGAACAGTTTAGGATAGCCCCGGGTTACTAGAGAAACGTGAATTGTTAACGCGTCTATATGTTTACTTACGTGAGCAATCCCGTTCACTCCATAACCGCTATTTACGAATCCCTGAAATTATTAGACACATCATTAGAGAACAGTATTATTTGAATGAGTTATCTTATGCCGTTTTCAATTGTGTCTCTGTAATACTCACATAATCATGGAAAGCTTTGGCCTCACTGCTGTGTTCGCATGTGTCGCGACGTTCTGGTGCCGCGCAATAGAGATCCCAGAATACACTGAAACAGCACAAGGTTTCATATGATTTTTCTTACAAGACGAAAACTCGTCAGACTAGAATATTATGAATTCCAGTATTGAACTTACCACCACCATGAATGTAAAAATCCAGGTGGCTCCCCTAGCGTTATGTTCTTTTCCCATCGAATCTGTAAAAGAACAGAAAAATTACGATTAAATGCGACTGTAAAATGTATACATTATTTTCACTTGAGCCGTGCACTGTGAAAAGCATTGATTATGTGTAAAAAGACAGAAAAAAACATTTTGCCACCATACCTCGGACAGAAATGTTTGCGCAGCTTTTTGTGCGCCTACGTGAAGCAGGTATTCATATACATATAGTGCCAACCTGAAACAAAAAATATAATAGATATATAACACGATAATCAATAAGCATGGTTCAATTAGCATTAATGCAATATATGAATATCTACAACATTAAAATCACACTGCATATTGTAATTATATTCTTTTTATCTCACTAAGCAGTTCACATGCTTTTAGACAGATGGCAAAATTCTCATGAGATACAGTATTCGCATCGGTTATAACTTTCTCGAAAGTCTAGATTTTTATGCTCGTGAACTTTATGGATTGGGATTGGCTTCGAACGAACAGCAAGGAAGACGTGATGTCGCTGTACGACGATAGTATCCGATATCCTGAGTCTAAACAGCGCCACTTCTTAATATAATTCATAGAGTATGTACCGATAGTATCAAACAATAAAATAATGACGATTAACAAGAAAATTAAATTAGTAAATAAAATTAGTTTTAGTAAGTCAGGAAAATCACCGTGAAAATTTCCATGAGCAACAGTGACTGAATCATTAATAACCGTGGCGTGGCACACACTTAGTTCAGGTAAATCAAAATGAAATTGTAATTTCCTCTAATTCAATTAAGTCTGGATAAAACAAAGCAGACAAAGGACGGAAATGTATCTCGGCCATAGAAACGGTATTATCGCGTCACCTCAATTCTTACCAAGTAGTAAATTTATCTGTCAATCATATATCTGTTAATGAATGAATAATATATATATATGTTTATACAACAATAGTATAAGGAACAACAATAGTACAACAATAGTATAAGGAAAAAAATTAATATAACTAATACATACTTTTCTCTTGCTTGAGCATCTGAGGGTACAGTAGACCCCTTACCCTTGGCGTACATCACAGCGGCTTGTCAATCTATCCACTGTAAACACAAAAGTCGGTCTCGTGCCAATGGTGATAGTACACCTCGTTACGAGGACAGTGAGAAGTAAGAGGGGCAGACGTGAAGGAGAAAGCGGAAAGGGAGAAAAGGAAGGGAGGAAAAAAGAAGGAAGAACGCCTCCTGGCGTTCTGCTAAACCGTCGAAAATTCAGACAACACGTACTCCAATGTATGACTGTGAACTCGAACTCGAGATACGAAGATATCCTCGCGTCTAAAACACTTCTGGTAGATTACACCTTTGTAAGTGAATGTCAAAACGCGCTCAAAACTTCAGTCTAGAGCAACGCCGCTCCTCGTGTCTCCGATTGCGGGCTTCCGTCCGCAGGGCAAACGTGCGACCTCATCGCTCTCGACGGCTGCGCGACAACGATGATTTCGTAGACTTCACTGATACCAATTGAACCACCTTTCTCCACTTTTCTTTGCCTCTCTACTGTCTCGCAGTCTTATTACAAGCAGAACTCTGTTCTTGAAGTATTCACTGATCCTTAGTCTATTCAAGATACGCGTCTCTCTTTCTTTCTCCCTCTCTCTCTTTCTAAAAACCACGATGGCAAAGTTATATACCAGTCTTCAGAAAATATCTAGCGTCACTGTACATATACATATATATTCACACCGCACTGTAGCGTCGCACTTCACAGTACCTTATAGCATCGTACCATAAGCACTGCTTCTGCCTTTAGTTTATATTCTCTGTTTGACTGACTTCAGTCCTCCATACGTCGTTCCTTCTTGTTGCCGTCGTTATACCGCGTCGTTCTGTCGTCCTGTCGTATCTGTTTTCACAGGGTCGCTCTCACACGCACGAGATCCGTATGGCGCGCATCACACCGGTTTAATGTATTGGAGGTGGAGTAGCTCTGGCACATACAACAAACGACGCCTGCGTCTCTCTCTCTTCACTATTCACGTAGCCACGACGTCGTTCCGGGGCGGTGCATGCTCTTGCACGCGCCGTTCAACGCCGTTCGGATATACAGTCACGTAGTGATACAGGTAGAGAAACTTTCATGGATATTGGCGATGCGCGCGCAACTTTATTCTTCAGGACAGACACGTACCTAGATAACAATGTGCCCTGTAACAACTTTTAATTATTCTTTCGTATTGTTTCGGTGGACAATCCGAAAGCTTTCTTCGAAGGCATTTTCTACAATATTCTTTGAAATTGTTAAAAATTCTTATGATTATTCTAAGTTTATTAGCTCTGTTTTTTATACGTATTAATTGATTATCAGATTTGATTGTTTGAACAGCTTGACCTCGGTCTTGTGCCGATCAATTTTTGCTGATACGGTATTCTTTGGGGACTTTACGTGGAGAACGGTTGCTCGTATTATAGATTACAAATGAATTATTTATTTATATTTGTTTTACGCTAATTGCTTTTTAATTTATCACAAAGGGAAATGGTTATCTTTTTAGTATGAAATTAGCTCTATTCGTTATAAAACATTTAAGTGGAGCTTACACGCTAGAGAGTAAGGAAAGGAATACTTTAGTATGTCTACGTTCCTGATGGTAATATGCACGCGATTGGCCAGTTTGTTTAACGCACACACTAAAGAATTCCCATTTGCGCACACGAGCTCAAGAGGAATTGGTATGCGTAACTGGGGTGGGGATTCGATTATAGCCGAGTACGTCCGGACATAACCGAAGTGAAAGAGTCAGGAATTGACGAGGCGCTGAGCGTCCGGGAAAGGGAGACATTGGGCTCTTCTCTCCGGTGCACAGCTTCCCCATTTTCAATTTTATTTTTACATCGACGTATCGTGGTGCGCGAACAAAGACTTCCTTCCGCGCATTGGAGACGCCATTCATTCATAACGAATTTTTAAGACAATTTCTATAAGACTCAGCGTTATGAAATAGGAAACTTTTATCGGTTAAGAAGTAGCAATTCAAATATGGATGAATTCTAGTGGTAGTAATGAATTTTCAGAAAGTTATATAGAGTTATAGTTATATTCTTTCTTTATATAGAGCTGTCTAACGACATGGATGGTCCTGGTACTGTTACGTGGGAAGAATTCGTCAAGGACGCCAAAGACTTGGTTCGAAGATCCACTGAAATTTCAGATAATTGGGAATTTCAGGGAGATAAGGTAACTTTATTAAGGTTATTTGTGCATATATAGATATGCAGGATACTTGTTTGTTTCTGTTATACCCACTGATGGGTGAATTTCTTCGTACATGACTCATAGATTCGTCTTTTCACTGCATAACTTGTAGTACGAGTCTGATCTAGATTTTCTAGTGATATCAAAATTCTCAAATGCGATGTTATCGCTTATATAGAGTCTGATTGACAAATGATTTTCAGTATTTTAATTCAACATTAATTTTAAGGCCGCTTGTATTTTTGTTTATTATTATGAATCTTTGCTTCTATAAGGCAGAACCTGGACAGGCTTATCTCGTTCGTCATGCGAAACTTTTCATTCCTCAAGATCATCCTTTAAGAGATGACGACGAGACTACGGAAATTGACAAAAGGGATGAACTCTTGACAACTCTTCGTGAAGATCCTTTCGAAGCTCCTGGCGAAACGGAGAGTCCTTTGATTATGGAACATCATATTCTATGGTCCATAAGTTACAGCGTTCCGGTGCTCTTCTTCAACGCCTGGAAATCTGGCAAGTAAACATCCCGGGAAGATCTACATAAAAACTCACGTTTGGATAGCATGAAGAGGGGAAGAAAATAAAATACTAGTAAAGTATAACAGACTGATAGCAGCGCCGCGGCGGTCTGAAGAAATATAGTTTCATACTGCATATCTGTTCTAAAAAAATGTCATTTATCTACCGAGCATTCAATTTTCACCAGCGTTTTTCCAAAGCAAACCAAATATTGAATCAATTAGTTCTCTCATAAATCATTTAGTTAATTCCTAAATATAATGAATTTTTCATAATCACACTATATTACTTGTTAACCAACGATTTTCACGGAAAAAATATTCCCTGCCGGGATGCTACGGTAAAAATTCCGATAAATCAAATGGATTTTTTAGCGGAGGAAAGGAATCAAATGAGACGACTGATAAACTAGATCATTCGAGTTCAGATTATATCCAGAATTAGTGACTTGATCGCCACTAGACACTAATCTGTACAAGTGGCAAGTTCTCCTGTCGTTATAATATGAACTGTTCGTACGATTGTGGACGGCCTTAAACTGGGCTAAGAGGATGTTAACGTAGAACTTACCGTATAAGGGTTGAAGAGAGAAAGAAAGAAAATGGGTGAGCAGGAGATTGTAGCATGAGGGAGGGTACGACAGACAATATGAATAATGTAGGAATTAGAACGTAATGTTTCTCTGGTGTATAGAGTTCCGTTTTATTAATTTTTCATTTAATTTTGTTGATCATTGGATAGATTTTTCCTATCATTGAAAATTGATTTTTTTTAAGGATATTTGAATGACTCAATAGTGTAGTTCATTAATGACAACATGTAATAGAGGATTTAATGGTGATTATTGGATATTAGAAGTTTGATACTTGTGAAATTATAAATGATGTTCAATCGTTTTGTAGATTTTCCTGGAATCAATCCGATCACCGTGGAAATGGCCAGGAAACTCGTGTCTCACGAAGAATTGAATTACTCGGAATTATCTCAAGCAATACATCCCATTCTTGGAACGCCATTTTTACAGTTACATCCTTGCATGACACAGGAATTACTTCAAATTACGGCTAAGAGGTAAATATATAAATTTTTTGAATGTTGGTAGATAATTTTGCTGTGATACGTTCTTTTGTCTTTCCAATGATCTTTTAGCAAAAATAAATTAGTCAGTTGGTTAAGCTTCGTGGGACCCGCTGCTCTAAATTTACATTTACCCCTGGAATACTATGAGTTAACCTTTATTGAGGACAGAAAAATGGCGGACGTCATTTATAAATCTGACGAAGACCATACTGAGAATCTTGACACAGCGATTTGCAACACGTCTGAGAAATGTCAATAAAACTACTGTATATAGCTAGATATTTTATGCAGATGTAACTTAACGTGTTATCTAAATTTCTGTTTACTTGCTGTATATCCATCATGCATGTATATATATATACGAACGTCTTTAATATGCATATGTAAACGAACAGTGTAATTTTGTAATAAATTCTACACAGTACGAATAAATGCGAAAAAACTTTGAAATACTCTTCGACAAATTGTAAGTATTAAAGCAATCTTACATCGTGTCATTCAAAATCATCAGTCTTTATGTTCGATCTGAAACGTTAAAAGAATACGATCAACGGTTGCTGATTTGATTTTGAAATTCGTGAATTCCCGGGATTCACAGGTTATAATTGTAAAATGGGTCAATGGTGAAACATAATAGATTAAACAACCTAATTTTTCTAACTTTCTAGTAACAGTTTTTTAAACGCAATGAAAATCATGTTTCTATCGAGTCCATGCTTTAGTATATTTTTTCGTAACCAGCTACCAGAAACTCGACGGACGTAAAGTTGCCCAAGTAGTCAAGATGATCCCTAGGGTCGCCGGTTGCCATGGATACGCAGCTATCTTTCTTCTTTTACTACAAATTTAGTAATTTGATTCACTCTTGCGAGGGTCTTCTGGTTCCATATATTACGCAGACTGATTTCATATTTCATTGAGAACCATCGATCAAATTACATAAGTAATCCTAGTCGAATAATAAAATCAGTACAATACTGAACACGACCTTTCACATTATCATTAGGTTCAGTAATTCTGTGTACTTTTATACAATTTTATTTTCAAGCAAAATAACGTGGCACATTATCATAAATATGTGACAAATCGACCGGCCTTAACTATATATATTTTTGCTTCAGTGCAAATGACTACCCGTACATTTTATCAACGATTCCGTGCAACAATGACTGCACCAGTGAATAAATAACATTTTCTCCTTGTTTTTCAACAGACTTTTTATGAAATTTTTATCTCAATTCCCAACCGTCAATGTATCAATCTTTTTAACAGAAAATGAAGTTAATAATCTACGAGTCCATATATGTATTACGTATAATGCCTAACAGAGCAATGATAACCTGATAACGCTGGAACAATACGATCTTTGTGGAATTGAAAATAATATAAACAGTAATTGATAAAAGTTTTCTTACTCTAAACACTATCAGAATATAGAGAATCTTCCGTGAAATATTTAGGTAACAAATTCTAAATTATAACCTTCCACCCACTTCGGTCTTAGTACCAATCACTAATGCGATTGTTTATGTAAAGCAATAATATAACAATAAAATAGTAAAAGAATATCTATTTGTTTTATAAAATTTTACCTTAATAACATATGTATATGTATTCCGAAATCGATTACTGCAAGCATCAGCCTCGTTCCAATTGGTTCGATTCCGTTTGTTCTTCACTTTAAAATTGTCCAATCAGCGACAGTACACAGGTTATGTCGCTTGAAATAGGAATGAACGAAATGGACCAGGCCAGTCCAACTCCATTTCGAACTCTGAATCCGAGCATATAGCATAACTGAAAGCATAGCATACTACAGTATGCTGCGCTTTGGCCTGTGCTTAGGAGACGGGCACGACGCGACTCCTGGGTCTGTCGTTTCGCGATGATCTCGTGCCACAAGTGTTCGTGGCGTTGTCGCGCGAGGATCTTCCGGATTTCAAAGTAGCGACAATTTATGGGAAACGAATTTATGATCGCTTCGAGTCTATTATTCGAATAATTCATCAGTTTTGTTTCTGGGTGGAAGTACAAGGAAAAACGGTCTAAACAGTTTTACGACTATTTTTTGAATTCATCAATTACAGGTGGTTTAATTTGACATGTACATAACTTCTTGAAGAATTCGGGAATCTTCGAAGATCACGAAAACCGGTAGGTTCACTGATGGTCTGAAATTATTATGAAAATTTTATTTTTATTATGTGACTTACTACGAGCATCGTAGTACTTTATTTTGATTTTTATCGGACGCTTTGTCTTAATTCTATAAAATTGGTTCGCTAATATTTCTTTGATCCTGTGGTGAATTTTATGTGGTTTTCAAGTGTCTGATCTCGATGAAAATATTGCCTCTGAGACGTATATAATAATATCGTATAATTTAGTGATGTGTGAATATTATCAGAGGACATAAAAAGTGCATATGGAATGTCAAGTGCGATGAATGTATGGATGAAATTTAAAGGCGTCAGTGTGACGATTTACATTCGATTATTTATGACATCATATTGGCTTTTCTAAAGCCTTTGTTATATTACAGTGAATTTAATCGGGATAAATATTTTCGATTGGATTTTGAAGTAAAGCTTTGTTATCGTCTGTTAAACTCTGTCATAGAAATTCCTTATTTACCGGCAGTCACCGTTATAGAGGAAAGCTCGTTTAAGCTTACAAATGGGGCGGTGAATGTCGTAATTGCCATGTTAACGATACCTACTATAATACGACAGGATAATCACGGTATATTCTTTAATAGAGATTAATTTTCGAAAGCGGAAGTCAATTGGCTTTTAAAATGAGTCCAACGATTTTTAAATATCGTATCACGTGGTTGGAATTAAATGAATATAAATATTTTATAAATCATAATTATCGATGATAGACACCAAAATAGCATAGTGACTTTTTTTCAATAATAAATTGAAAAATTTTGAAAATCCTTTTTTATCTACTGTCACAATTAGTTGATTTGGACTAAAAAAAAGTACAGTTACCTGTTACAAGTAAATTAGATTCTTATCACAAGATAACAAATAGACTCCTGATAGATACATACATCAGCTTCCAATTGTTTATTGATTAAAATCTTAAAAAAAAAAAGAAATCTTATAAATATTTTCTCTTTTGACCAATTGCTAAGAAGCGGTTACCTAATGAAAACAATCCTGAGTTTCAGGTTCCTCACTGACAGCTCAGGTTGTCCTTGAGGCAACTTTTCGATCCAAGAGAAAGTAGATAAAGGAGTGGAAGTAGAAAAAGAACAAGTTGAAGCCACTAGAAGGACGCAATAAAAGGGCCAGTTGTGAAAAGCGTTAACAGAGTAGCTAAAAAAGAAAAGAGGAAGTTGAAGAGGAAGCAGAGTATTCGCCACCAGCAGGGAAGCGATCCCGTTTCTCGGCGCAGTATCGTTATTAGTATCTATAGAGAATACCGCACAAACAATAGCGGCTCTCGGTAGTAGGTGCATAGCGCGAGAATTTATTATTGGCCTGCACGGCAGGAAGGGATCGTAGGGGAGATCGCAGTATCGCTATACCTAATCGTACCACCCAAGGTGGCATAGATTGGAAGCCCCATCAACATACATCCTCTGTCAAGCCAGGAGTACAGCAGAGGAGCGTTTGCCGACTGCTGGCCCATTTTGTTGGGGCTGCTTTGCCATCATTCATCTGCATTAGGCGCGCTACAGAGTTCTTCCGCTCTACCGGAAGTGTCCATGTGAACGACCATTGCTTGGTACTTGTGCAATAACATTAACCGGCAGCTACCAACTGAAATTGAAAATGGAAGTAGCATCTGAAATGTATGTATTTATCAATTCCATGAATTATTTTTATACATATTTTCAATTATATCCCTCTATCATTAATATTGTTACACGATTATTAATCAACGCTTACACAGTATCATCGATGATAGCCTAAAGTTATATTCAACCGTATGTATGGAACATACGTAAATTCTGAACGTGAATTGAATAATTGCATAATAATAGATTGATGAATGAAGCATCTTTAATGTGCATGTATAATATTGAGAAAGAGACTCAGCCTCATAGCAGGGTATAGTAGAAGGTAAACAATGAGGAAGAAGAATCAGCATGTCTGAATATTAATTAGATGATTTTTAAATGGCAATGATGAATCTTTGTACTTTGTTCATGTTCATGTTCTTATTGATGCAGTTGGCAATCATTGTTGTTATTTTTGATTGGTCACTTATAAAATTGCGTCATGGTATATAATGTCAGTTCCAAGAGTTAAGAGACTGAGTGTTTCCTTAGTTTCAATCAGAATATTATTTAAGGTACTGCCAAGTCTAATGGTAATTCATTATCAAACTGTACATGCATTTATCATAGCAGTAACTCATTGGCTGACATATGTCACTTCAAATAAAATCCATCCTTAGAGTTCCAATTGATTATCATCACAATGATAGAAAGTTTGATACTAATTTATTTCCTGGAATTATTCCCCGTTACAGTAAAATCCAACCAATTGATTACCTATAGACTTTCTTATATCATCAGTAATCAGTTTTATGATTGAATCCAAATATCATTCAGTCGCATTCACATAATTGAAATTGTTGCAGTTGCAAAGTGCATCTGTCATTTCATTGGATTTCCATACGTCGTACAAGAGATCCGACATGCAGAAGTAGTAATATATTTTGAATCGATTAATTAAATAATCCATCAATACAGTATTTTTTAAAAATATTTGATTTCATACGCTCGCTTAGAAACTATAGAAAATTATTGTGTTAGTCTTTCACGTATCAGCTAGTAAAATTAAACATCATCGATCCAGTAGCTTAATGGTATAATTTACGGAAATGACAAGTCTCCTTTCAAACTCATTAGAACCAACATGGCAGAAAGAAGCTTAAATGCAATTCGATCCCCTAGTTGAGCTTAAATATCACAAGGCACGACTGTTTCAAGTCATTCGGCCGTTCAATTACTTGCAACGTCTCGAGTCATCGTTATCGTCTGCAACACTGCATTCGTATGATGCAAGTAGCACGTACAGCAAAAGTCAAAGCATTGATACGAACGTAAATTTTCCTATATTGCTTATCATCGACGTTAAGCAATAAAAAAATCTGCACAAAACATTCTTTACCCCCATAGATGTATATTTAGTTCAGAAAGGTAACTCACTAGAAAATTGACTAAACTACAGAAAACCAATGATTCTTCGAAGAATCCAAAAGGTATGAATATTTATAGACTCGAGTATGCATAACGACAAATAGGCAAGATAAACACGTGTCCCACTATAATCCTTGTAATTTTTTATGGAAACTCATTTCTAATGCCAAGTCCTTGACTTTAAAATATACCGGTGTTAAAATTAACTATTGACGGTACAAACAAGAGACGCAATGATTTTAAGAAGTTCAAAAAGAAATTTCAACATTTTTATTTGGCTTGATTAACTGAAAATATTAAACGGGAAGTCTAGGATAATTTTACGTAAAATCATTAGCCGAGCAATTTCCGTTTCTCTAATTAACTCGTTACGTGGAGGCATGCCAGAAGCCATGGACAGAAGTATCCATGGGATCCACGACTAAGGTCGCCCGCTTAATTCTCACACTGTCGTCTCATCTATTACGGCTGTTAAGCGATTACACCGAAGTCCAGTCTTTTTATTACTAGTATACAGCAATATATATCTATACGGTTATATATAGCTATAGAAAGCATATATCATACATACGATAAAGCAAATCAAAGTTTGTCTTTTATTTTTGAACGCGAACTAATTATCATTAACCGTATTTAACACTGAATATGCTCTTTTGGCTTCGTTCGATTATACGAAATTACGAAATATTATTTATTCTATTAAATAAATTTACCGATTTTCATCCATTGCGGTAGAGTAGAACAGAATTTTTGTAATCAGGAATCGTGGGCGCAAGCCAAGGCACGTTTGCTGTTTATCAAAAATATATTATTCACGCATTAAAAATGATCTCGGAATATTATAAATATTTGATGCAGTAAGTTATATACATCCTATATCTGTAACCTTGGATGGACTCTTGCTGGCTACTCAAGTTCTAATTATCAATAGTGATCACGTAACTGATCAGGTTTGATATTTACATACAACCATGGGAAGGCTATTTGGATCATGCAATAGAAGCATCAATAGATGAGAAGGAGAATCTGAATCAGTATGATTTCATAGTACAATTGATATTCTCACTCTTCTTCTAATCACCATAATGATTTTTTATTCTAATTCATTGTTTTCAAGTTTTGTAGTACTAGCACTGATTTAGTATCTATAATAAGTATATAGTACTTGTCCATAGGTGAGAAAGAAAATTATTAGGTATAGCGCAGGTATCCTAGTTTCTGCCATGCTGTGAAAGACAGGAGGTATTAAATTAATTAAAGAATCAATTTATAATTTCGAGAAGGTTAGATAAATTTGAATGAGTCTCATGTTAACGTTATAGGACATGGTGTATAATAATATTTGTCACGTGACAACGCGTTGTGGTAGCAGCGGGTACTACGATGAGAAACACGTGTAACGAAATACGTGTCCTTATTTTTGAGGAATTCTGTCGGATCTGCCTTGTGCAGAGACAATTGATGCAGAATCCATGTAGAAGATGCCAGACGTTCTCTGAATAAGATATTTCCTGTCTTATTTACCTGTTTATGGAAAAACGATGTTATTCTCTTTTTTTGTATCGGTGGTACAGTGAAAATGTATTATTTTACCTATTTCTTGTTCCAGGTCTCCTTTGTCAAATGCGGACAAGCAGGGTCGCTTGGTCGAGCGCACGTCTTACTATCCTCAGCAGCCAAATAAGAAATCCCGGAATCGTCGTCAGAGAGTTCAAAAATGCCTGCAGCACAATGTTCTGACGATGTTGACGATAGGAGGTGTCGTAGGAGGCATCGTGTTGGGTTTGATACTGAGAAACGTTAGGGAGGAAAGTTGGCGACCGCGTGAAATAATGTATGTTAATTACGTTGGTGAGCTCTTTTTAAGGATGCTGAAGAGTCTTATCTTACCGTTGATTATGGCCAGTCTCATCTCGGCCATTGGTTCTCTTGATCTTTCATTGAGTGGCAAGATCGGTGCTCGTGCCATTACGTATTACATGGTTACTACTATCAGTGCCGTTATATTAGGTTGGTATAATATTGTCTGGTGTTGATATAGTTTTTTATTAAATATTATCTAATACCTTTATTGTATTTCAGGAATTATTCTGGTGATATCGATACGTCCTGGATATTCGAGCGAAGCTGAACAAGAGGCAAAACCTTCCACTGTACGAAATGTAACGACCATAGACACACTTATGGATCTGATTAGAAATATGTTTCCACCAAATTTGGTACAGGCATGCATTACACAGTACCGTACAATATTGAAGCCCCCAAACGATACAATCAATCGTAAGTTTTGAAATTGTGTAATAAGAAGATTGTGCAGTAATGCAGTTATTGAAATTCTTCCTGGCATAAAGCATGCAGCGCTTGATCTTGAAAACGAAGGTATTCAATAGTTTGGGAATGGACATTTAGTTTGCAATTAAAGATCTGTGCTTAATGTGAAAGGAAGAACAGTTGACTGAATATCTTATACTTCAATAAACATTATTGTCTGTGTCAACAGTTCATATACTCGAATGGGACATAAGTCACGAGTATACCAGCGGTACTAATATTCTTGGCCTGGTGGTATTTTCAACGGTGTTGGGAATAACTCTTGGAAAAATGGGACCTGACGGTAAACCACTGTTAGCATTTTTTGCAGCACTTTCCTCGGCAATGATGATAATTACCAATTGGGTAATCTGGTGAGTAGTTGATCCTTTTCTTCTTTGAGAACGTAACTAAAAATGATTTTTCTTTCTTAATCATTCTTTATGTAATGTAGGTTCTCACCCTTGGGAGTGCTCTTCCTTGTATCATCAAAGATTCTGGAAATGGAATCGTTCAATGTGATAATTGGTCAACTGGGCATGTACTTTATGACAGTACTACTTGGTTTGTGCATTCACGGTTTCGTAGTGCTACCACTGATTTTCTTTTTACTGACAAAGAGGAATCCAGTGACATATGTCTCAAACATGGCGCAAGCACTAGCGACAGCTTTTGGAACGAGTTCAAGCTCAGCCACATTACCAGTTGCAATTGGTTGTCTTGAGGAAAGAAATGGAATCGATCCACGTGTCTCTAGATTCGTAATGCCTATAGGTGCTACCATTAATATGGACGGTACAGCCCTATACGAAGCTGTGGCTGCCATTTTCATCGCTCAAGTTCGCAACGTCAACCTCTCTTTTGGACAGTTGGTTGCCGTTAGGTAAAAGGAAGAGAAAAACAAATATTCGTTAACTCAGATTTACCAAGAGAAACTAAATTATTGGAACTTTTTAGTATAACTGCGACAGCTGCTAGTATCGGTGCAGCTGGAATTCCACAAGCTGGATTAGTCACAATGGTTATGGTCCTGGATACAGTTGGTCTTCCAGCAAAAGATGTCACGCTTATTATCGCAGTCGACTGGCTACTGTGAGTTGGAACAATTGTATAATAAAATCTTTTCAATTCTTCAATTGCAATGAAAATATTTATATTACATTTTGTACTTTCAATTGTTCAAAGGGATCGTTTCCGGACCACAATAAACGTAATGGGAGATTCTCTGGGTGCTGGTATCGTTAATTATCTCAGCCGGAATGAGCTGAACTCATTTCCGCAAGGGCCTCAAGTGCAAAAGGAGACCGACCACCACACAACGTCTATATGAACATCCGTAGGATAGAGTATCGATATTAAAGACCCCATGCACGTGACAACGCAAGCATGTATCATAGACTAGTCATATACATATGGGCCTGTCGAACAATAAATTGATCCGACAAGGTTCAAAGGTTGTTGAGTTTGTTCCACAATTTATGATAGAGTCTGCACGCTGTCACGTTAGCATGATTTCTCGTTCAATCGTTTTACGCAGTTCGCGTTCAGTCAATTCAACAGAATGGCTTATGAATTATTATTTAAATAATATATTGATCATCGGTGAAGAGCAGAATGATAACAGACCTATTGATAACACTGCATATACTAAATATAACATTAAGGGTAACAAAAATATGATATTCATAAAATTGTCCATATAGTGTACCCAAAATTGGCCTATGAAGTGTTCTTGTGTACTATAAGTACCTAGGTATAATTTTCATTTTAATCAATTTCGTTGTATCATCCAATTAATTAAAATACCTAGTGAGACCGTGGGTCGATGCGGTATTTGCGAATAAAATTCTTTGAAAAGTTATATACTCAGAATAGGACTTATAGGAATAACAAAGATAAGTGAACAAGAAATATAATATGTAAATAGAAACATAATCAAATGTGAATTCTCTTGATAGCTCATAACTTTATTCTCTTTGGGTAATCATTTGTGTGACTATAGCAATGTAGTAGAACAATGGAATGGCTAGAATGAAGATTAGTCGTTATTTCTAATCTAAGACGAAAGTTGATACACTTTATGATTGTTTACTGGATTTTGCACTCTTTTATTATCAATATCCGTTAAGGAAATGGCGATATTATAAGTCGACCTACGAGGATCTGAATTATTTAAGCTAATATAATTATCGCCCTTACTCTGCTACCTTTCGTGAAGTACAAATTTATTTTAACAATCTTATTCGACACGAGCCTCGTTTTAAAAATATAATAACCTGATCATCGCACCTGAAATCATCTGTATACACGATATAAGTACATATTGCATAATATTTACCATATAACGTTATAATATGTCTATTGCATAAAACAGGTGAAGGAATGTTATCTTCCTCACATATATATTTATATATATATGTATATGTATGTATATCAAAGTCAAATATCACATAAAATAATCGTTAAAGAATAATCAATTTTCTGCAAATATCAGAAACTGTTTATTATTGTACGTCGTTATGACAAAAATTTTCATAGATTTAAATATGAATTTACGAAGATTGAAGAGTTTGTAAATTGCTTATTGGAAGGAGTCTTGTTACGTTCGAGTAGTGTAATTATTAAAAATTAACAAAATACTCTGTTATACAGAAAAACCAATAAGTATACGTTATGGAGTGATTGGTTATATTTCTATTTATAAAGTAAGACTAGTAGCCCACTGCGCGCGCTGATTTCAGAGCTCATGAACGATTTAAGAATAATTTTTTATTTATAAATTTCAAATCCTAAACTTGTAGATTAAATTAACGACTTAGTAAGTTAGAAGATTTTTAAATAAAAAATTGTCCTCTTCTACTTTCCTCGTAAGAAAATGTCATTTCAAATTATTTATTTTATTTTACGTAATTTATTACTTATGGAATAAAGTGTATGACAAACTTCAAAATAGGTAAAAGTACAATTCGTTAATCGGTGGATAAAGCACGAAACCCATTGTTTCGAAACAACCCGTTGTGTATCGTAGGTTCGACTCATTTCGCTCTCTTATCCTTCTTACTTTTCCTAATGTTCTCTTTTCTCGCTCCTCCAGAATAATCTGATCCTCGTGCGTAAGTTTTACGCATCTTTTTCTCTCCTTGTTCAATCAGTCGTTACCATCTCTCTTCTTCATTCTTTCTTTTTAACAATCTTCCTCTTTTCGCCATCATTAATGTCCTTTAAAAAAGTAACAGTCCAAAGTGGTAGCGCATATACCACACAAAATGTATATTATATTGCAGTGATGTATTTAATATCCTTCCTCAGTCGTCTCCAGCTATTGTCAATAATAATCGTTTATAGTCTCTGATACCACGTGAGCAATAAAACCTTCATATAGAATAAATCCATTCTACTTACTCTATTCTGCTCTACCTGTGCACCGGATTCCCACACATGATAAGTGGCGCCATCTCTGAGACGTCAGTGAACACGGCCAACGGGTGCCATTAAAAAGCTCTGGATAATAACGATACACGTGATATTGGGATTATCCAAATTAATCAAGCGGCTGCATAGAATACTACATACATATACAAAATATTGAGAATAAGGGCTTAAATAGAAAAGTTTTATCGCGCCTATGAAAACTGAACTTAAGCATGACTAGATGCAGAGACCTATTATATCGGCATGATTATCAATGATAATGAAGGTATAGTAAGGTAGAACAACAGTAGGATTATCCTAATACAACAGTTTTATTGTCGAGATATAATTGCTGTATTGTTAAGACGAAAAGGTTAGTAATGGATATAAAGGATTTCTCTTTCTGCTTTTTACATTCGATTTATTCACATGATAGATACGTGTGCGAAATATTAATTACGCGATTCCTTAATCTCTGAATCTGTTTGAATTCCAAATTTACCGAGCCGCTAACCTCGTAACTGTTAATTGACTGCACGTCGTAAACTCGCGCTCAAAGTAGAAATTTCACACTGAAAACTAACGGCCAATTGACACTTCGGAGAAGCAACAACAATGCTTCGATAATTTCTAGAAAATCTAACATGACTTTTTCAGGAGTGGAGAAGATAGTTTTGGAAGAAAAAATAAAAATAAAATTGAATTTTCCAATCGTTTGGACACGAATAATTGGGATGTTTGCACATATATATATGTATTTATAGCATTAGACAAGTGAAGGATTATTAATTAATACAATAATATTGTTAACATGCGAAAAACTGCTGGCTCGAGACCTCGGCGTCGCGAGGTAAAGTTTAATGTGTTTGATTATTCTAAAACGGTTTTGCCGTGAAAAAAGTGATAAAAAATAACAGTGCTGATGGCATTATAGCGATAACATGATAACTTATCACCATTCAAGTAAATGTATTTTACTAGAAGAGAGTCTATAAGAAACATGATTGAGTCAGGTAAGAAAATTCCAATTCCAAATCAAGCATGTCAAACAATTAATTATCATTGAATGAAAAATCATTCATCAAACTATAGTAGGTTCGAATGATTTCTATTCAGGATTTACTGTTCATTGATCAGCTTAAGAAATTCGTAGCTATTCGTATTACATGAAATACGATAAACACATTGAATTCATTCAGGTATAAATTGTCGTTTCGTTATGCAAAATCGCTGATGCATATTTTGCACGAAATGCATTCAAAGTTCATCCCAGCCAATGATATTCATTGAGCCGAACAGGTAATGCTCTGATAATTTTAAAGAGGTAAAGTGATTGTACCACGAGGTGGTAAAAACAAGTAGACAAGTTGAAAAATGCAATAAGAAGAATAAATAGCCAATCAGACTGCATCGTCAGGACGATATAATTACACTCTCTGCCAAAACGCTGCAACTCTTCATGCTGCATTCTGCTACATTATAGTAATAATTGGTGCAATGTGCTATTTCACATGACTAATATAATTCTAGCTGATATATTATCAGAGTTCATAGTAGTCATGATAAGTTGATAAATTATGCACTTTTTTACAGTCCAGTATAGATAAAGATATTTTTAAAAACAGAATGCATCGCTGCCATATTTCAGAAGGAAATTATGCACAAGTGAAGAGAATCTCATGAAAAATCTAATCAACGAAATGGACACTGACGAGCACCGGATTTAGGTTTATCTTTTCACTTAGTCAGCTGTAGCGACAGTCGAAGATTTTTTAAGAACGAACTACTCATTCTTTTATTTAATGATTTTGATGGAAAGAAAAGTTTTAATTATTCCTTGAGAATATTTGGTGTTTCTATTGCCTATTGATTTTACTCGAATTAGGATAAATTTACTTTGCCGTAACGGAAACAATGCTTTAAAATGCGCTAACCTAAAATCAAATTCCGACACTTTACTCGGCGGTAAAACAGCCAATTTAATTTTCTGTGGTAGCCCACTATCCAGTACCAGTGTTCTCAGCCCAGTCACTCCCCTACAGACATCATTTCACCCTTTCACAAGCCAAGAGGAAAACCAGAGAGCTACTCAAGGGTGCTCAAGCCACTATTGTTTCAGGATCTCTTACACAGGAAGTTTCACCAGTGTACACCTATGCAAGAACATTTGCATAAGTACGTGGAATATTTTATTCCCAGAAACCACACGAAATGGCGCATTTCAAGTCTGTATAAAAATATTCACAATAGACAAAGGCCAAGTTCATACATTTTTTAGTCTTTTTCCTACATAATTATTTATCGTATTGTTATGCCGCATTTTTGCTTCAGCCTCCACTTGCATTAAGGTGACCCAATTGATTCTGCCAGACAATAAACCGATATCGATGGGTGGTAACCAGTCAACGTTATAACTCATCCAACTCCACTCTGAAGCTCTGTAAACATTAACGTGTTTCCAGTCCAACTTAGCCAGATAAATGCCCAAATATAATAGCAGTAGGGTACTAGAATTAGTATAAAGATGTTTGGCCATACTTTATCAAGACACTTTTGAAAGAGTCAGCTCAGGTGAATTATGAGAATCCATCACTCATGCGACGAGCATCAATTTTCATTGGTATAACACAGACATCTGTTAATAAAAAAAAAAGATTAATCCAACATAACAATGACTGATCCTAATCGAATAAATTTTAACGAAATTCTTTAATTTAATTTTCCTAATACTACATATATTAATATTAATTGCTTCACCCTAAAAACCTATCCTTTGTTTGCACGATATTTATACCTTCTGAAACCCTCAACCTCTGGAATCCTTCAGCTGCTTAGTATAATCCCCAGGGTCCACTGCTTCATGAAAGCTCTAGTGACCATGTAAGTATTACCAGCAGCACATCAGAAGTTGCCGAGCAAAAGTTTACTAGCCTGAACCTGTAGTTCCTGCCGCACCCTTGCCAACGGCTTCGCGCTCTTGGCGTTTGGCCTCCGGGGTCTCGCATTGATTTTCCGGACACCCTCTAGCTGGCGTGCGAATCCCGGCAGCCTTGCTGGCACCAAGTACCTAGTTACCAGTCACAGTATGATAGTATATTCATGGCATCTGTTTATGCAGGTGATTTTATGCCAGCAATCATAATACATAACAAGATGATTTTTTTCATTATAAAAATCAATGCTATCAGTATATATAGTATCGCCTACCGTGTTATTCAAAAATAATTGCACACCTTGGAAACCTTCGAGAACAAAAACGTAATTTATAACATAGACACTGATACCGCGATAAGCACGAGTAGTGTGCACTGTGATAAGAGATAACTCGACTATTGTAGCTGGCAAGATCGATATTGTGTGTAATACTAAAATATTATTTTCTCCCTAACCTTCTGGATTGGTCTATTTAAGAAAATTGATTATTGATCATATTTGGTTCTGACGTAAAAATAAATCAGCTTAGAATCCTTCGTGAAATCGAATTTCTTCTTACGAAATAGAAATGTCAATGCCACATCAATAAACCGTCTTAATGCATATATCATACGACTTGTGAACTCCATTGATAAGACATCCAGTTTGTTGTACTATTAGTCAGTACCGTCATGTCAAAGGGTTGACATTGATGAACAAAGATATCCGTTTCATTCACTGGATATGGATATTCAAATTAAACAACCCGTAAGCAATGTTAGAATGGGATTTACAAATTTATTATTTTTTTATACGAGGATTATCAGTTGTCAATTACCTAGTCAGTGGTAAGTTCGCCATTGTTTGGTGTAAAGCACGTGTGCCAGTGTAGAATTGACTCAGGTCAGATCAATAGGAAGACCGTTTTAGTTATGGCGACTCATCTTGAGTAAGAATAAAATATATATTATGCATAGTTCCTTCATATGTAAATCTTAAGAATCGCATTGGACGCCATGAATATAAGAATGGCGATACCGGATGGACCACCATAAAAGAAGCTAGCAAAAGGACTGACTTTAAAAATGTATACGTACGAAATTCAATAGGATTTAGATTATGCAGCTGTGAACTATAAATGATGTGAGCCATTATGATATTATAGCGACACATGTAGACATTGCTGCTGGATCAATATCAACCACGAGTTGGGATGGTGGCTGGCAGGGTTATGGTGGGAGAAAATGAGAAAAAGAGGAATGGATGGGGTGAATGACGCCATTGGAAAAAGTTGAAAACCACATGGTGTCTGGCACACTCGTCTACTGATACCGGATGCATTGAATGTTGAAAAAGCTGAAAAGATTCGTGAAAAGTTCCTATTCGTTCTTTTTGACTCTACATTATTTTTTAAAATTCTAACGGCCAATCTCATTACTCGTAACACTAATGATCCAAATATCTGCGTAAAAATATTTGTCTACATTTCTTGACATATCGCCTGCCGTATAAAAGATCGAAATATGCGTGAGAATGATGATACAGTTATTGTAGTCTGATTTATGAGTCCAGTCTAGTTAGATAATACTGACACTACGATGTTTATCCTATGATAGAATGACATCTGCTATACGTTCACTGTTTCACGACACACTGGATCATATCTTCTACACCCACTTGATTATAACAAAAACCCTGTATTTTTCTTCCACCAAATTTTTACCTATGTTCTGAGTAACATAGAATTTGGAGTGCAGAAGTTGTCTGCTGAATCCGTGTACTTTGCTGTTTTACTTCACATTGGGTATTCAGCTTCTACGAAGCTCTTTCTAGGACGTCCTGATTGAAGTCTTCGCTGGCCAACACTCCTTCGTAACTTCCCTTGTGCGAGAGGAAACACGTGACTATGTCATGGGACTCAGTGGAGTATATGGCCGTTGGTCGTTCCGCAGAGTCCCGCACTGTTGCCATTGCGCTTTCGTTAGTAGCGTGGTAGTGGCTGGAATACTGATAGGTGGGGATAACGCGGAACATAGCGGAAAACATAGAAGCACGACCGCAACTCGGCTCAGTACCGAATCCTTAGTCACCAAACCTTAGTCACGTTTGTGTAAAATTATTACCGTTTAGTGTCAAAGTCATTTAACGTTTTTTTGCTTTTTAACAGAGAACCAAACAAAAAACACGAGTCTGGAGTGTTAATACAAAAAAAATGTTTAGTCGAAGAGGAAGCATTTAAAAAAAATACAGTTCGAATTCTCGTCTAATTCATTTTTTAAAAAGGCGAGGGAAAAGAAAGCAAAATCAATGGACATAAATTTATTCATCTTTAAATCGAGAGTGCAATTCTATACTGAAATCGGCCGGCCCAGATCTTTGATGCTGAAAGAAAACTGTTGAAGTGATGCTAAAAATATCGCCACCGGAGATAAACACTACGGGAATAGTTGCAGAAATAGATTTTTCAATGTAGTGCTCTTAGATCTGCCACGAAATTGAATGACCTCACAGTTTGTGTCTTTTGTTGAGTGCACGTTTTTATTGCGATCTCACTTATTGGCACACGATCCCATTGCCAAGAAGACGAATGCAAGTGAATCAATAAAATGTGTTTGCTACGAGGAACGTAAGAACGTGATTAGACGAAAAAGAATATAATCAATATAGCCGGCAGAGTTTTACAACGATTAACATGGCTTTTCTACCCGGCACCTACGTCTCCATTATTGTCGTAGTAGTGTCATATGGAGCGATAGAATTATCTCGATGACAGTTGAAGTGCAATGACTTCGTTTGTGAAAGAAGACTAAAGAAAAAGAAGAAAATCGGAGTATCTTTCTATTAGACGCACAACAGGCGTGAATGTCACTAATTGCTCGAAGCATGACAGTCATCGTTATCATCAATAAAATCGAGAAGAGTCTTGCACCATTATTGTCCGGTAAATCATAATCAGAATTTAATTCAATATCTTTATACGAAATATCAAAGTACGAGAGACTGCTGTCGGTTGAAACATAAACGGATTATATCTTAATCAATATTTCCAGTGAGTCTTAAAGAATTTTCTTGTGAAATTTTCATCACTTTCTCTCAAAATGATAATACAGCTGATCAGGAAATTGTAATTTGTTCACTACCGATAGATGGCAGATTAAATGGTTTTGTTTCGTCTACACTATATTTCAACTGACAGCAGTGTTCACTACTAAATATACTGCAATGATACAAGGATACATTTCACGTATACTTTAATTGTTGGTTATGATTATCATTAGCAGTCTAAACAGAAATTAATGTAATGCAATATTAAAAGTACTATACTTGACATTTCTGATCAGACATTTGAGAAGAGTCTAAGCAATGCACGTACTATGTATACCTATATATGTTTTATAGCATTTTGCGAATGATTCAAACAATGTTATCAGGTATTGGGTGCAGAACAATGTATCAGTGATATATATATAATATCCACACACACCACGTCATTCTAAATAAATGAGGTTGGGAAAATCTAACGAAAATATTGAAAAATTGATAAAATGTTAGATGAAAATTCATGAAACCAAATTATTATTAATATGTTCAATCACAAGACACCCATTATTCGCTTGTTCCGCGTCGTTAATTTTTTACTCGACATTATACGCTCCGATCAATCATTCAGGTGTATCGGCAAACGATGACGTCAGTGCCATAAAAATGTTATCAATTTTAAACAATAAAAATTTTATGAGCTTTTGCTCCTTACAAACAATTTTCATTGCTTCTACCATTGCACGCTAATACAAGTACGATTACATTGTTATTAATTGAAGTCAATAATGTCCGTATTGTTTTTGAATAATTTGAAAATTTTAATGGTTAACAATAAAAGACTCTTGACTATTGTGTTTTAAAATATCTGTTATCGTTTTGATATGTAGTATCGATAATCATTCCGGGGTAGCGGATGTGCTTCCGTTAACATTTTCTGGTATCACAATGTTTAATAAAAATTTTATAATATTCAAAACTACCTTATTAATTAGTTGGCTATCATTTTTTTTTAATATCCAACAGACTATTTTGCATTTTGGACTTATTGTATATATGCACGAATATACGTATTCGTTCACATGCACAAGGCAAAAGACAAGCTGGAGGTTGGATTTGAGATAAAAATTAAAAATATAAGTCACTTGCGTATAGCAACTAGGAAAATTGAAATTTGGTAATACGAAATTTTTTTAATTCCTTTTCCCTTTTAAAGTCAGAATGCTCTCTCTTGATAGTGGCGCTGCTATAACGCTTCTTTTGAAAACGTCGTATCTCCCACACTTACTTTTCTTTCTCTTTGAATATACCAGAGCAATGAAATCCGACGTGCAAGACGTTTTCTATGAAAAGTTTTATGACGAATAAAGCGTATAAAGCATCGAGGAATGCTGGAGTATAAAATATTTTTTGCAATATGTCCAGTCCATTTTTGCCCTTTTTTAAACACAATTTTGACCTACTTAATCCAACTGTAAATGAATTTCATGAAATTGCGCTGAAGTACAGTGGATATACATGATACATGATCTCTATCCTTGAATACGGTATATGTAAAATTCTCTATATAATTTAATGTTATATCGACAAGGAGCACGTATGTGAAGTGTACGATTTTTTCTACGTCTGAAAATACGTGTTATCGCTATAATTCTTAAGCAGTCCATATCTTTTTTGGTACATTAATATCGATTGGAAATTTTGATTAGACGTAAAAAAATACTCGGCCACATTTCACCATTGTTATCAGAAGCAATATTTTTTTACATTTTACATTAGCCTAAGGTAAAATCAACAAAGTTCAATTGGTTTTTCATTGCACAAATAGCTTCCCCATCCAGATTTCATTAGATTGGCTCGCTTGGAATTTATTGAATTTGATTTATCGGTTATTGAAATTCCTTGACTGATATAAAAATTGGCTAAAGCCAAAGCATCCATTGTTTAACTATGGTCAATCTATGATCACCATGTAGGCACGTTCTGGTAGATAACTATAAATTGTGATAAGTCAAACAAAAAATATTCTTCACATTTTTTCAATAGCACGATTATATCTGATGTATTTATAACTTATGAATTGATAGGCGTTGAGCTCTTATCAGCATGTTCTGTCGTCGAAAGTTATACACATTAAATAACCATACGTGACGTTATGGCAACTTTAAAGGCAAATTACATCAGTTGACAAACGTAATAGTTGCTTGTGAATATTTTATCATGAATTATTTAAATGATAAGAGAAAAGAGAATAGCTGTAATGGTTTTACGTGTCAGTAATGATAAATTTTCTTAGTAGAATAAATGGACACATTTAAAAAAGGCAGGAGGTGACCATCATATAGAGATTTTTCAATTATATTTTGACAAATAATTTTATAGAAGAAATATTAGCCAATCTACGTTTATTGAAAATTCATGCTTCCAGGCTCCAGGCAATGTGTTATATTTTTTATTCACACAAGTGACGTATAGGGGTTGCTCAAGGGTTACCCCCAAAAAAGTAGAGCAATCAATATCAATACTTCCTGCACGCTCTGCTAATGCCATCACACTTGATACCTGTAGCCATGGGATTAGATGAAAATCATAAGGCAACAAGAGGACCAATAGAAATAAGAACTACAAGAGGTAGAGTGTGACAGAACAAAGGAGATAAAAGGAGTTTCAAATGAATGGGCAACCATTTGATGAAAGTACTTTGTGATACTCTAGAGTGTTTAAAGGCTTAACTACACAATGCCTATATCTTTTTAAAATACTATTGTGATACGTCCTATCGATTCGATTTGTTCCATGTAGAAATTTAAATTAAATGTATCTTTTAAGAATTTTTTAAAATAATCAATACAAATATTTAAAAGCTTTTTCACCTTCACGCATGATTTGCAGTGTCTTGGAGTAATAAAAAAATATTTGTTCACACGAATAGGCGTTTACTTGAATATCAGTAATATCGTTGTGACGTTGCATAATCTTGAGAATAACCTGCCTTTACATAAGCAATTGCAATATTGACATCTTACAAATACAGGAAATTTTTATTTTGTTCATTGCTCGTGATAATTACTATTGTGTTTTAAATTTCTAGCGTATCCGGTGGAAGAAATACTGCTTTTTGAAAATGAAAGCGAAGCTATTACGTGAGGTGGAATATTTGATCATGAGTAATTCTTGAAAAAAGTTAATACCGCGTGACGGGATTACCGTTCTATACATTACTGTATCTGTTATCAACTGTTAGCACATTTATATACTGATTAGCATATGTGTACTGATAACATTAACCAGACTTAAAAGAAAGCGTAGAATCATATCTTCGAAAGACGCTAATTTTAAGAATTGTGATATCTAGGTTTGATGTTCATATTGCTTTTAAAAGATTACAAATGTAAAATTGACTATCTATACCTGCGTTTAAGATTTCATCAATTGATTAACGTTGCTACGAGGTCAACCGTTATCCTAATCGTAAGCTATAAAACACATAGTTTCTTTAACTTATAAAATCTGATACAGGGACTTTGTTAGTGTCCAAAAAAATATATCAGTCTTCACAAAAGTTTGATAAATATAATCGACTGAGCTGAAACGTTATTGAAATGTACTTTCTGTTAAAATTCTATAAATTTTAGCGAGTTTACCTAATATACATTAATATGAAATTATATGAAATTGCATACACGCTTCTGAACTGCAAATAGAGTAGTGCCATGTGGGACATGCGTAAATATTATCAGTAGGAAAAACATACATGAAAATTAGTCATCAGTGAGGAGTGTAATACCGGAACATGTTGTTTGTATATCATTCATATCGAATTTCCTCGTTACAATTACCAAGCAATTTCCAAACGCATGTCACTCCTTTCTTTTTTGTTTCAGTTATTACGCTCGTTACCTCCAATGACAATTTGCATATTTAAAAACTGCAAAAAACGGCTACTCAACTAGATGAATACCAAGGTGTCAAAGCTGTGTCTGTTTAGATAGCGATACCATGAGGCCTTCCATGAAGATGGGATTGATAGCCTTGCTGGGTGTCTGTGTAATATTTTATCAGTATCATCTTTCAACTGGCATAAGACTGGACCAGATACCCAACTTCAACGAAGCCGTGGCAGTTGAAGGTGCTGAGAATTTGTCAGTAGTCAACGAGGTAGATGGATACATTGATCCTTCAAAAATACCTGAGGATGCAGTATGTGAATTAGAAAAATTGTAGCACTGTCATAATTAGTTAATCAAGGTAAAATACATACTTGCGAAATTTTATTACAGATTCGAGGAGCTGTACATGCAGTCCAACAAGGATACGGTCTTAGTCCAGACCTGGGAAATGTCTTGAGTCAAGAAATTCTGGCTCGTTTAAAGAGAAACGACGTCAACCTGGTCCAGGAAGAGATCTTGATAAATGATCCACGTGGCGTACGTTCAGCATCCACAGCATCGTCCAGTGCGAATAGTAATGCAGCAATCTGTGGGACAGGAGGAAAAACGGAATCAGATAATGAAAAATTGAATCCCCTTTTTATAATCACCCCAACGTACAGAAGGCCGGAGCAAATTCCCGAACTAACGAGGATGTCGCACACGTTGATGCTCGTCAGGAATGTGCATTGGCTCGTTATTGAAGATGCCTTGGTGCCGACGAAACAGGTCACTGAACTGCTTAAGAGGACAAAACTGAAATTCGAACACTTGATTGGTAGGCGTACGAGCAATTGGATGCTGTTTTTATAAATACGACAATTAATAAATAATTAAAGCATCGTTACAAAGCGGTGATTAATCGTTCTCGTTTTGTATTAATTAATTATTAAGATTCTTCCTTATTTTTCAGCACCGATGCCTGATAAGTATAAATTGAAAACGGGCGCCAAACCACGAGGTGTATCAAACCGAAATCGTGGTTTACAATGGCTCCGATCGAACGCGACGAATGGCGTCTTCTATTTTGCGGATGATGATAATACTTATGATATTGCACTGTTTGATGAGGTTTGTATATATTGTTGCTGGGAACTATATTATATCCCAAGCTATCGATCAGTTACTGTATTAGTGTTCAAGGTTCTCTTTTACAACGCCTATTGTAAGTGCTAAAGACCATTAGTCAGTGACGCGTAACGCTTCCATATTTCTTTTGTCTTTTGATACATTTCAAAGGATTCTCAATCATTACAAGAAAGCCAATTTGTAGACAGATGATTAATAATAAAATGGAACGTGACAGTAAAGTAGACTCGTGAAGAACTTTAAAGAAATATCTTTTTTAATCCAAATGTCACTTTACTTAATGTTAAACGTAATGATCATTCTATCTGCTTCAAGGCTGCTATAAAAATTTACTACAGACACTGAACATATTTCACTTTATACATGTATACATTCACATTATACTTGAATGGAGCACGTGGCTATAATGTCTGGTAGACACGATATCGTTACTATGGAATATAAATGATAGCTATCAGGTATTTGATTATTAGTCACGCCATTCCTGTTGATAACAGCATTATATTGTGACATTGTTCTGTCAGATATCGTCTGTTAATTTTCATATTATTTTTGCATTTTCTTCAGATCCGCAAAACAAAAAAGGTCTCCATGTTCCCGGTGGGTCTTTGTACAAAGTACGGACTTAGTTCGCCGATAGTTAAAAATGGAAAGTTCACCGGTTTCTATGATGGCTGGATAGCAGGAAGAAAGTTTCCAGTTGATATGGCAGGTTTCGCAGTGAACGTCAAGTTCCTTTTAGAGAGACCAAGCGCCACAATGCCATTCCGGGCCGGATTCGAAGAAGATGGCTTCCTTAGGAGTCTTGCGCCTTTTGAACCACGGGATATTGAACTTCTTGCTGATAATTGCACGAGGATACTCGCCTGGCATACACAAACGAAGAAGAATGAGCCTAGTGCTCCGCTGGACATGAAGCTCTATGGCTTAACGAATCTGGTCCTACTGAAAAAACAGATAGTATGATGAGGCCATTTTCATTATAAACTTATGGACTCAAATTATAGCCGTCGTTCAGCAATGAATTTGACGTTAATTCAGATGGACGACTGCTGGCCAATTATTTATAATACAATTAGGAGGATTTTATAATCCGCTCAAGAAACAGTGTTGCCTAACGCCCAATACGACTTCTTCCAGTGAAACTTGAAAAAGACGTTTGTCCAACATTAATTACATATTGTATGTAGGTTGGACCGACCCTTGGCACGATAGAGTGATCAGTTGTTTCCTCTAGGGATATGACAATAGACAAATAATAAAGATCGGCCTGCCGGTTCTGATTTCCCTGAGGATTGATAAATAGATTTTTAAGTTTGGCCAACTATGAGGATCCATGATAGTTCACGGATGAATACTTAATAACAGACTGTTGTACTATCTTTTTGTATTATTTATTTTATTGCCCGGTATTATTTCAAGTATTAACTATGGGTTGTTCAAGAAAATTATCAACGCATATGTTCAATTAGTACTTAATCGCTATGGCATTTAGTCTGTTAAAAGTGTCATAGTTATTGACATTGACAACAAAAATATTATCGCTTGTCAGGCTTTTCAAGCTGTAACTCATTACATATCATTGTAGTAAAAAATAATCATTTTTTTTTTCTTTCTTGAAATCGTGTCCAAGACATTTTCGACTATCCTTTTGTGCAATCGACAAATTTTTGTCTTATGCGCGTATAAATTAATTTAGTTTTTATTCCTCAATTGTCAAGAGGTTTTACTTATAAATAGTAGGTACCGATATTTATGGCGCTTCCTCTTATGACTTAAGAAGAAAATCGGTAGAATGCATGAGGTGAAATCCATTGCATAACTTTCTCTTGTCCTTTTAGTTATTTGATTTGAATGCCGTAAACATTAGTCTCACTACAGTTACGGTTTGTCATTAATGGTTCCTTTTGCGCATAGCTCCAAAATTAATATTATAGGCAACTTGATACCGATTTGATGCTGTAATTTTGTTTATATTAAAACAATTATCTTATTGTATATTTCTCGTAGTTTATCTACTACAACTTACCGTTGATAGGGTTTAAGTATAACGCATTATACCTTAGGTGATATCAAGCAATAAACGGTTGGTGCAACAATAAAAGAGAGTGATCTAAAACCGCTATAAAATTAACGATGATAAACATATAAAAACCTGAAATACTTTAGAAAATTCGCAAGCTTCGTTATTGCAAAGTTTATACAGGGCGACATAGCGAACCATGCAATTTAACTATATACAAAATTGCAGTCCATTACAAAAAAGAAAAGAGAAATGGTCGGGCATTAGGTGATGAATTCTTCTACTTTGTTCTTCTTAGCAATGCCGATTAGTCAAATTAAAAAGATTCCCGTCGACATGGGAAATAATGAAATCTACGTGAAGATATATTTTTTCCTAATAAATAGAAATTATAGTAACACTAATAAACTTTTCAGATCACATACTACTACTATTACTACCACTACCACTACTAAAACTACTACTGCTTCTACCAGTATTACTATTACTATTTCCATTCAATACTCTCCATTCGTCTCTAATAACGACACAAGAAATAAAATTGACTATGAACACGTTCTTTGCAAACTATTAGCTAACTCGTAAAGTTGGAATAATCGTATCAACTACTATCCTCTGTTACATTACTAAACTTACACTCTGTACATCGTACAAGTATAATACGGGCTTAATCACGTATGTGATATAGTTGCGTATATACATGGCTGATTCTTAAAAATGTGATAAAACAAAAATTATCCACCGTTTATTCATTACATTGAATCATGCCAAATGTAAAAAAGATGAATAGTCTTTTCGAGGAATTGCCAGTAAATATCTTTATTTTCATAGTTCTTCTTGGTGTACTTTATACAATGAGTTATGCAACAAGTACTTTAAATTTCATAGTGAGTTTTGTAATGAAGAAATGAAACCCCCATATACATAGAGCGTTGCGCCTAAAATAATATCGACTTAATTTACTCTGTTCTGTAAATTCTGATCTATTTTTTAAATCATGAAAATTGTAGAAGACAAAGATATTGTGGTTGGTTCGACAGTTAAATAATTATATTGGCTCTTCTGGTGTGCGTACTCGAATTATAGTGATATATAATGTATAATGGAGTATGCACTTTAAATTGTATTAATTTTTTCAAGGGGTGGTACTTCAATAAAGGTACGGACGTGCGCACACGAAGAAACTAATAAGTGCATCCTATAGCACCTTATGCTGCTTATACTTACTGTATATGCGAATGGTATATTCTTTAAAAAAATTGAAATGTATCATTATAAATTGTAAAGACTTACGCGTTTAGTAAAAAGCGAGATGGGCCTTTAATGAGATAAGACAATGTATGGCTAGTTTTTTCGTCTCTAATTGACTGCAAGTACACTTGAAATGACTGTATAAGATTATGTATAAAAATGAACAAAGTGCGTAACAGTATTGATTACGAGAGCTACGTGGAAGAAATAAAATTCAGTTTATTCATATAGAAATATTAATTTTTTTTAATATAACCAATCGATTATTTACATGATGTTTGGTCTGGTGCTGAATAAATTTTTTTTTTCTTGTTATATACTTGTCTTTTTATCTGACGATTTTTCGTGATTACCTACTTTTTTTTTACTAGTTCCATCACCAAGAGATCCTTTGAGGATGCTCTTGATCATCCCAGTAAAACGTTTTGTTAATGAAAATGAAAAATTGCAAGAAATTTATAATTAATGTGGTAAGCAATTCTGCTATTATTTGCCATTTTTTGATTCTCTGTATATTCAAACGGAAGATAATATATGGAATAACGTAGTAACGTGGTTCTAACAATAATTGTGGTATTAATACCATAGATACTCCTGCAATATACGTCATTTGCGATGCGAATCGTAAATGATTGATACAAGATAAAAATGAATATATTGTAAAACCATATATCGGTATTAATAAGTACCGTAGTAGTTTATAACGACCGACAAATTTATTCCATACGTAAAAAGTGTAATGCCTGTTGTCCGCCAATACGTAAGGATGAACTAAAGTATTAAAATGAATTATTATGATCATTAAGAAACAAAATGAACTTGCTACGATCCAGCGGTTCCTTAGCCATTTCAAATATTCCTTCCAGTGCACAAGCATATAAGGCCATGCGAAACAAAAAGTGAAAACAGAGAAATAAAAAATTTGTGGAATGTGAATTGTTGGTATATGAGCAGTACGATCTCCCACTACAATTCCTTTGTTCCATATAAGAAATGCAAGAAATCCTAAGCCAATAGATATATACGGAAATATAGAAATAAATATCCGAAAAATAAATTTTGAAAAGGACCATGGCCCCTGTCGTATTTGTTTTATTAGATTCCTCCAAAGTATCTGAAAGCATTTAATGTTTTATATTCATTAAAAATATTGAATAAGAAAATCAGCTGCATCATATTTTGCTATGATCAAAAGACGTCGATTACTTACAATTACAGAATTAGGAGTATTCTTGGTATGAACTGGAATAGGATTCTCAGCTTCTAAAATATCTAAGATACGTTCAATGCCAAGGAATGCTACCCAGATAACATTTGTTTGTCTCATAAGTATGGCCAATGCTCCTGAACAAAAAAGACTCAGTATTATTACGATTTTATGTAAACTTATGTTGTAGCAAAGTAAAATAAGCTTAAGAACTACTTGCCAAAAAACACTGATATCGAGATATGTCCTTGCGCATGGAACAACATCATTAACAGAACCATATTAACAGACACAACATCTGTGTAGAATAAGAAGAACCAGAAAAACAGTGGAGGAAATAATCCGATCGCATAAGCAGATGTAAGCTGTATCCATGGTTTCTTTATGCCACTTCTGCTCTTAGTCTTATTAGTTGTCTGAATGATCTCAAACAATAAATAAACATTGACAATAGTAGTTACAAAATTTATGCATCGTATGCATATTATATTGCATAGGCCAAAAGGTGCCAATATTGCAGTTGCCACTAAGTACAATCCAGGTAAAGTCGTAATCTTGGAATCCCACTGCAACAATAAATTAATAATTTATCATTTAGAAAATAAAGACAGTTTAGAATATTAATACTTACCTCAAAAAATTTGCCACTGCAGTATTTTAATGTTTGTGGGATATGAAACACTTCATCAATAAAATAATAAGGTTGCACTTGATTAAGGTACAAAAATAATATTCCAACAATTATAAAAAATATTATAAATGTGGTACGTGCCAGTATTAATGGATTCTTCTGCAGCGGAGAAATGATGCTCAAACTACTCATTTTCATAGAGTATGACAATTACATCTAATTTCAAATACTAAATAAACATATCAGTCATAAAGTGCCACATATTACAAAATCAGTATATTAAAAAATTGTCGAACTTTCCTGCAACTCTGAAAGTTACCAGTTATTGTTTGACAATTTAAAATAAATAAAGACACGTGCGCCAGTTTTATTGTTTCATGGTTGTTTGAACTATTATTGACTCCCTTGTCTCTCAGCTAATTATCCAAAAAGTCGCTTTATTTTATATATGCTTTATTTACCCGGCATCAAAGAATATAACCTTACTGATGTTAACTGAGTCTCAGGAACGATCAGGAACTACTAACAGATGACAGCAGTATGCACAAAATTTGACTCCACAATCTGAGATGTTCGATCTTCATTGCTTGAAAAATTGAAATCACTGTTTAGTATCTAAGTATATGTCTGTAATATTGCTAACAAGTTCTAACATTTATATATATTTTGTCATAATTTTACAATATAACCATTCACAAGAGTAATATTATGTAATAAAAAATTATCTCTGAGACAACATTTGAAGGAAAAATATTACACTTGTTACTGTATAAAAGCCTTTACAAATCTAAATAAAATTGCATTACTCTTGGTTCCATTGTTGTCAACCTTTCCATACAGCTACTTTTTTATTGATGAATGATCAACAGTTATTTAATGTTGTACAACAATTCATAGATCATAGCACTCGTTGAATTCTGCATGACGATTGGTTTAATATTGACCCAGTCACACTTCAGTATTATTCTTTCAAAAAGAAACTTTTATACAATTTTTATAATAAATTATTTAAAAAAATATATATTTCTGAAATTTTGACAATATTTGAATTAATCTATCGACATATATTTAATTGAAAAAAAAAGCAAGAAATAAACTATATCAAAATGGTTCCGGTTAGCCATATTATTGGGACTCAATGAATAAGCCAATCGAATTATTCCTTTTGTTATGATGCGCTACCAATGATACAATTTTAACAAAATTCTAATTTATTTCATGAAATACCTTTATAATGCCATCATTAAGAAAGATCTAGAGGCGCGAGAGTAGCGAAGGTGGAATGTATTTCCACTGCCAAGCAATTGAGCATGTCAGTTGAATACCATGAGGGGTTGGTTTCAATCTCTTGATGAATAACTATAAAAGAGCAATGAAAGTAAGCAGAAGTAAATGACTTGGTCATTGAAAGAAATACATACTGCCAAGAAAGTAGGGTGGTTCAGAGTTTCTGAGGAACAGCTACAACGAGAAGTATAGAGAAATAATTGTGTTCGGAGGGAAGGAAAAGTTGAAAGGTGGCGTCGTACATCCGGGGGTGGGGATATCACAAGGTGCGCGTGTCTGTAACGCACCGGGGGTGGTTGGTCGGTGGTCCGGTGTCGGAACTCAGAAATTGCAATCGGTGACTTTTCATCTCCAATCTGAGTGGCATTTAGCGATACTGTGCTCGTGGATATTCTATTTTTTTTTACTGGAACTCCAAGAACTCCGGACGTGCTCCGGAGTGTGAACAAAGGGAAAGATAGAAGAGCGCGTAAGGATATTGAGGCGCGCAAAAACGCACGCGGTGTCTAAAAATGGCGAAGGCATTTCGCGCGGTGACAGTATCGACTTTGTCAAACAATGGACTGTCGACACCGAAATACGATAAGCCGGTTACTCTCAATATCAACTATGACCCCCAAGGCCTCAGCATCGAGTTCGTCTCAGGTATTATCTGATTAATGTAGGATTCAATCGATTCTTTATTGTCAATACCGTCTTCCAGACGCGACCTAACCACACTTTACCGGACGCTTGCTTCGTCCGCCTTTGTGGTGTCCGCCACCAAAATTTTCTCATGCATATTCGTTTTGGACGATCAGTTGAATTATTTTTAAATTATTCTAATTTTGTGGGCGTCTATCTTAGTGGATGCGATGTTTTTTTTTCTTACTGAAATAGATTTTATACCATTTGTATGATTACACGTTTTTTTCCCTCTTTTTATTTAATTTTTTTTTTCTATAATAATGAAGCTGGGAATTCTATAGAAAAAAATCTCGAGTGTTACTTTTTATTATAAATATTTCAAGGATCCTAGACATAGAAAATAAAACAGAAATATTTTTTTCAGTTTTATAAGCATGTTTCTTTTAATGCTTATTCATATAATATTTGTAGATATATATAAGCAATTTATTTTTTTTATAAAGTATTTTATGTATTTTAAGTTACTGACATGAACACTATGTATATTAGAGTAGGATGTAACGTTAGGTAACAATTTCATAATTTTATAACTACTATAACTTTAATTATTTTATTTATTGTATAGGGGAATCTGCTGAGAGTGATAAGACCTCATTACTGGAATTCCCAGTGACCCATACCACAGAATGTTCTCGAGTAGCATCGCAGAGTTATGTATTTACATTGGATACAGACAGTTTATTAATAACATTTGCAAATGAATCAGGTATGATTATATATTTAATAACAATAAACTTGTAAACAGGATTATACCAATAGAATGCTTATTAAAAAAAATACATTCAAAAAGTATAACTATGTAAGACATTGAAATTCATTGATTGATTGACAAACAAATGAATATTGTTTTCTGTATAGACTTTCGAAACTTCCACTCGCAAATATTGAAACTTAAAAATGGAAGAGGCATCTCTGCATTCAACGATAGAACAGAGGAATCTTCAGCTATGCAGTATTTCCAGTTCTATGGCTACCTTTCACAACAGCAAAACATGATGCAAGATTATATTAGAACGAGCACGTATCAGAGAGCAATTTTGGGAAATCTGTCAGACTTTAAGGATAAAGTAGTATTAGATGTAGGTGCTGGTTCTGGTATATTATCGTTTTTCGCGGTTCAAGCTGGCGCAAAGAAAGTTTACGCTGTCGAAGCTAGTAATATGGCAAATCACGCCGAATTGCTAGTAGCAGCAAATAATCTATCCGATAAGATTATCGTTATTGCTGGTAAAATAGAAGAAATCGACCTTCCTGAACGTGTTGATTGTATAGTGAGTGAACCGATGGGATACATGCTATATAATGAGAGGATGCTAGAAACTTATCTTCATGCCAAAAAGTGGCTCCTTCCAGGTAACATTATAATATATAATTTACAAATAAATGGAAGAGTTGCTGAAATAACATATAAAAAAAATTAATCTTCCTACATTCTAGGTGGAAGAATGTTTCCTTCTAGGGGTGATCTTCATATAGCACCATTTTCCGATGAGAATCTTTATATGGAACAATTTAACAAAGCTAATTTCTGGTATCAAACTTGTTTCCATGGTGTAGATCTCTCCGCGATGCGGAACAACGCGATTAAAGAATACTTTAGACAACCAATCGTAGATACATTTGATATTCGCATTTGCATGGCTAAATCAGTTAGGCACATAGTTGACTTCCAAACAGCCGATGAGACTGATTTACATAAAATAGGTAAAGATCACATTTTTCAACTTTATATATTTTACAAGAATTTACTCAATTTATTCTTATTCATTTTATTACTTTAGAAATAGACGTTGACTTTCACATACTAGAAAGCGGTACCTGTCACGGACTTGCTTTTTGGTTTGATGTTGCATTTATTGGTTCCACACAACAAGTATGGTTAAGCACAGCACCCACAGAACCGTTGACACATTGGTATCAAGTGAGGTGTCTTCTAGAAAGTCCACTTTTTTGTAAAAGTGGACAACTGCTCTCAGGAAAAGTAATCCTTGTTGCCAACAAAAGGTGAAATCAATTTTCATGGATATTATAGTTTCCAAGCACTTGTATATTATAAGCATTTATTTCTTCAAGAGAAAAATAATCCAAAATGTTGACTCTCCATTTCAGACAATCTTATGACGTTACGATAGATTTAAAGTTGGAAGGCACGAATATGGAGAGTAGTAGTAATACGTTGGACTTGAAGAACCCGTACTTTAGGTACACTGGTGCAGCAGCACAGCCGCCACCTGGCCTAAACAATACTTCACCTAGCGAGTCATATTGGACCACCCTTGATGCGCAGGGTGCTCGTCAAGCAGTAAATATGGTCAATGGGATGTCCGTTAACGGTCTCGGTGAAGTGTCCATGGACACGAGTGGATCTGTCAATCCTACTAATTTACTTGCAATAGGTAAGGTTTCGTTTGATTCCGCATTATACAATTACTCATTCTGAATCATAAATAAACCTGTAGCTAAATCTTACTCTGTTCACCTGTATGATCATTGATCGGATGTACTAAAAGCATAGTAGTTGGTTGAAACATGTCCTCTAGATATTAATTAATGGATGTCATTCATTTTCAAGTATCCTCTCATAACACCTGCTAATAATAGATATTTAATTATTTATTTTGAGCCGTAGTTTATGTTACTGAAGACATTGAATACTTGGTCCATACTGTGGCTGTTGTGTAAAATATAGTTGACATGTTATTGCTGTGACTAGATAATAGAGAACTAAGTTCTCTTGTATTTTATCTCTTCTTAATGCGACAATTGCTCAATATTCATATTTTTATCCGAAACAGGACAGTAAAGATTATTGATATCTTATTTTTGAACATGTATTTAATAAAATAGTAGCATAAAAGCATTGTTCAGTATGCACATAATTTTCATAATTTTTATGTCATTTATCAGTGTATCAAACATTTTTTTATAACTCAATTTCATTTTGATTTTCCCTACTATAAGTCATTTTGTTAAGTACAAAGGATGCAGCTACATGAGTGTCATCCAGTGATAATCATTATTTGTAAATTTTGTAAAATCGAATCCGTGTCAATAAACAACTCTTTTTAAGATATGGGTTGAAGATACCGTTAATTTAATCCATTTTGCAACTTGCCACAAGTTATCTTAGCATCCCACATTATAATTACTTTGTGTTGCTACCTGAGTTTATTTACCTCCAGATAATATTTATCAATTGAATATTGCATGTCATCATTAATATTCCCACTCCTTCGATCAGTACAATGTACATCCCATCCATAATGTTTTGTCCGTAACTCTAATTAGTATTATGAAGTATCTTATAAGAAATCCAAATCCTCCACATATACATAAATATCTACAATCATTGACATTCCTTGACGAATGTACAATTGATTTAAAATATTTGTATGCAATAGGAGGTCAACCTAACATACATCCTGGCTCGATTTCAAGTACAGGCCGTGGGCGAGTCGGTGGGACAGCAACAAGTACGCAAGCAGCTCAACTTATAGGAGGTGGAATTACACCAAACATGTTTACTTCGCCAGCAACCGTAAGTACCTATAAATTATTTTCAGCAAGCTACTCCCAGTAACCGGTAAACCGTGGCCGGGGAGACTTCGGTAACTCTGGTCGTCCTCTCGTTTTATTCATCACGAGTAACATCGACTCACTCGTTTTACCCTTAATGCTAATAATACACAGTGCACAACACTTCCCTTTAATATCGCGTGGAGGTAGTTTATAACTATTATTGCCATTAGTATTTAAGTATTATATTATGCCGTAGACATTGTACGAACGTAAGAATGACGAAGGTCGAGTTACTACGGTTTACAGGGAAATTAGGGTAGCAGCTAGCTCAATCCGAATAATGTTACCGCATTCCAAAAGGGGTACTAAAGCGAGCGTCTGCCTGCGTGACTTTCGCGCTACAGCTTGGTGTTACTTTCCAGCAATCGCTGGTACTCGGCAACACCTCGCATTATCCGGTGAATCCGAGTTTGATGATCGGTGACTACGTGACACCAGGCAATGGCATATCACCTCAGGCATATCGACAATGATGCACGGGGAAGCCCTTTCGCACGGCGTTCTCCCGCAAAGCAAAGCAATTACAGAACGATCATCATCACCACTACCCACATCATCATCATCATCATCATCATCATCATCATCATCATCATCAGAGCAGTAGCAACAGCAAGCAAAGTCGCAGACTCGTGTTCAGCTCACCCACCAGTAAGCTTCGTCTTGCCTCAGCCGTGCGAATCCTACATGCTGTCAGTCTCGCCAGTCTTAATCCCGACCTGACGAGCCTCAACGAGAAGAACGTCAGCCGTATCACCGAGAACAATATCTACTCGGGCACAGGATTCGGATGGGGTGCTAATAGAAACAAATCCCTCCTGGAGGCGCGCTGGAGAAGGCTTCGGGCTGTCGTCTCGTAGCCGTCGATCACGTCCTCGTTATTAATCTGCCTAGAAGATTCGCTCTTCCAGACTCATAGAGCACGCTCGCCATAAGTTCTTCAGAAGTATGATGATATTTTTCATGACAATACCAGTTTATAGCGTGCCCGTGGAAGAAGCGTGCCGCGCATAACGTTCAAATACGTTTTAAAGAAACGAAACATATGTACACTGTTTTTCCTCTCCAGCTCGATCTCAAACGATTATAATAGTGAGCGCGACACCCTCGTTATATTTAATTAAAGATGATGCAACTGGTTTGTATTGGATCTTAGGATACCTATGTGATCAATGCTGTGACGTCATTTTAACGAAGCATCCCGTACCGTTTGTCATTGCAAGTATTATTAGTATTCTCCTGGTAAAGTTTTTAGTGATACGTCAAGAGATTTAGTTGTCTCACCTCTACTGTGAGTATTTACCAAATACCAGGCCATCGATATTCATTGATATTCGTTGATAGAATTGGTATCAATCAGTGCAATGATCAGCGGTACAAATTGATACGAATCAATCTCGATTAACTTGTGACATCAATTACACATTCGTATGACGTTCATTCGACTATCTTACCTAGAAGACGCGCGAAAGGGCCTGCAAAAGACAATTCACTATGAGACGATGAGAACATCGATAAAAATCAAAAGAGTACTAGAAGTCCAAAAGTAGAGGCAGAAGAAATTACTTGAAATTAAATCGGTATACGAATTACAATTTATTTTAATGTACAGCTCCAATGCGAGTTCGAATGCGCCAATTGTGAATTCGTTTTGCGCCAATCAGCAAAGTAGACACGCTACATAGAGGTCCTATTATGCGGTTTTAAAAATCGATCTCAAATGAGAATTAAGATTGCGAAAGAGGAGAGAGTGGGAGAAAAGAAGGAGAAAGATCAGTGTAACCAAGATAAAGAGATATTACTGTCCGTGATCGTGCAATGGTAATTTTTCACTTACAAAATACTGTAAGGTCTTGCGAATCGATAGCAACGCTGTAAAACGACACTATGACTCACGTAAGATGATTCGTAATATTTTTTTTTGTGACAAAAATGGAAAAGATAAAGCTCCTCGAGTACAAGGCGCGATTGGCGAGATGACTTTTAAGTGACAGGCACTGCTGTATCTCGTGCCAAACGTTGCTTGCGTGGTCCCCCGTTGTATATACTCGCTTCTTCCATGTCTATTTTATTTTTTCTTTCATTCACTATATATATTTTTTTTTATACGACCGATGACTGAAATTTTACATTGTATACCTCAGAAGTAAACCCGGTTGTCTCAAGCCTAACGTGGGTAAGCGTCACTCTCCTAATTGTTAAGTAATTGAAAGCCACTTGTCGCTTAGAAGTATTAGAAGCGAAATCCAACGACGCCGCGTATCTTCAATTTAAATGGCAATGACGCTAGTGAATATTTATTGCATTCGGGAGAGAAACCGAATGCCGGTAGTGTTGTTATTATTTCATTCCTTTGTTACGGTGTCTTTCTTCTTTTTCTTTCTTTCTCTTCAATTTCGTTTTTGTGTGGATATCGACGTTCGTTCGTCGTAGATCTTTACTTTGAATTTCACTTCTTTTATTTTCTGCACATATGAGATTTTGACAAGAACGGAGGGATATATATATATATAAACTTACCGAAAAATGAAAACGCTTCAGTCAGTATTTTAAGTCATTATGAGTGACCATTCGACCGAACGATTCTAGTTTTTAGTCCTTGTAATATATATATATATATATATATATATATATATATATATATATATAGCACGGAAGTAATGCGTACGGTATTTCAATGTGGTTACGTATAATTCTACGCTAATGTAATTGTGTTGTAACGATTTAACGAATCATTATCGTAGCTGATAAGACGCCTATCCGATTATACATATTCTCTCGTACTCGTGCGAATAAGATGATGAGGAGATGACAGAAAAATCAAGGAACTGTGCAAAGGAATACAAAGATAAAAACCTTACGTCCCAGAAATACCCATTACATTAATGTGGTTTTTTTTTAATTGTCTCACCGCTACGTCGCTGGACGTCTGTCGAATCGCCCCGGCGATATCGCGAACATTGAGAACCGCACTTTACATCCTGGATAACAGAAATAATACTTAGTACCTGCGTCGAATAATTATTGATGAATTTTCATGATATTTGGTCCATCAAGCTACAAGCTGGACTCGATCTACATACTTGATGATAGCGTTCTGTTTGACGTTGAAGCATCTTATCGTGGGTTTTGTTGTAACCTTTTTTTTTTTACAATTTTTTAAGCATATTTTTGTCGCTCATGACTGTTTCCAATGATCCGCCCGGTTTGACAGATCGAATGTTAGTTATGTAAACTCTAGTCCTCTTCACTACTTCACATCACAGGAAGTCGCATATACATTTAGTAATTTTGGCCTGAGATTATTTCTCATGATTAATTATAATTGCGAGGGAAAAAAAAGGAAACAAAAAATATAAATTGAATAACAAACACCGTACCAACCGGTGCGATCCGACGCGAGGCCAGTCCGGCGTTACGCTTATAATTCTTCTCTTCCTCGTTCCAGCTGCAGCATCCGACGTGCTCTTTTTTATACTGAATATACTCGGGACTCTATTACGTTCCGCGGATCCATTCTACTAGTATAAGATATACTATAATACCTAAGCTAATTAATAATTGAATTAAAATAAATTAAGTTGAAATTTTACCTCACTGGTTTATTTATTCTTGCTCAAAAGGCTCAGGCTGACGGAATTGACGAATGATTGAGAGTGAACTGCGCACCAGCTGATATCCTGGAGGTTTAATTGCGGTTAGGTAAGATCGGCAGGACGTATCGAATGTAGTTTTTGAACTTTGTCTTTTATGATGTATGTCTGTATCATTAGCACTGTATACTTTATCCGTGTCGATTTTCCATTTTATTATTCCAATAGGATCAGCTGGTGCTTATAGGTATAAACACACTGTCTCGGGGTCAGGAGGTCACGCACATTACTATCTACCTGCTGACCTCAGCTTCCATGTAGTACTCGTAGATGTTTAATTGCTAGGTAGGTAATTTTAATGCGTGTACGCTAGGTATGTGTAATGCACGATCATGTGACTATAGTGCCATTTCGGCCAATAAAACATCGTTCTCATCAATCAGCTGGTTATTTCTTATTTATTATAGTTTCTCCTTATATATTTATCCGAGGGATATTATTGCACTCTTGGGAAATGTGCCGGATGTACGTAATAGTGATGAATTCGATACACGGATTGTAACAGAAAATATATATATATATTTTTCTTTAAATAGTTACACGTTAACGCATAGACAACAAAACGAAACTCAAATAATTCCACGACTGTCCTCTTGATAAATACACATCACATACACTGTCCCGTATCTTGTAATACGACTAACTTTATAAAACGCTTGGTTCATTAAAAAAAAAAGATAAACTCGTTATATCTCTTGTTACCCGGAATACATTGCACCACGTTGTTTCTATTACAGCATTGTGCTATTGGCTGTAAAGTCCCATCCACAAGTGGAAACAGCAAGCGTTAACAAAGCCCTCGACCAGGTGGTACACGTCATTCACTGTAAAGGGGGAACTCAACACTTCGGCAGGATTTCTATAGACAACATACAAATCCTGAAAGATATGAATAAAAAACATTAATGAACAATATACCATGACCTTGAGATCCTTCAACATTATCTAAGCTCCCGTTGCAACCAGTGTTTTTCATCTATTAATATAATATTACTTACACCTCTGGACGTGTGAAGATCAATTGTCAGCATCATGAATGCTTGCAAGTAACTGGATGGTAGTACCAAATGATGAGTGACATTCCCATCAGGTGCATTAAATTGCTTATGGTGCTCTTGATACTTATTCTGTAAAACTTTGGATAGTGTCTGATACCAGGTCACTGGCTGATTTATCAATGGACTTAATCTTGAATCCAATACAGATAACGGCTCGACACGAGCTAATGATCGAAGTTCCATAAATTCTGCGTAACTCATTGTTGATTTGTTCTCCAAGAGCTTGTTCCAGAGTAGATGTGTTCTACAGTGCAAAGCACCACGCTCTACCATACTCATAATATGCTCACGTGCAGCTTGAGCTTGTGACATAATCATCTGTTGCATGACCTGCTCGTGCGAGGAATAATATCCTAGATAGTTAACAGATTCCTGGCGAATTTGTACAAGTTGTGATGAGGCAGACTCCACGTTTGGGATACTTGAAGTTTGAGTTAACGGTGAACTGGGAACTGGTGGTGGAGTTGGTGCTTGAGTATTATTCACATCATTACCGTTATCAGGTTTAGTATCAAGATCCTTTGTAGAAACAGTTATCTCCTGATTGTCGCGAAATTCGCTTGAACTCAAAACTGAATCTATTTTCGGATTTTTTGGAGAAAGTTGTGACATGAGTGACACTGGACTAGAGCCTCTGGAACTGTCGGCGTGTGAGCTTGTTGATTTTACTACATTGTAGACTGTACGGAATTTACCCAGCTTATTATTCTCAACTTCTCTCTTGGGATACAGTTCTCTCTTGCTGGTTAACATTAGGTAATATTTCAGTGTGATTTCTGTTTTCTCCATCTGCGGTGGCTGCTCTAATCGTGTCACAATTAATGTCACATCGAAATCATCTGTGTGTTTCATGTCTTGAGCGTCGCAGTAGCTTATCAGGGGAGTGCTCTGTAGTCGGACCAGGGAGAATTCACTGTCCTGGTTATCGTAGGAGTCCCCAGACATACCAAACACCTGCATGCCGTATGCTTTCTCATGGGAAAGTAAGTACTGATATAAGGTACGAGCTGGTGTTGCAAGGTTCGTTAAAGTTACTGCATCTAAAATGTTTCATGACAATAATTAATATATGTCTTAATAATTAAGAGTGTTGATACTCACCACTGTAAACAAGATTTCTCGCATAGTTAGGTGCCTTTGAGTAATACTTGTTAAAATCGTCCAGGAAGTGCGTCAGATGGTAGCCTTGTCGCAGGGACCAATGTCCACTTCCGGCGATGTATGAATGGATGCAGCGTAAATGAAAGTCATAAGTGAACGAATGAAGATGCATATTAATCTTGATCTTGTCGCAGGCATCCACAAAGCTCAGCATAAACTGTAGACATTATGAATTCATTAATTTCGACTAGTACTAAAATAGTGAGAATAATTTTATGTATTATTCACCTGGTTGACTAGGGCGCTGCTCGTTTTAGTTTGAAGTCTACTGCATTCTACTATATGTAGTTTGACAATGAAAAATGGCTGTGCCAAATTTATTTCAAACAATAGGACACCACCGAGCATTGACTTTTGTAGATAACAGGAACGTTCTTTGTTTGAATTTCCATCCCTAAAAGTTTGTAATGACAAATTTTAGTAATATGATCAAGTATTAGTTCCTTTATACAACATACGTTTTACGATTTGATTCCACTTGAACTGGATTGAATCCTAGCACTTCCAAATACTGTTTGTATTCGGATAACATTGAATCACATAATTCTTGATGCCATTCAGTAACGACACTATCATTCAAATGACCATTGCCACTTTTCCCATACTGACTGTTTGATGGGGATTGTGGCTGTAGATTGACATTCGACAAGACATTTGGTGGTGGTGTCAGTGAATGATCTCTGGTGGCAGCTGATTGCAATCTCCAATTTGGGAGAAATAATAAAGGACTATGGCAATAATGAATCAGTCTGGAGTGTTGCTTAAAAGTATTCAAGGTAGTTAATGATATTGGGATGTTGGGTGTAGCACCACGACTCTGCCACAGTGTACTCAGTCTCTTGAGATCCTCTGAAAAAAAAGATACTTCATATAAAAAAAATATAAGTTGTATTTGACAAGATTCATGAAATAGATTGATGTTTACCCTTAGATTTTTTCTCTTGGTGTCTTAGTTCTTGAAAATCATTAGCTGCTTTTATAACTGGATCCGTAACACTGCCAGAATGATGCGGACTTGGTTTGGCATCTCTCAACACTTGAGAAACTGAATTATTAAAAAATAAATTAGTATTTTTCCCCGACTGTCCACGACCTGCTGGTTTTGACCATTCTTTGCTATCGTTATGTAAAGCGTGGGAAAATTTCGTGAGAGTGTCCATATCCGTTATTTGATAGTACTGAAAGCTCCCTCTATCACCCTGTTGATAATTTTGCATAGGCTGGTGATAAAACACTCCTAATTTTTGCATTATTATGCTTGAGAATAAACTGGATCTTGATGTTAGCCATGTACCCAGCTTTGTTGCCTGCTTTATTAGTATCTCAGATCTCTCCTTGGACCAATTGTACATATATAAGATAATCTGCAAAAAACAAAGTAATAGACACTCATTGAATTTGTCATTATATCTAATCGACTGTAGCTTTTTTAAATTGATCAATCGTACATTGTCACTTTGTACTCTGGCCAAGAGAAATCGCTGTCGCGGTACAAATTTTGAATCCAGTATCAAAGGATTAAACTTCTGAACTAGTTTTTGATCTAAAAAAGAATATTTGTTACAAAAAATATTATCCATTGCATGATATAGATTATAAATATTTATTAGTTCTTACCTTTAGGACCCAGCAAGTCCGGTTCTACAGTTTTTCCAAAAGAGGCTTTCCATTGATAAAAATTTCTTGCTACTAAAATGCACTTGGTAAATGTACTATGATCGTCTCTGGACAAATCACAAGGAATATACACCACAGGACTGTCATCAACTTCCATCTTTAAGGATCTTGATAACCACCCTATATTAATACTCTCCATGCTCTCAGATGCCTTGAACGGTTTACTATTAAGTAGATCCTCCTGGTTAACTGTATTAGTGTTTAAAAATGGTTGTCGATCTCGAAGAACAAATGTTTTAGTTGTCGTATCCGGTGCATTGCTACGTATAAGGTTTTGAAGTTCCTTTACAACAACCGGAAGTGGATGCCGTCGTTGAATGACAACCACATGTTTCTTAACAGCAGGAACACCAATTTCTAATGCAAACTGAAACCAGTAAGCCAAAGTCATATGATAAACTTCATGTAATTTCCCTTCTTCTCCATATTCATAGTGATTAATTTCAATATTCTCATGAAGTTTTCCCTTATTGGTCTTGATTTTGATGGGTGTTTGGGTTTCCTTATTTACTGTGGGTCGCATTTGAATGTTATCACATGACAATGGTTCTGTGAGAACAGTAGGTAGAAGATTATATTCTGTAACAAGATCCCACGTTGCGTGTTTCACAGCAGAACGCAATTTTTGTATTAAAGATTCAAGATTTACACGGCCCTGTTTCCAGATCCTAAATTCGATCAAAGCTTCAGGTTTAGTATTGGACTTGGCATTTGAATTCTTGTTGCCTTCATAAACAGAAGTGGATACTATCTCCTCAAAATCTTCAACCTTTAACGAGATAGGTAAACTGGAATCTGTAACTGGAGCTCTCTCAGTCCGTATTAGATCACCATTAGAATTGACAATAGCTAGTGCAATACAAGCAATTCCTCTACTGCCACTGGATTGACTTTGATTGTATAAAAATATATCAGATTCAGACACTCTATTGTCAGATCCTTCCGGTTGAAAGTAATCTTGAAAATGATAATTCGACCTAGGATCCGTGTACTTGGGTATATGTAAAAATTGGAGTATATTCTGCCTAAGATAATAACCCAAAGCGTCCATTCTAGGTAAACAATGTGGTTGCACAGATAATTGTACGATGCTTTCTGTTGACTTGAATGGTCTCTGTATAAAATGCACATCAGCTGGTGTCAATTTGCACATAGGATTCCTGGCAAGCAATCCAGACAAGACTTCCAGTACAGCATCATCCAGCCTATTCTGAAGTACTTGTACGAGCCCACACTTAACTTGTTGACCAGCCTCCGATATCCCATGTACCATGAGTATAATAGAGTCGCCAGATTTGTTCAGAATATCACACTCCTTTTCTCCAAAGGATCGCACCCTGGGTCTGGAGTCATCGGCTGATGTCTGATCATTGGACGAACCGTGGCATCTGGATTGTGACAACGATGCTACACTACTGCTCCTTGAAACGACTAGTCTCTCATCACTTTCCGATAATTTATTTTGAAAACACTTGGCCTCACTAGTTTGTTCGTGAAGTCGCAGATAAAAGACATTTTCATTTGGTTCCTGGTAAACGAACATGTTGTTTCTGTTGTTCACTGAGAAGCGGTTTAGTACGCCATGCAGCGCCTTGATACCACGAGACAATCCGGATTTCCCAGGGCCGGTTTTTAGCCGTGGATGCAGACAGAATGGAACTTCCCATATAACGGGACACCGAAAGAGTCCTGGAGTAGCGTTTGATGTTGGATTGTGATTCTGAAGAGAGCTTCCTGATTCGCTTCCTGTCTCTCCTCTCCAGTTATTATGATCTTCTGTTGACTCAGGTTCCAGGAGAGGATCACAGATGCGTGTATCGTGAAGATTTTGCAGAAGGAGGTACTGATTCACTCGACGACATATAGCCTTTATCTGTGAGACTACCATCTTCTGAATCTGACGGTAACGGTCTACTTCCGGTGAAGCTAGTTCTAGAAATCTGCAATGATCAAATGATTAAATTTCAACCATGCAATAGGATGGTATTACTTTATATACCTGCAATGGAAGTAAACGTCCACGTGACTGAGCTGGACTTTTAAAATCAACCAAAAGTTTGGTAGTAAAATTCTACGCTTGTCTAAGTCAGCCAGCCAATGACAATCATCTTCGGAATTACTACTATCACCCTCGTATCCGTCATCTGTTCCTATTGGTCCTTCACCTAGACTAGAAATTTCTGAATGACAACCGGATGGATCACCAGAATCTTGTCGACTAGTACGATTATTGGTGTCGGTTTCCTCCTGCTTCTTATTATCCGGAGGTGCATTGTCTGTGCCTGTACAAAATCCTTATTAGATTTCGTAATTATATTTAATTTTTGTACTAGTATAATTAACAATGCATTTACCTTCTTCAAATATCTGATCTTCCAAATCTTTCTTGTCTTCAGATATCCGTTCCACAACGCTTGACTTTCGCGCAGGATTTTTTGCAAAATAAAACAAATCACCTTCCGGCCTCATACAGTAACGATCTATCTCAAGTTTCTTTAATTCTGCCAAGAATTTTGGAACGCTACGCTCAGCTGGAAATACAAAATGCAATGGAACTTTATCTGTATGGCAACTCGAACGTTCGTGGGATTCTGAAACATGCCGAGCGACAAAGTTTAAAGTTTCTTCAGAAGGTGTAGATTGATCAAGAAGAGCAGTAGCGGTTTCATCTTGCAGTAGCCATTCGATCTCATCCGTTAAATTTGCAATAGCGTTGTGCTGGTAAAGCGGAAGATGAGGAATTCTTTCTTGTAGCGGTTCCTGCGTCTCGGATAGTTGTATATCATTACCAGGACTACTTTCACTGTCAGTGCGTGTGCTACTTAAAGGAGAACCACTACAGTAAGACGTGGTTCTAAGACCAGGATTATGTTCTAAACTGACTTCAAGCACTTCCTTGGGAAGATTCAAACACATGATATCAAGAGTGATTTTCAGATATGACGGATCCCGATCCTCATAATCGTCAAGTCTCTGTACTATTTCAGTAAAACAAGTTGGCAGAAGCTTTACGGGTACCGAGGATATGTTAGATTTTGAATGAATTGAGCAATTCAATTGTAAGAAGAGAGGATGCTCCTTGTTGAAATTGTCATCTTCACGAAAGTCACAGCTAAGAGATCCTGTTGAAGCACGACTGGAAAGTTTTGCGGTATCTTGAAGATTTGTTGCTGGCCACGTAGCATTCATAGCTTGATTAACAGAGGATGCATCATTAAGTAATTATTACATTAAGATATACTCTTTTGGATATCAAACTAATAATTACCCTTTACGACATTATTATCGGCCTTGCAATCCATACTTTCTGAGTGAAAAGTAAAGCCTTCCAATTCGTCATCGCTATCTGTTCTATTAGAATTCAATCTCTCCTGCAAGTATTTTTACACTTCAATATAGAATGCAAAATTTATATAATAAAAAATTCAGATTAATTAATCCATGACAACAATAGCCTACCACTCTGTCTAGAGTCCAAGAGGGCGAACAATAGTAAAATTCTGGATGAGCCGGCACTGTTCTAAATGCTACAGTCATTATCCTCTCAAATTTATCTTTAATCAGATTATGCAAAGGTTGCACATCATTACACGCAGCAGTTTCTAAGCGACTTTGCAAGCCACTGTCTGAGGAAGAACTAAGATGACGACAGACGGATTGAAAATACTTTGTGACATTGATTTCAACGACATGCTCTTCACACTGATCAACCGCAGCTTCCATATCTTCGTAGCTTAACGGATGCTGAAGAGCGAGGGATTTGTAAACAGCCACCACATAGCATTTGCAATGAGCTAAGCTCAAAAGCTTGCAGTGCTCTGTCAGGCTTCGTTGATCTGTAAGAGTGAAAAGGTTTTTTAATCATTTCTAAAATGAATCTTACTTTATAAAAATCAATTCAATTGAATATTACCATTAAATATATTATCGGAATCCTCGCTCTTAGGTTCAGGCGATGAAGGTTTAGTGTCACAACCGGATTTCAAGTTCACAAAATCCTCCCCGAACTGTTCTCCTACCTTGAACGTGTGATTTTGATAAATATCTTTGGCACGTGGTGATTGAAGTTTCTCAACGAGAGCATCAATTAGTACAGCTAGTGAACAATCATAAACATAAATCGGTAAGATCAATTCCTGCTTAGGAGTATCTTTTGGCCTTCTACAAGGATTAGCTTTTGGTGTACTATGTGCTGTGGTACATTGACTCGAGCCATTAGAGTCTGTTTCACCAATTGGTAAATTTCTAAATGATTCAGATCTCTTGATTTTTCTTATACACGAGGCTGAACTCGAATCTTTCTTTTCTAAATCATGAGAATTCATGATTGATTCATCTTGGCCAGTGCAATGACTATGATTATCATAATTTTTATTATCATTGTCTCCCGCAGTACTGATAAACAGACGTACATCTCCCGCAGATGCTGGTAACATTGTAACGATTACGTGAGTGACACTTATCCCTTTGATAAAGCATCTCCATTGTGGTTTGGCTGCCGAATTTTCTAAAAAATATGGACGATATAAACATGATGATGTTACTCTAAGCTTATGAGTGATCAAAAACAAACTGTTTGTTATACCCGTCTTAATGGAGAAGGGAAAAGGCGGTCCATTATCTCGTGATCTGTTTAACAGCATCTCTGTAAAATTCTCTGAATCCTCAGGGGTAAGAAATAATTCCTTATTATGAAGACGCCTAACATGCTCAAGAAATCCTTCCATTAGAATTCCATTAGCACCATAGTTATTCTCATCTATGCATATTGGGTCTGTAACAGTCCAAGATAAAAACAACATCAAGTATAGTTTCCCAACGACTTGAATCGTCAAGACTTTTCCTACAGGAGAAAGATGCTGACCGTCATTGAACATAGAAAAGAGAAGTTCAGCCTGTTGACATTTTGGCAAAATGTTGAGTATTTCAAAAGTGAATGGCACCAAGTGAATTCGTTGATCAGTATTAGGTGGACCCTCATGAAATGTAGCAGATGGACCGCGTCTATTACAATTTCCAAGTGTTCCAGTGCTTCCTCCAGCAGCATGACTTCCTTGGCACTGTTGTCCTGGTGTAGGACCATTTAATTTTTCACTGGGGATGACCTGACTCAGTAGACTCAAGTGTTCCAACGTCAGTAAGGCATTAACGCACTCCTCATCAATCTGGGCTATCTGAAGTCGATAAGAAACAAACCCAAAAACATGAATAACATGAATACGTCCAGAAAGAATGATTGATCGTTCATTGATGAAAATAAAATTTTCTATAGTCTTAGCCACGTAAGTTAGGTGTGTCCCTCGGCTGTCACGTGCTCAAATAAACTGATACCATTGTAGTGAGTCATTGAACCAGGATAAAAATAATGTATGTACACTAATTTTACAAGCCTACAGTAAATTATGACACTGGCTAACCTAACCAGTCTTTTTTTATTACGTATTCTAGGCGATACAGGTAAACACTTGTAAGAAGCCAGATTTTAGGTAGATTTCATGTAACACTTTGTCATTACATTGTGGCATATGTAATACAAAATACAACATACAAATATGTGTCTGCAGAATAACTAAGACTATTGCATACAGTTTTTGAACTGTGATTTTAACTAAAATGATATCAGATATCATAATACGATTACACAGGAATACTCGATTCGTGATAATTAAAAAGAAATGAACAGAAAAAATAATATATTGTGTTTATTACAAACCATAATAATACAATGCCAATGAATTTTTGTACTGGTCTGATAACAAGTTTTGTTTCAATTAATTATAGGTTCTTCGATTTAACAATTTATTGGACATGACAACTGGACGGGATGAAGGTACAGCTTTATTTGGTACAAAGTAAAGTCTAGAAAAAAGATACAAAAATAAATATGTAACGTATATAAATAAAATAATGTCCCTTGAAAGAAAATATATTTATATTGTTTGTCTGCTGATTTTTCCATGAGTTCCACGAAATAAATTGCAAGACAAATTTTTCCTAATATATCTATCAGTCAATCGCATAAGATCTGGATTAGAAATGGCCGTGGTAATTCGAGCAGCCAGGAATAAGTTGGAGGAGTTGAATCTCACTTTAACGCAAAGCGAAGAGACCACTTCTCCACTTGAACCATGACGCTCAGATAAATGATTCTTTTCACGAAATATAGCCAATTCGAAATGTATTGATCGTCGATAAAATCGGCGATAGTACCAGGTAAGAATAGATGACGATGTTCCGCGAGACCTTGAGCTGGAAGAGTTAGATCTGGCAAGTTCCCAGAGCAAAATTGCTCACTGCCTAGATCCCCACTTCCAACTAAAGATATGGCAGATCGTGATCGGTAGTCCTAGAACGTAGGAGGTCCGCAGGAAATGACGAAGACATCGTAAAGGAAGAAAGAAAGATTCCAAGACGAATTCTGCTCCATGTTCGATCGAGGTGAGACGAGAAGAAATTAAAACGTTTTTGTTTTTTAAAACTGATTATTAACAAATACCGATAACCGTTCGTTAATTCACAATCAATGTGGATAACAGTTACGCGACGAAAGATCGATCGTTGAACCGATAAGATCGTCTGCGAGTACGTGACACCAGAATATTTATATTACAAAAAAAAATACAAAAAATTAAAAATAATTAAAATTACAGCTCCCGTTTGATTATTAATTTTTATATAATTATTTAAATAGACGAAACAATGTATCTGGTATTTTTTATCATTCACGTGCAATATATTCTGTACTTTTTTTTTATAGCCAAGCAACTTCGTCGTTATGCCCGGTGAAATCGCGATTATCCGAGGACACGTAAGCGGTGACACTTTGGACAGATATCTCTTGTGAGATTAAAATAATAAATGACCGAAGACCACATTCGCTCCGTAGAGGAAAACGCACGAAAAGTTAATCGGTAGAGGTAATCCGATCACTAGCGGGCCCAGAATACGCCCTGGGCCATATATATACCTGAGGAGACTGATAGGAAAACCCCGTTCTAGCTCCCTCATCGATATCGGAGCCCCACCCCGATAACGATAACGATACCTCGGCGATAGATGGTTACATCTTTTCAACATACGACACACAATTTTCAACGATCGAACTATCGCCCTTTTTATGGTACCGAGTTATTGCACCATCGATACTCTTCATTGAAATCAGCCTAAAAGACATGGAACGATATTCCAGACACTGGGAACTGGGCCGAAAGTAAGCAGGGGACCGAAATCGTATTTCATTTTCTTTCTAAAAAGAAAATAGAGATGAACAAAAAGAACCAATGTCCGTTCAATTCGAAGCGTTCCAACGTAAAAAGAGTCTCGGGAGAACTATGAACGAGTAATAGGAAGATACGAGTTTGAAGAGGTCACAATGAAAAATGCACAAGCTTACTGGATACTTATGTCACGGCTCATGATTGCAACTATTGGATAAGTATATCTGTAGATAAAGTGGAGTCAGTTGTGCTATAGATAATAAATATAATATAAACAGCACTGATGAGATTTCTCGAGCGAATCAATGAAAAAGATCTGGTTTGATTATTTCATTAAAACCTGACTGGTTTGTACTGACAATTGGCTTGTTGAATACCTTTAGGATTTAGATGACTTCCCAAAGCTGTGAATTACTTGAATTTGCTCTGTGTAACCATGACTTGTCAATGTTCTCAGTTAAATTTTCAGGGAACGTCGCTGCTCACTTGAAATGACGCATTTGTTGCTCAAATAGGTTCGACAGTTTTTCCCTCTGCTCTTGGGATGGTCATGTTTGTAAATGCGATGTGATACGAGTGAGTCGTATTTTTTGAGGTGGAGACAATTCGTGGTTATATAACTTTATGACAAAAAGAAAACGCTCATTAGTTTTCATCTTCGTTTGAGATAGTGCTTAGAAGAAGAAGAAGAATAAAGGAGCGACATTTATTGAAATTTAATTGACTATGATAGTCGATGAGAATATTAAGTTTATCACAGGTGCATTTTCTGAATGAATCTTTGATATAATATATCTGGATAGGTTTGGGTGATTCCTTCCTCTCAGACGTCGTAGGTATCATGGATTTTTGGATCTTGGAGGAATATTCAGCAACGTGGTTCAGAGTGCATCGGCTAGTGGATATACGGTCCTCTCCGACGGAGATGTTTGCACAGAGATAGACGTTACTGACAAAATAAACCTCTTCAGAAAGCCACCAGTCCGTGGAACTTTGAATATTATTGATTACGAACATTATCATGTCGGCTTAAGATAAGGATACCTCCAGGAATTGGAGAGATGCTTTCAAAGTTATAGTAGTCCCTAATACGTTAATTTTTGGTATAGATTGAAAATTGCAATGAACAATTTTTAGGATGGCAAAATGAAAAATTATTATAGCTTTTTGAAACTGGTGAAAATAACTTAAAATTAATATGAATATTGCTTTGGATAATCTTAGGATTCAGGATCAATAAAAAATTGTAAGTTCTCAGGATTGATAATGTTAATTGATCAATTGTAAAGTTTTAGCTATTATATGTATATAAATATTTTATATAACACTGAAATTAATTTGACCGAATGTGTATCGAGTTGATTAGACCTGGTATTCCTCAAGAATCGAATGTAATCAGGAGAATTGTAAGGTATTGAATCTAGATATCATATCGTCATTGAGACTAACTCTCACAAGCAAGCAGTCTTATCATTCTGGTCACGTTAACCAATGAAGGTTGTAGCAAAGAACATGACTGGATATTATATATTTGGCGAATAAATTTATATGATGTAAGATACATTTAATTATGTATAAAATTAGACTCACCGCATCGGGTATCTGATGGTAATAAAGTGGATGCATGTATTCAGCTGTCTGATGAATCGGTAGTTGAACTCGGCCGCATTGGGGCTCAATCCAGACTTCAGTTACAATTTGAAAATCACCACAGGACTCATTATCCTCAGTACCACCATCTCCGTCACCAGTTCCTAAGTAAAATAAAATTAATTAGAAAATTCTAAAGCATGGCACAGAAATACTTTCAACATATAACTAATTCGATATCTGTTTACCTTCATCGGTATCTTCCTCTGACCCACTTTCTTGTTCCATCGATGGATTAACAGTTTTGTGAGGTGGGAACAAAACGTATTGTATAATACATGGATGTGATAGATCTTCAACACCAGGACCTTGCATTTGTACTTCTAAAACCATATTTATAATACCCGCAGCAGAGTAGGCAAAGCTAAAACCTTCGGCTAAACGTATTCTGTAAAAAAACAAATATTTTTTTTGATTATTCATATTCAATATGACAAAAATGTATTGATTCTTACTTGGTGATCGTGGAGAGTATCCTAGCAATGGCTGTCGTGTTCAGTCTAGGTAAAACTATGTCAGGAATTGTATGAATAAGTGGTTTTTTAACAAGCCAAAGCCAACGACTGTGATACAAATATCTGGACAACGTTGTTGTCAAACTACCACCAGGAATTGGGGTATTTTTCATGACAGTTGGTTGTGTTCCATCTGGAAATACTACGGTGCTCAAGTCAGTAGGCATACGTTCATACCGAATAAGAATTCTTTCTAACGGTTTATGAACAATTGTACAACATGGAATCTCTCGTTGTTCCGTAGGTCTGTTTGGTAACGTTAATTTAGACAATCTATCCACGAGATCTACGACTACGTTGTGTCTGACAACACCTTCTGTACCACCAGCAAAAGCCACGTTCAATACAACACAGAGTGCTTTGGAGCTCACGCGAATAAGGGAGAATGATACTGGTGGTTTATCCATTTCACGGTATATAAATTGAACATAGGTATGATTCTCAACTAGGACAAATGTAGCCCAGTTTTTCAGCATAGCGTACAGAGACGCAGCTGCTTGTCTGCATTGAACACATTGAAACCTTCCACTCTGATTAGCTTGATGAAGATGCCTTGGTAGGGGTCTATCATGTGACAATACTAAGGTAACTCTTTGAGAATGCATCCATCTAGCCCACTGAAGTGGATCCAGAGATACAACTGGTTGCCAAATTTGACCAAATTGAGGACAGGCAGCATCGCTGAAAAGATAAACGTATTTTGGATTTCTCCAGGAAATGATTCACCTCGCGCTATACGTACCTGAGCAATATAGTATTGACTGAAGGATACGTTGGCAAATAGAAAACTGGCATACCACTTTTGATGGTATCTGGTACGCTGTACCAAGGCCAACCTGATCCAGGAAACCAACTGAAATGTGAGAGCATGTTATCGCTCTCTGTTAACGACGATAATGCTATCCAAAATCGAGAGACGACGCTCTGACGATACTGCGATTTCAATGGTTTTTTAGATAAACACGTGATATCATGCAGGAATTCATAAGGAGCTGCAAACATGTATAAAACTTGCCGACTTCTTAAATACTTTGAGGAGCAGCAGACAATTGTATATACTCACCTTCGATTGTGATCGTGTATTGAATAGTGTTTGATCCAGCCAACGACTTTGGGGGCCATTGACATGTTACCAGATATTCCAAAAATACATGTGTTTTCCAGGGTAGCACAAAACACAATTCGAGATAGCCATCCCGCAATGTAACCCTTTTTATTAAATAACCTTCTCGCAAACGACAGCACAGTAGACTACTCAGTGTGCAAGTGACTTTGTCATCGATTTGCTTTTTCCTCAAAAGCTGAGGGGATTTTTGACTATGAAACAAAGTATTTTCTGTGTACCAGGCTCTCATATCATCCGCTGTGATGGAATTGTCACGATACAAATGCCAGCACAGAAAATTTTGCTGGTAAAGATTCATATTCGCTTCATCCATTGGTACCTGGTTGAGGATTCATTATTTTGTACGTTAGACTTGATTTCTACATCTTAGGATATATCGATTAAAAGGGTCTTACTGGTTGTGGAATGAAAGTCATATAAGATCCTAATGTGGCTCTTGCCAGAAACCGTAACAAGTCTGGATATGGAACTAGAGCTTCTGCACAGTGTGGATGATACGTACTGCCCACATGTATAAAAGTGCATGCAACTGTGGATGCTCGTAGTTGTTGCAGCACTGAATCTAATACGTGCACATCCGCTACACCCACTATGCCATCAGATACCACTACAAGATCTAGAAAATAAAAGTAGATTTGATTATTAGTATGATAAATTGTTTTTCAATCTGGTTAATAGCTTAAGAGAAACCTACGAGCACAACTGTGCTCTGGAAGAAGAGCAAGTGCTAGAATTCCATATCGTAGCATATTAATAAAACTAGCTTCCGGTGATACCATGGAAATATTTGCAACATTGTTACTGTTGTTTTGACCTATGCAAATGCCACCCTCTTCAAAAAGTCCTCCTACTAATCTTTCGCTTTCAGCTCTCAATGTCTCTAATTGCTGGTTAGCTATGCCTGTGACCAATGCTACTTTTTCTTCCAAACATTTTAATTGCTGCTCTATGTATTGTATCAGATATTCAATGTTTTTCACAGTAAGAAGCCAACCCTGTACAAGAACTTGTTGAGCAGGACTTGTGAAGAATGGTGTATGAGCTATTATTGTGATGTAAATTTCAGGCTGCATTATTCGCTTACTTCCTGGGACAATAAACTATAAAAGAAGATGTATTTAACATATTGTGCGAACCAGATAATATACTATAATCTCATCTGTTGAAATACATACAGGTTTAACTATACATTCCAGACACTGCTTCATTGCCAAATAAACCTCATCTATCACAATTTCCCCATGTTGGATGTCCTGAAATAATAAAGTTAGATGTTAGATATTCACCTTTATAAATTAGACCATTATTGAGAATTATAATATCACTCACAACAGTGGCAAGAGATGGACTAAGGTCTAAACTGAAAGCCATCCTATACTTGTGAGCCAGAAAAACTAGGGAAGTTGCAGTAGTGATCTTATATTGATACAAATAACTATTATCCGACCTCCAAGAAGCTGGCATATCTCTTGGAAGGACAGAAACAATTTCCAGTTCTGGAACTTCTTCATTTTGTATATCTGGATGTTGTATCGTTATAATGCTTTCCAAATGTTCTAACATCCACTGAACCCTGACATTTCGTGATATTGGAAAGCCTTTTTTCATTAGCAAATAAACTGTGTCTGCTTCCAAAAGTATCTGTTCCTGTATAAAAAAACAAGTAAAGAATCAAAGATATCGATCCTGCTCTCAAATCAACAGTCAAAAGAATAACTTTTGTAAATATACATAAATTTGGTTCACCTCATTTCCTATGTCAAGATCCATGGCACTATATTGTTAATAACTAATAACATTATCCATCTATCATCCTTATGAAACCTTTAAATACCCTGCTGTCAGAATTGCATTAAAGTGGAATTCCAAACATTATCGTAGCACAGTGAGGGTACAAAAGTGTTATTTGTCTAGATGCTTGACCAAAGGTCACGTCATTTCTGATTTATTTCCAAAAAATTGTATATTTAAAATTAATAACAAATGTAACATAACCTAAAGAAATCATACGACTAATCGTATGCTGACGATATATAAAATTCTAATCACATTCCTCTGACAGATAAAAGTAATCAATTTTTTCACAAATTTAGATCACGATGCAACGATTACATTCATCAAACAGTATTTCAACTTGTTCATAAATGTACAATTATTTTCGTCAAAGGAAATACTGTTCAAACCGACCATCTCTAACCTCATACGGATGAACACTGGGTGCGCGACACTTGCATTCTGCAGTAGTAACATAAAACATTGAATACGACGTAGAAAATTGTGGTCATCACATATAATCACAAATTGATCTTTGCACGGAAGAAAATATTCTATACAGTGAATGCAAAATACAAGGCTTGCAATAAAATAAGAATGAATAGTACATCACAACCCTTTATTTATTATTAAGAATGAAACATCTAGTACTCGCTTTATTTGTAAGTGTGTAGTAGTATACAGGATATTCATGTAATTTTCAAAGTGGAAGTATATTCCACAAACTTGAGGTTAATCGATGTGTAATAAATCAAGACATTTATAAGAAATACAACATTCAGTTTATTTCAGCCATTCCTAAGCAATAATTCCCTAACAAATTCGGAAGGAGTCTCTGATATATGATATATTGTATGTATAACATTGATACTGCCCCATTTAATGTCTTTTGGAGTAATGCCGGTTCAACTGTAAACTTTATTTTGTTAGATTTCAAGAAAAAATTACATTTCTGTAACATCACATTTCGAATGATTACTATTAAAATGATAATAATTAAAAAGCATTACTATTAATTAAAAATTATCTCTAATTATTAATAATAGTGTACAACCATACATTTCTTGGGGGACAAGACTGTGTTTATAATTATAGCGGTTCAGTTAATTAGGCTGGCGCTTCATTGTAATACCCCGTAGACGCATAATCTCTTCACATACATACACACATAATATCGCCCATTTTTCTTTCTTATCTTTTGCACTCACGATTTTACTTATCGTCATCGTTATCACTTTGTCATTCAAACCTTTCATTTTCTCCGTTGCGCTTTTGTTCGCTGTCTGTCTAAACACTGTGGCATTTCATCATTGTCCCCGCAGTACTATTCAAACTATCGAACCGGTTACAACATATCGCTGATCACTTTAAAGTGCAGTATATTACAATTTTCTCCCTATTTATCCCTTAAAACATACTCAGAGTCCTATCTAGCAATACACTTACATATGAATCTTATCATAGCCTTATCAATTAACCTTAATTAAACGCCCCAATCTTGCTTTGTTGGGAATTAAGCTTAAGCTCTGCGTCTTCATCAAGATCCTTCTGAACAAAATAAACTCTAACTTGGGTAGCATCGAAGGTTACTCTCCGTAATTACACGATAATTAGTTATATGTATATACATATGCGTGTATTTATATGTATATATCGAATAAATCGGTAGTAATAAGATCTTGAGTGAAGATCAAGCATATGTTACCAGGTTCTTTTCTCTCTATGATTGGATAGTGCAAAAACAAATAGTTTCTTTTCTTTTTCCTTTTTTTTTTTTACAAACGATGTGTCCAGAACATAGTCCAGACAGACACAACATCACATTTAAGAGACAGATACCTTAAACACGTGAGAGCGTCGATCGGTTTCTTTTCCATTCACAGTAAGATTTACGCAAATCCAAATCCTTCGCTGCACTCGTGAATTGCCTTCAGCAGATTACTACGGAGTTTGTCGTATGTTTCGTAGACTGGCAAATCCAACTGATTGAAGCTGTAATGACAAATGTTATGCGTACAGGTTTAATTTGATGCGATTGGATTCCATTTAAGTGACGACACAATGCGCAAGAAACCTATTGCTTAAATTGAAAGTATCATTGGACATCAAACTTACCACGTGTGGGCTGAGGGTAATCTATCAGTTGAGCGGTCATCTCGATGAATTTGGAATTTTTGTACACCATTCATACCTTCCAAGGCACCGAAACCTTGCAAAGGTACTTTCGACGTGCCAGTAACAAATTGCAAAAACTTTGCCCTGTCTGCTTGATCGAATCCTCTCAATGCACGCCAAAACCATTGGATCTGTGTAAGATACGAAATGATTAATAAGACATTAGGACTATTGTAGACTGTAACAATTTAGATAATTAAATAATTACCTGCAATGATGTGGGACTGTATTTGTGGTATTCGGTATTAGTCTTAAGATCTTCAATGTCGACATTAGGCAAGCCGCTAATTAGTAATTCTAACTCCTGCTCGTTGAAGATGGATATCAGTCGTTTTGGAATAATGTCGTAAAAACCCTCCAAAAATGCGTTGAGTCTGGTAGTACAACGAAAAGAGAAAAAGAGTTATATTATCATACATTAAAATTAAACTTAGCAATCCCAGTGACATGAATTAAGAAAGCACGAAGAGGTACTCACTGTTTACGAATAGCTCCAGTCATCTTCATCTGACACACCAAACGGATATACTCCAGCTTCGTTTCTTCTGTTACGACTATATTGCGGCCATTTGGAATCAAGTCTCGAACATCGTTGACACCAAATTCGTTTACCTAAAAATAGTAGATTTAATTTATCAAATCCGATTCAAATTGTAAAACTATTTGAGAAGTGACAGATAAAATCCGTTTATCAGTACCTCTGCTGAAAATGTCAGTTCGTATCCAAGATCAGAGATATTGTGTTCTGTCAGATACACAAGGCCTTTATAGAAGCTGTAATCTTCACTCTCCATGTCAGTATGCTTCACGAGTATTCCGAGTATGTGTTTGTAGAAGCTACGCGTGAAGTAACACTCCAATAATTTGTTATCATAGATGGCCTTGGCTATTGGAAATAATTAGTTATTATCAACAGTGTCGAATTCTTCTTCAATAATTATGAAGAATTTCAATATTTAACAGCAACTTACCTATTACTCGCCCTACGAATTTGTAGTAGCATAAGTGATTAGGGTTGCAGTGAGAAGATGAATTAATCATATACGTAACTCGATCACCGGGACTGACCGTGAAGAGTGCATACATCGGGTTGAAGATCTCCCTTGAAATTATGACGTACCATTCTCTGAGTAAACCACCAGCATCCTGACCCTCTTCACCTGAAAACAACAAATATAAATACGACTACTCCAAAACTATTATCTTCAAGTGCTTAAAAAAAAGGTAGTACAAGGATAAAGTACCTTCGAAAACTATATAGAAACGATTCTTCCATTCGTCCGCATTCCTACGGTGAAGTTCCCTGAATGAATCTTCGAATACGTGACTCCTTCGTACGTGTACGGCTAGTTCCTCTCTTCGAATGCCTTCATCCATCCTCTCGAGTTCTGTTCTAAAGTATCGTCTCTTTACGTCGAAGTCAAGAACCCGTGTATGATCTACCAGGACGGAAAAGGGTCCATCAGCCAAGTGAGTTGTCGTTTGCCTCAAGATTTGATTCAGAACCGTTCTGTGTGTTTCTGGAGTAAAGAAAAAAAAAACATGAATTAATTGGGAATTATTGGTTCTGACACTCTTGTTTGCTCGTACAAGAGATATATTGTATAAATACATACCAGCAAATTTGAGGAACTTCAATTGGTCAGGAGGTAGTGTTTTTTGTGGTGTTGGAGTTATATCCCACGAGGTGTTAATTGCTGCTTCCGACTGAGATGTGCCTTCGTTATCTGAATATATTGGCGAAACTGGTGCTAGATCTGGTACAACTTCTCGGGATTCTGTATTTATTGTTATTGTATCGCTATTACGTTCTCTGGTTGAACTGGACGATGAGTGTACCAGGAAGAATGCTTCGACCGCAGGCTGAAATTATTTGACAGAATAAGTATGCGATGAGAATTAATGCAAAGAACAAATAAATGTTTGTATCAAGTAAACTGACCTGTAGGACTAGGACGGCGTGATGATCAGGAGTATGCTCCAGTTCGAGTAGACACGCACTCAATGTTTCCCAAAGGCTATCTAACACTAGGCTTTCGCTTAGTAATGGTAGTGTGGATTTCTCTTCATCTAAAATAATTAAAAAATATAGATTACGAGCATAATTCCTTACATTTTTATAATATAAGACTTACCACTTTTTGAGAAGGTGGGTTTGAAGTTATCAGAATTTGAAGAGTTCGCTTGTGTCGTGTCCATAGCGACACTATCGCCTTCTGTATTATCTTCTGCTATAAAGATATAATGCATTTATTCAACGTGTTTTCATCGTCAGTATGTATGAAAAATAGTAACAATATACGATTAATTACCTGAAGTCTGTGGTTGACTGGATGTCCCTGTGTCCATGGCAGTTTCTGTGGGCTGGTTTGTTTCTAAGGAAGTTACATTACGTTATTGTAATTATTATCAAACGACACATTACAGTTGAAGTGATTGTGTTCAAAAAGGAGAATAACTTACCAGCTTTCTTTCTATTAGCCAAGCGCACAGCTTCCCTAATCTGTACAATGACCTTAAGTATTCGAAGGAAAAAGGCCTGACTAGAAGTCTTGCTGACCAGAGCACCCATGGACGGCAACTGGAGATCAGTTCCTGCTTTAACTTTACTTGGAGCTGTTACTACCACGCTTTCATTTGTAAATCTAAACAGAAACCAACAGAAAATCGTATGATGTTATTATGTCAAATGATTAATCATTTCAATAATTAATACGAATGAAAGTCAAAGGAAAGAAATCGTTGAAAAGAAAACAAACCTGTCTAGAAGAGTTCCTCGGCCAACTCCACCAGCACTGCTAGATGGTTGCTCTTCAATGGAGATTCTACGATTCAGTTCACGGTTGAGGACTTGAAGTTCCATCATCAGGTCATTAATATGTTCACAGACCATAGTGGCTAGTTCCATTGCTCCTTCCAAAAGTAATTTCAAAATCTAGAAAGAGAGATCAGTAAGGGATGTAACATTAATTAATTAAATTTATTGAAAACTGCATAGTATATATTTATCTATCGTGTAATGCGTACCAATTGCCTAGTTGGATCAGGACAATGTGACAGATTAAGAAGAAGTGCTGTTGCGTCCTCAAGTCCCTCCTCCGAACAACTCTTGCTGGTAAGTACTTGTACAGCCAGCCTAAGATGACCTTCTGGGGCAGCAACACTCTGTTCCTTATTCGAGTCCACTTTTTTATTCTTGGCTCCATCTTGTCGACGATAGGGATTCGCTTCCGTCAAGCCAATTGATATAAGAGACAAGAGTCGCAATAGTTTGTCCGTTAGTTGACTACTGCGTTTGATAACAGACCAGTTGAGCATTGATATTAGTTGTCCAAATGCCGAAGCTTCGAAAGACGTCATGCTCTGCTCTGGTTCGCAACCCAAATTTGAATTCGAGTGAGTTCGTGCAACAGATTTTCCCTTTTTAGAAGCACAGGAGTCCAACCTCAGAAGCATGTCCCAGAAATCAGGGAAGTCACTCTTGCCTGGTTTGCAATTGGACTTTGCCTTTCCAACATTTTCTTCCTTATTCGCGGACGTGTCTTTATCTTTGTCCTCAGATTCCTTAGACTTAAGCGGTACGAAATATCCAGGAAAGCCCTTGGCTAAGGAAATCAGCAATTCTAGCGTATGCCTAAAAATATTTGTGTGTGAATAAACGTATCTGTAGCAATAAATGGTATATTATAATTTCATTTCTGTCATGTAACTAACCGGCATACTGTAGGCGCAGCTTGAGGATGAATGGCAATGACATTTCCCTGACGTTCAGACTTCTTTCCTCCATGCCTAACAACATGGAATACATTGGCTCTACAGCCAAGAGCTGCGTCGATGCTGATATTTAACCAGGATTGGGCATTGTTCCTGGTTTCGGAAACTTTTGGGAAACTAATATAAACGAGCAAAAAGAAAACATTCAAACACTGTATAACCTGTTAATTGTTAAGAAACGACGTTACTCTTTCTAAATAAAATACTCACCAATAGTCTATAGCCGAGTGCAGTCCTTTTCTCTTGAACTTTCCGCTGAAATCAGCAATCATCTCTCTATTCTCATCATTGCTCCTCTCCATTATGTTAAGAAGAGCTTTGACGACCCACTCTCTTGTACTACCATGATAGCACAAATTTCGAATGACCCTGTGCAATCTAAGAGTGTTAATTTTTGGTTCATCCACGAACAGTAAAACTAAGAGGCAGGCCATTGATTCGTGATCAAGTAATTGCCTTCCTCTCAATCGCAAACCGGCGCCCTGATGGGCCATACTGGTTTCACCACGTGGATTCCAGGAATTCCATTGTGCTCGTTGAGGTACGGTATGGATAGCATAACGCGTACCACCACCTCGTGCTATGATTACATAATTAATTAGTCGTCACAGACTTGTATTCAGCTAAGAATAAAATTTCTTTTGGAATTGATTACTTACCTCTTCCGGAATTTCTCAGTATGCTAGACAGGGCCGTATTACTTTGACTGACATGATTAAGAAATCTTTCCTGCATCATATGCCTATTACGTGCTTCCCATTCCCGTCTTAGATTTTGTGCTTCCTGTGCCAAGTCAGGTGGTAACACGGATATCTGAGACTCTTCCATGTCGGTCAGAATCTATTTCGCAAAGTGGAAATACGCTTCAGTAAGATGTCAAATTTACTCAATTCGTTTCATATAATATTTGGCAATGCTTACGGCTTGACGTAGGGACGGTTGCAGATTTTGGAAGAAGGCAGCTGCATCAACGGGATCCTCAGGATTTGCTGAAGCAGCCGCGTGACGTTGTTGCTCCAATCGTTGTTGGGCAAGAACCTCTTCTTGAATAGCTGGTGGCAGAGCAGCCAAAAACTCTGGATTTACTTCTACAGGACCAGTCGGTTCTTCAACTACAGTTGCTTGAGCTCGTTGTCTAATTCTTTGCAACCTTTAAAATAATTATAGAATTATCAATTAGTTACAAAGCGCATCGCCATACGCATGTTGCAAACATTTTTACAAACCTCAGTTGTTCAGCAATAACTTCATCGCGCATTTCTTCAGGTAATGCCGCTAAAAAGGACGGATCTACTCCGTCAGGTAGTTGTTGCTCTTGTGATGGTTGCTGCGGCTGTTGGGCTTGCGGTTGTTGTTGCTGTTGAGATTGAGACTGTGTTTGTGGCTGCTCCAAAGATTCTTGATTATTTCTTTCAGAAGTAGAGGAACCAGCACCTTGTCCGACGACATTTGCACTACACATAAGAAAAGTTTATAAGAAATATTCTAAAAGTTAATCAACTTCTGCCACTGTATATTTGCTTACTTTCTCTCCACATTTGACTGATTATCATCAGTAAGTAATCTTCTGATCCAACCTGTTGGATCGCTACTGCTTTCTACATCTCTCGACAAATCGTCATTAACATCTTGATTGAAATTTACTGGTACTGGCGTCGAAAGAACCGGATTTTGATCATCTGCACTCCTCTCAGGTTGTCCTGTATTAAAATAATTAAAGATTCCATTCCATATCTAGAAAAGTTAAAAAAAAATAGATTTCTTACTCTGTAGTGCTATAGCATCTGTAACAGCAGGTGCCAGAGCTACAATATTTTCAATAAGTTCGACTGCAGTGCTACGTGACGCTGTGCGAGGATCTCTGCCTTCTATAGGCTGTTCCTCTGGTGGCGGTGGAGGTGATCGTTCCTCATCTTCTTGTACAGTGACCTCCATTTCCCCAGTAACTTCTGAAAGGAGTGAACAAATCAGCGTTGCTAAGGACTTTTATTATCTCAGTCATTAATAATCAGAATTGATGAATAATTTGATGGTGAATTGATAGTTATGAAATGTTATGTTGTAGATCTAATCTTTACCAATTATGTCATCATTTGGATTTCGATCTTGTCTTGCAGCTGCAACTGCTGCCTCTACCACTGCAACTAATTCCCTCATGTCTTCCCTTTGCGGATTTGCAGCTACAAGTCTTTGCTCTTCAGATGGTAATGATGGAACTGATGTTTCCGCTATAAAGAGAACAATGGTGTATGTTAGAAAAGGAATTTGATACTACTTACAATGTAAGAAGTAGAAGGAAGGAACCTACATTCTGTCTTACTCGTCTGTTCTTTAACTTCTTTATTGTCTTTTTCTGGCTCCTTTTCAGTACCATGTTGCTTCTTGCGTTTCTCTTTGCGCTCTGCTAACTCCGCATTTCTATATTTCTCAAGTCCAGGTATTAATTTCTGTACGACTCCTGCTTATCGATTGAAGAGTTAATATAGATTATTATTGTAGTTTACATCAAGAAACAGTATTAAATCATGATATGCTTTACTCACCAACGCAGCAGTCTGGCTGAGAATCACCATCAAGCAACTTACTCTCTTCGATCCACCAATGTAAGGCTGTTGGGATATTGTTTAATGTAGCTGCAAGACTTGGACCGAACAAGTAACCAGATTGATCCTATGTATAAAAAATAATAAAACGTCAATAATTATAATTCCTATACAATCAAATATTTTATATTATAAATACGTACCACAAAATCTATCTGCTCTTCTTCTTGATTCAAGATTCCAAGGCCATTATCCACAACCAGAACACGGGTATCTCTGAAGCTAGATGTCAAAACTGGACTAGCTGAGATAGGAAGAGTCTGCGCAGCTGGACCGAACAGTCTAAGAAATCATATAAATAAGAAATTAAACATCACATCCATAAATAATGGTGATAAGTACTGCGAGTACTAACCTTTGTAAAATTACTGGCGGATTAGGACTACGTATATTCGACAGCTGAAGATACTGATATCTGCGTTGACGCAGAAGTCGTTGAGCTCTCGAGGTCGGTAAAGATGCAACATCAAGATTGTTACGAGCCATTAATAATGGATGCGAGCTGATGCCATTGCCCTCGGATACTGGAGGAGGATCTTCAAATAGTCCAAGATGCAACGGTGAACTTGTATTCCAAGGAAGACCAGGAGCTGTGAAGACAGGAGTAGAAGAAGCGTTGTCTTGGTTTTCAATATTATGTTGTATCATCACAACATTGCTGCCATCTCGTTCGGCAGCTGGTAGCATCCGGAAGACGCCTTCCCCAACATCCTCGTAAAATTCCATACCATCCTCTTCGTAATTTGAAGAGCCCTCTTCTTCCTCCTCTTCCTCTTCTTCATTTTCTTCGCCTGAACCGAATTTATAATTTACATACCTCATGCAGTGATATAATTAATTAAATGTAATTTATATAATTTCATAATTACCATCATCTTCTTCCTCCTCTTCTTCATCTTCGTCATCTTGAACCTCGTCCTCATTATCGTCAGATGGATTGCTGTCAGAATCTGAGTCCGAACTCATCAGATCTTCCTGTATACACAAATTTTATTGTATTAGTTTACTGCGAAGCTAATTAAAATCTTTAAAAAAGAAGGATATTAGAAAGCGATGTTACTCTTACTGTGGTGTCACGGGCTGGATCAAAGTCGCCCTCATTGTCGCGCATTGCTAAACTTTCATCGTCAATATCCATTGGCCTGTGCGGACGGGAACTAGGCTCCTCCGTCACGGCCGAGCCGTCCCTGGAATAGAGTACACTGCTTGATTATAAAAACTGTATCTTAGGTAATAATTGAATAATATGAATTATATTAGCTAAAAAAAATTAAACTTCATCAAAGTGAGCAATGTTACCTCTCTAGTAATTGATCCATAATATCTTCAAGAGCAGCTTCATCACCCTCTTCATGAACTTGACTCTCCGAAGTTGGCTCTAGACTCTCAGCGGTAACTGAAATGTCGTGCTCGGTATTTTCGGCATCCTCATTCGCCTCTTCACCAACTGCATGAGTTGCCTCTGAGTTAGTTGTGCCAGTTTGTTCGCCAATTGGTTCTTCTTGCGCAGTGCGATTTTTAGGTTTAGGAAATTTATTGTTAACGGTGCCTGGCATAGGTTGATTAATGATTCTCGATAAAGTTTCCAGTGGTTTTAGAGCAGCATTAATGGTACCAGCCATATTAGGACTTGAAAGATCAAGACTATGAGGTATCTTGGCCAGATCAGTAATTATTCCTTTTCTCAACATTATTCTAACAATATAATTAACATTGCTGTATTGATGCACTTTTAATGAAGTTCTCAGATGAGCGTGAGAAGTTGGTGGACAACTGTCAATCATTGTTGAAATGAGACCAATAAGAAGTACAAGTTGAGTATGTTTTTCTGAGCTTTCGGGCAACGCTAGAGTTCGTATAAGCGCACCCTTCACTTCGGTTACCAAAGCTGTTTGTGCATCAGGTGAATGATTGCATGAAGCAATGGCAGAAATCAACATCCTAGCCATACTGCTGCATTGTCGATCACCAGAGTTTTCTGGCAGCATTGGTAATATTTTATCAAGCAAAAACGTCAAAGCAGTTGTGTCTTCAGTCACCATTTCACTTTGCCCAGCCCTGTAGGTATGTTCCGTTATCAGATTAGCTACAGCACTGTAAGAGCGAACTGCCTCTGCCAACATCTTCAGAATCGCTGATTTTGGTAACAGTGGTTTCTTCGCTTCTTCCGGTTCGACCTTGGTATTATTACCAATATCCGTATACATCTTCAAAGGAATAATTTGAGAAACTTGATCGTCATCATCCAACGCATCAGTACTGGCAGTTCCGTTATTCCTAAGACCGTCTCGTCTAGATGATGAAGCTGTGGCTGCGCTATTATTCGTGACAGCGGTGCTCGGTTGTGTGATTTTCTTTTCAGGACTTCCAGCTGGCGACGCAGAAGCGTCATCAGGTAACACAGGCGTCGGTTTTATTAGAGCATTTAGTAAGTCATGAATGACTCCGATAGAGACTTCCTCCACCATTGGAAGAGCTGAAGAATGATTTGGTGGTAGAGCTTTAACTAGTAGCCTGTTATCCACGTCGTCACGTTTCAGTACACCTATATCGACTCTGAGAATATTTTCGCAAACTTCTCTGTACACTTCCGGGTTACGACAAACTGCACTGCTGATCTGCCTCGTCATAAACAGAATCTCTTTGTAAGCTGGCGGAATATTAGGCTGTGTGCGTGTTCTAACAACCTTCTCCATAGCAAGACGAAGAGTGCGTGGTTCCTCCAGTGTATGTCGTATCAAAAGAGTACTCAAGCTAATACATCCAATGAAGCTACTAGCCTGAGTCATATCAAGCAGAAGACGTACTCCACCTTCTCTTGCGAATACTTCAGCATTTTTATAATCCCGTGTTAAACGCAGACAAACCTTCATAAGTGCGTGCAAAGCATCCCGGTCTACTGGAATAGCCAAAAGTTTCACGCAAGCACGTACAATGCTTGGGGCTACGTTGGGATCCAGACCTTGTACCACAGCGTTTCGTTTATCCTCAGCCGGGCTCTCCTCGGTATCCATATTTGAATCAGAACGAGAATTTGCATCGCCCGAACTACTGCCATTCAATTTAAATCCCATGGTAATGGGTCTCCTGTTGTCAGTGTCTTCATTAACTTGGGTCATACAAGAGAATGTAATGAGGTAACGTCTCCTGGTGCAGGTGATTCTAACTGTTGGTTCTCCAGCCCAATAGGCATTATTTATTATACGATTATTTAGTGGAGAATAAGGAGTCCACTTTCCGGAACTAAGATCAAACCACTTCCAAACCCTGGTTGTAACTTTGTGCATGAGTTGTTTGCGTTGCGTGAGCACAGCTACCTTTTCCAGACGATCTATGAGGAGTAATAAAGGAGCCAGCCATTTTGGTGTCTTCGTAGTGGCAACTCCATCCTTACCATCCTTGACTGTTTTATTTTTATTGGCTGTTAATGGACTCTCACTCACTATCAATAGACGTACGAGTTTATCGAGCATGCCGCATTCTTCCACTCTCTGTGCACAAGGTACACGCATTTCTTGAAAGGTACCCTCGAAGAAGAGGGTGTAGAGGTAGATACGTCCAGCGACTTTACTGGCTTCCTCGCATTCGACTAACTTTACGCCAGCATTCTCATCCTGACTCTCAGCAATGCCGATCAGATAATCCACTAGATCACCAATTTCACGAATCAGCTGTCTCAGCATAGAGTCTCGCCAGTCGTCACCATTTCTCTTAGTTATAGTAACCAGAAGATCGCAGATCCTGTAAACGGTGTCTGGCATCAAATCCAGAAGATTGAGACATTGTTCTAGTGCACTGTAAGTGAACTCGTCAATGGTCTCTGTGGTTGGTGCGTCCCGCAGAGGTTCTTCAGTTATTGAAAATCTTCGAGAATCTGAATCACCTAATGACATGGCGATGGCATGCATTATTTGATCATCATCCACTAGTTCCAAGTCCATTATGAGACCCTGACCACTGGCATCTCCAGCAGGTGCATCAGGTCTGCGTGAAGTTGCAGGATTTGTTAGAAGATAATCTGTTGCCTGTTCTACGGTAAGAGTATGGAGTAGAGCTTCAATGCAATGTGTCCTACTGAAGCCCATATCCATTAGTTGTCTCAAGTGCTCAGCATTGATGTCTGCTTCAGGCTCTTCTCTACGATCTGGTGCTGGTCCAGTCCTGCTTACGGAAGTAGTGGCAGTTCCAGTTCCAGTACCAGTACCAGCTGCAGTTCCACTTCCAGTAGCCGCTGGTGTTTCTCCAGTCTTTTCTTTTTCAATGCGTTCTTTGATTATCTTCTCACCGCGCAAAATATGTCGCAAAATCGACAGGATGGATTCGGTCATTCGTGCTCCATAATTCTTCAACGGTTTTTTGCCCCACATCAACATCACTGCTCCAAATGCTTTCTTGTGAATATCTATGAGATACTTAATGGGGTCAAAGGTTTCGTATACCTTGTAAACGCCAGTACACTTGGACGAGACGACGTGCGGTGAATCTAATATGGCTTTGGGATTAACCATTTTTTCTAGAAGCATAAGCCAGGCGTCCAGGAATTCACCAGTGCCGTCAGGTAGATTAGGATGTTCCAATCCTTCGGAAAGTGGAAACTGTCCACCACCAGACAAAGCCCATCGGAATGTTGCAAAGAATGCATTTTGTCCTCCCAATTGGACAAATCTTTGAAGCATAAGATGATAAGGATGGCGCTTCTCATCGAAGAGCATCGGTGAAGTAAAGCCCACTGAGCATATGAGGAAAGTTAGCCTAAATTTTGGTATCGGTGAAGGTGGCAATTTATCCCAAGAGAGACCACGAGTCAATAAGCAATTGAGTGCAGTAGCTACACTTCGAGCTGCTTGCGAAGGTAAAGCTGGTGTCATAGGGATTTGTTGGCCCCGTCGTTGCCTAATTGGAGATCCCATGCATAGTTTGACAAGTAGACCAAACAGTTCTGCTAATGCTCTTCCTAATCTTGATGAGGCGCCCAATAAAGGCTTAATATATTTCAGTTGATGAGTGCTCGGTGACGTTCTTCCTGTACTGGTACTAGGTTTATCGTCTACTTCCATTGATACTGGTGGGGGATCAGTACTCAAGGCTTCCATGGCTGTTGTCATTCCATTACTACCCATATCGGACGAAGCAGCGCCGGACCACGAAGATAATTCACCATCACTTCTTAATTCAGGTGGTATAAGCTTGTCCATGTCATCTTTACCAAAGTCACAACCTGCTGGGATGATGTCATCGCTGCAGAGTGCAAGAAGCAAGGTACTTTCCCACACCAGAGACATATAGAGCTCAGATAGTCCTTTCAGAACAGCCATACCTAGATCAGAACCCCAGTGATTCATGGAAAGATTTCGAATTTCACTTTGACTTGTACGACAGACGTGTACAAACATCACCACATATCCGTGAGCCGCGTTCATAGCGTGAAGTAAAGGAGTCGCTGTATCACTTGTGAATGCTGTTTCCAGATTTGGTGCAGAAGCAAGTTCGTGTAATAAAACTGAACCACCAGGAGCCTCCATATGACTATGAAGAGGTTTCAGTAAATTCAAAACTTCGTTTAGTTGAGACAATCCGGTTTTCAAAACCAGTGGTTCGTGGGCAAGATTGAGTATACTCTTACAGACGGAAGCCACGGCTTGAGCAGCTTGCGCCACAGGATAGTCCACTGGTAAATTGGGTAAACCAAGTATAGAGAGTAGTGGAACAAGTCCTTTCTGCGCAACGAATTCTCTGCAGTGATCATCCGTTGAATTGTTGCTGAGGATAGCATCGACAAATTTCATTACATTGTGAATATAGTCTACTAAAGCGATTGGAGTCTTTTCACGTGGTTGAGGTGGTGGTCCAGGTTGAGCTGGCGAAGGTGATGGTTGTTCTTCTCGTTGAGGGTGTGAACTAGTACTAGCTTCCTCCTCGTCTTCCTCTTCTTCGTCACTGCTACTTCCACCGCCTCCTCCTCCCCCTCCACCGCCATCCCCCACGCCAACGCCAACAGACTGCCCAGAGGATTGACGACCACCTGAACTTGAATTTGACGGAGAATTCTCGGATTTGCTTGCAGCACGCCAGCATATGTATCGTGGGTCACATCCTAGAATGCACAATTCTTCTAAGAGTTTGATGATGGCAGATGTGGCATCGACTTTAAGAGTTGGCTGATGTCTCATGAGTTCGTCCATTGCATTTCCTAAGTTGGATGCTGTATCGCCAAGAGGATCAGCACTGCGACGTCTGCGCATTGCTGATAAATAAACAGGCGAAAGGAGAACTTTGAAAAGGCGCTCGAAGGGTCGGCATTTGACAAAGGACTCCAGACCACGTTGATTCAGACATAGAGCGCTGAACACATTGGGCAGAGAGCCTAATACTTCTCTAGTAGCAGGGACATCTTTAATGAGCAGTGCATGCAGCACAACATCCGTCAGTCCGTTATCTTGTAAAGAAGACAGTAAAGACGGCTCTTGAAACACATATACAGTGACTACGTCGGTTGCAAGGAGAAACAAGGATGGTCCATAATATTCAGAGTTGCTGATGATGTGCTTCAAGGACGACGGTAAGGTCCCCTCCATAACATGGCGTATACTGTCCGAAAAAGCCGGATCCTGAATAGCTTTCTTCAAGAAATTCAACATAGACTTGAGCAGTGCTGCCCGCTGAGGTAAGCATGTTTTCCCTGTCCTTGCAGCAGAATAATCGGGCAAACGTTCCTGCTTTCCTTCTGGTTTGGAGCTGGTATTCTCATCCTCCGAGAACTCCATAGGATTAGAGGATTCTTCTCGCTCATCGAAAGCATCGTTTGATCGTCGTGATGATCTCGACTCATCATCAGGATCCGCTGGTCTTTCTGGCGCGAGTTGCAGAATCTCTTTGGTAGAATGCTGCTGAGGTTCTATTTCAAATGGCTGTTCCTTCTTGCACACGTTCACTTCCATATCGAGTCTATTTATAAAGCTAGACAGACCTCCGTGCGCTTGAAATCCTTGCATGTCTATATTCGTTATTAAGTCTATCACACGAACAGCACGCGTCACGAACTGCAAGAGACAAACAAAGAAGTTATGGTCAGGTCAATTTCTGATTAAAAAAAAAAAAGAAAAAAAAAAGAAAACAAAAGGGCATGCTTATATATTTAAGAAATCGATTTTTACCGTAATGTGCTCCAATTCGCTTCCTGGCCAGTTAATGACCTTCAGAAGACTCTCCATCATGCCACAACTAACAAGTGCTTCGCCACCAGCTTCATAGCTAGCGAGATGATACAGAAAACTAAATAGAGCCGTAGCCAGTGGCAACGGAAAGTGTTGTCCGTCAGGATGAGGGGATGTCAGGGTTGTTATACAAGTTCGTACGAGTACAGGCAAAAATCCGTGATATGAACTAGCTCCGGTTACATCAATTATCATGTTCAATCGAGAGCCTGGTTTCCTGGACAAATGAATCACAATGTTTAGTACATGATGACTCATCAGGCACGTGTCATGCTATAGGTATCATGTGGTAAGACGCACTTTGGGAAGTGTGGATTGCGATCCAAGTGTATGATACTTGTGAGAGTACGCAATGCCGCTGCTCGAATTTCGACAAGATGAGGATGTGGAAGTTCGAGTAATTCAACCAGCTCCTCGAGCAATCCAGCGTGTAACAAACTATGCGCATTCTCTTGTAGTGCATTGCTGTATACAAGAATGGAGAGTGCCTGAAGACGAGCTTGCACGCATTGTAATCGCCTTCTGTAGTCCGAAAAACTGTGTGCCAGCCTGATGTGAGTCAGAAGAGCCATCTGTGAATAGAAATTAACGTGATACGTTACGTTATGTTACATTATTTTGGAGATTGAGAAAATAAACTGTGATCAGAGCGTTAAAAATACCTGTCGCTCTTGCGGTACGTTGTAAACTTTCAGCAAATCGTTCATAATCTGTGCTGGGGTCTTTCCAAGTTTATCTACTTCTTCAATGTGAATGTAAGTCACGAGATTAGTAAGGCCGGATTTCTTTGCAACTGCGTTTCCTGCAGTACTACTTGACGATGTTTCTGTCGCCATTGGATTTTCCGCGTAGAATTCAAAGTGGAGTGTCGTAGCACTTGCAGGAAATGGCTGTATAAGTGAATATAAAACCAGTGTTACAATTAACAGTAGTACATTAATTTGTTGTCTTTTTTAGTATTGTGATTTGTCGCTTACCTTGTCTGGATGTTCTTTACAACAGTCTGCAAGACCAAAACCATTTTCCTTGCCACCCCAACTCTGTAACCCATAAAAAGCAAAAATGATATTCGTTCCTTATGTATCAATGTTAAATTAAAATTTTTATTTTGCTGTAATCTATTTTATACAAACCTCAGCCAAGTGATTGAGTCTGGTAAGCAGAGATTGGCGCTTGTCACTGTTTAAACGTGTGATAAAGTTACTGCGTTTGCTGAACATGTACAAAAGGTTCAAAACGCCAAGAACCACATGCATGTCACAGCTTGATAGCAATGTAACTAAATGTTCCATGCTGTTGTATAAATGCCGGGAAAATGAATGCTCGATTAACAGCGTTGTAAAGTGAAGAACCCAGAGAAGCAGTTCTTTTGCCTGTGAGAAATTGCAAGATATGATGCAATATAATTATTGTTTTTGAAATTGGTAGTTTCAGAGACTGATTTATTTTACGGACCTCTCTGTTCTGTGGAAGATCACATGCTAATTCCCATTGATTATCTGGACTTCGTGCAGCAGCTTCCTCCAAAATACTGTCACTAAGATCCAAAACATCGATCCAATGGAACAATTCACATTTTCCAAAGGTCCATGCATCTATTTGCTTTAATTCCTCAAGCAATTCTGCATGAGAGCAGGAGCGCAGTTTGCTAATCAGCACCTGACATTCTGCAGGCTAAAAATGGATTTGACAACAGAATATTTATAAATATTTTTATATCATTGCTATTTGTAGCATAAGAAATATGACACTGGTATCATAATTACAATGATAATTCTATTGGTATTAATATTTATAACTATATAAATTAGAAATAGGTAATTATGCATTGTATTTTACTTCTAACGTGACAAAATGATAAACTATTTTACATTGTAGTTACAATATATAAAACCTAATTGGAATGTTATCTCACCACTTCTGATGTGCACTTCTTTAATCTGCTTCGGTCTATCTTCATTTTGATGATTTAAAAATTTCTGTATGTGAAACTATAGCCTGTAATTAGAAATTAAAAAGAGCTTTAGAGATGTTTTGCACATAAATTGGTTAATCAGCATAGAACATTGTAGACTCATACAATAGGAGTATAACATTTATCTTATATCAATATATCAAAATTGTATGATCTGAGAACATTCTAGAATCACAGCTCTTTTCATATTTCTTGATAATTAATATGAATTTACAAATATTTTTGTATATACTTAATACAGTCACAAGGGTTTAGAATATTAAAAGGGCAAACAAAGATCAAGTAGTGGATTTCTCAATCTGTACATTTGACCAGAAGAATGAAACAAAGGAAGTACATAGAAAATGATGAAATAAAGACTAATATACTGAATGATCATCGAGAAAGATAAAATGATTGTCAATGATTAGCAATAACAGTAACCTGTGTGCAACATTAATCCATCTAAGGATTGTATTGAATAGAATATTCATGAAGGGAACAGATATTTTGGACCAGCTGATTTCTCAATATTGCTCTATGAAGGTCTCGCGTTGTCAATATGAATCTATAGTTGGAAATATCACAAGGAATCGGGACAAGCAAATTCTATTTATTTCACAGTATGGATTTCGGAAAAGGGTCATTTTAATATGCACAGTCATTGGTTACCATGGTCTAACCTATCGTAATGTAAGATACAAACAATAACAGTGAAAGAAATGGCTCCAGAGTACCACAATGATATGAAGATCCGAGTGAAGGTAAAACGTTCGCAGACTCTGCCGGATACGAACGTATTACGAATAAAGATAAAACGAGAAATGATTCGCATAAGAAGAGACAGAACGTGCCTAGCACGATGCGCGATATATTCTTGAACGATCAAGCTCTCTCACCTGTCGGCGACCTGATCGATGGATGCGATTGTTGCTCGCGAAGATTCGCGATTTAACGTGGCTAAAGTGATCTCGCCTCTTCCTTCACTTTTATTCTCCTTCTCGCTTCCGTTCTTTTTCCCGATGCACTTGTCAGGATTATAGCAATGCGTCGCAGGCATTGCGGCCGTCACCGCGCGGAAAAAATTACGACCACCACCGACGGTCCTCCTCGCCTTAATCAAAGTTTCTCTAGGACGATCCGACGGTTTTGCTTCGATTACAATTCGATAATATACTCTATAATGTACTCCCTCGTGGCTAATCGACAAATTTCGAGAACCAAGAGTCCACGAAAACCAAAACAAGACGAAGCGTGGACCAAACACGACCTCCGTCTAGCGCTCAGCGCCAATCACATCACCGATCACCGCCATTTTATTTAGCCACTCGGAGAGGAATCACCGTTTTACCACTTGTACCCAACACAGTCTTCTATGCCAAAGATACTCGAATGTTCCTGCAATAGAAACTTGTCCTGTAAAACCGTCAAACGCTGAAATATTGGCCCGCGAGATTACTGCGCCGAGTGCACTGCACTGGCTACACTGGCCCACACTACGGATACACGTCCCCGCACGCCTGGTCGCACATGTACATATATTCACATAAAATCTAACATTTATAATAAGTCACACACATTGCGCGAATAGGGGCATGCACGCACGCGCAATGATTCAGAGACTTCACGCGGCTGCGCACTAGCATATGCCCACGCGAGCCCGCGCATATGGCTCCTCTCCAGTATTTCCGTCAGGAGGTTACGCTCCTAACACACAGAGAATAAGTTCGCACAACGAGATCAACGGGACACCGTGATCAACGCACCATGTCTACTATCTTATATTTTCACGAGATTGTACAAGATTACCGAAGGATTATCTATATCGTAGATACGCTCAGGCGCTTCAGTCTTCTTCACAAGGAACGCGGCGCCTTTCAGCATCTTTTCGATGCCTTGAACAATGCCTGATTTTATTTAGTTCACTGAGAATAACGCGTAATGCCACATCGATGTCAACTGCTTATGCTCAGTTTACTTCTGCGCAGTGACTCTCGGAAAAATGTCTTGATGCCTGCCAATCGGAACGGATGCTTCTCTATGCCTTTGAGCTCGTCGTTGATGTGAAGCAATATTTTTCTGAGCTAACGAAAAACCTGACAAAGCCACTTAACGGGACTTACTACATTATAATTTCTTTTATGTTAAATCTTTTTTATAAAGCCAATTTTCTTATGACTCAATATAAACGTCATCGAAACCTTACTTTTTACTAGTAAATGTTACCTGGGAATTAATGAATACCTTTGAACGATTGTTACATTTCGTTGTTGAATGTATCTTTCTCTGAATTATAAGATACATACGATACTCTTGATTCGAAAAACACTGTTGTACTGTACTTATATGAGACGAATATTGCGACTCTGTAAATTCAAAGATTCTTCTTTATTGTGGCTGTACTGTTATTTTAAGACGATACGTTTGATGATGTATAGGTATGAGGATACCTTGATTGCGACATTACCATCCAGTGTCTTTGTTTAGTGACATTAATAATGTATAGACACATTTTATGACTTGATCTAATTTGATATGCTGAATCTTACTGTCATACGGAAAATACTTTTAAGATGTGTAATGTCTCGACGGTAGCATTTCCGTATTTGGAGTACCGCTATTAACGGAGGGGGTCAATGATTTTTCAACGAGATATGGCAGGTTATAATACGGCAGCGCTGTGCTGCAATTTCTTGAAGTGGCGGGTAAAAGGTTTCGCCGTAGAACTCTAACGTATCAGAAGAGCTTGATAAACTGAGCTCAAACAAAAAGACAGTCTCATTAGCGAGAGAGATTAATTAGAAGATGTTACAATAAAGAAATAAACCTTATTATTTTCAGAAATAATGGCCAATGAGTAGCAATGAAAAAAGTCCAGTGAGTACTTCAAGATTTTTTTCTTTTCTTGTTTAAAAACTTAAGCTTATTAAAATATAATTATCTATGAAAAACGATCTAAATGTATTTGCCAATACTAGTATTATACACTGATAAAAATATAGATGTTCATTTCTTACGAGCAACACTGTTGTACAGAATCGAGAACAATATCAACCACTGAAAATTCATTACCAAGAGCGTATCGCGTCTTTGTCCTCTTGAATATGGCCTTTAGTTTGGATTTGTTTTTGACACGTAAAAGCTGATGAATTGTTTCTAAACTAGAATCTATTTGATTCGCATAAAGCGGTCCATTGCTTTCGTATTTTAATAGATTAGAATTCGTGAGCTCTATTAATCGATTCATATAACGAGCTATGTTAACCTCACCGACAATCTCATGCATCCTAGGAAGTTTCATTATAGGGTCGATGCCCACAGACTTCCAAATTAATACTATAGACACGTCGGCATTTCCGTTAGGCTTTGTGTATTCAGAACAGAAGTTTGCCAATGTAGGTGGAAACTTTTCAACTGATGAGTGAGTGTGGATAGAGAGATTCACCTTAAGGCAACGCTTCAGAAAAGCAAGTAGCGTTTCCAGTGATCGGATTGGCCATTGTGGATCACAGAAGATCGTAAGGTTTTGTTTTACAATAATTTTTGGATGATCGTTCAACTCTTGTGTTGTCTTGTTCAGATCCATTTGTATGTTTTGTAACTCTTCTAGAATATTGTCCCATCTCTTTTTTAATGATTCCACCATGTCCTTTGATACTGGAACTTTTCTCGTAGTTCTAGAAAGAATAAGCATTGTTATTTATTCAATATTCTGATAATCGTAAACTATGCTTTGAAAAAACAAGGACAAAAAATTGGCTCTTATTGTACAAGAGGAAAACTAGTAAACTTGGACTTGTCTATATTTATTTATGGACTTCGATTCAACATAAATACCTTGCAATTATGTAAAAGTATATTTACTTTTGTAGACGACACAATGGATTGTCGTACACCATTTGTAAGTCCACCTTTGGTCCAACTAGATCACGTATGTTATTTATACCGTACTTAATCATGGTGGGTCTGAAATGTTAATACAAAATATTTTGTTAAAACTTTATGTTTAAAAATTTGTAGTATAGTGATACGTACCTCTCCAATGATAAACCCCAAGCAATTACATTGACGTTTTCAGGGAAACCCATAGGTTGTAACATTTCAGGTCTGAATAATCCGCTATTACCGATTTCTATCCATTTTCCAAGACCATTATGGAAACAAAAGATTTCCATACTAGGCTCAGTGTATGGATTATATGCAGGTTTAAATTCCAATTGTGTAATACCAAGTTTTTTGAAAAACTCATACAAAGTACCGATCAAATCGCCAAGTGTCAAGTTGTAGTCGGCCACTACACCTTCAACTTGATGAAATTCTGCCAGATGGGTTGCATCTAAAGTTTCATTTCTGAAAACGCGGTCAATGCTAAAGTATCTTACTGGCTTAAATTCACCCTGTAACAATAAATTCAGCCATAAATAAAATTGTAAAAACAAATATAACTGATTTTTAAAACTCTTTTTACCTGCTGCATGAGTTTATACAGCATACGTGCGCTGACAGCTGTTGTATGAGTGCGGAGTAAGTTTTTCTGTGCTTCTTCTATTTTCCAATCATATCCATAACCTTGGGATCCATATCCTCCCTTACTGTGTACTTGCTTCACTTTCTCTAGATATTCATTAGGGAAGTTCGAGCTAGTCCTTGGTTCTACAATTATATCAATAAATATTTCAATACTTAAAAAATGAAGTGTAAGTATAAAAAATAAAGAAATATGTATTCAAGGTACCAGAGATAAAGAAAGTGTCATGTGCGTCCCTTGCAGGATGTTGCTGTGGCTGGAACAACGCATCAAAGTTCCAAAACGAACTTTCAACATAATTATTTGTTGCCATTTCAATAAATCTATAACCAAACAACGAACATTAATGCTGTAATATATCTACTAAATACGTCTTGATAAAGATGTTCACTTGAAAGCATTTACCCCATTTCTAAAAATATCTTTCTAAACTCGCTTCTCACTTTAAGTAAAGGATGAAGGTGTCCCACTTCAAGGGCAGAACCAAGAGCATCAAAATTGTATGGTTTAAATTTTTTCTCCTTCCATGCACCATTCACCAATAAATCAGCAGTAAGATCAGCTTCTTGCTTTACTATTTTTGTTGAAAAATTGCTACCTTTACGAATATTCACGCTCTTTATAATGCTAATGACAGACAAATTAAATATTTACAGTAAAAAAGTTTCTCATCAGCACAACATATTCTGTGCATATAACATACATCTCTTGCAATAGTTTCCTTTTCTTATAATCTCCTTTTGCATTGTCAGGAATATTTGAGAAATCTTTCAGATGATTTTGTATACTATCAACAATCGATGGTACAGCCTTTCTCACCATGACTGAATTTTTACTTTTATCTATCTTAATCCATCCAGCTGCAAGAGCTTTAGAAGAACCTATCTTAGCATATGGTACCGATTTCATAATATCAGCCTGTGATATTCCATTTTCTGGAATTGCATTGTAAACTGCTGCTTCATGACTACCATGTTCAACTACATGTTGACCCTCGGCTGTGAGTTCCCACTTTTTTCTACTCGCTTGCTCAACAGTGATCATCTGTCAGGAAATCCATGACAAATAATTTATGTAATAAAAATGACAATATTAGTATTACAAAAAAAAATGATGACTGGTATAATTAAAAAGTATTGCTTTCTTTTACAAATGACTTACATCACCAATTGACTCCAGACTCTTGATAGCACCAATGATTTTTTGATGATCCTGATTAAAGGCATCAGCTATATCAAGTGAATTAGCTTCCTCGTGATTTGCCAGGTAATCCAAAATTTGCTCAACTAATTCGTTTGCCATCTTGTTCAATTTTAAATATATTACTACCTACTCAAAACAATATTACAACAAGAGTCCAAGTTCAAAGCTGCGTGGGTCAGATATTGAATGTATATAGGTTAACACGGTGCCATACCGCTGCCTCGGTTACCTTACTTAACCTAAAAATTAGAAGAAAAATCAGACAGACCTCCGTCAGTGGCAACATGCGCACTGTGGTCTTAAAAAACAATCTAACAGGGAAAATGTGGTAAATTATGAATGCGCGACATAACACAGAAACGCTGCAGCGCTATCAACAAATATAATTTCAAACTGCATATCTATTTTAGAAAATTACAGTTTATGCACCGAGCAACCAATTGGCAATAGCATTTTTTCAAAACCAACAAAATATTCAATCAAGCAGTTCTTTCACAAATCAGTTAGTTAATTCCTAATCATAACGAAGATTTAATAACTACACCACATTACTTGTAAACCAACTACGATTTTCATGGATAAAATTCTCCGTCTTTCTTCAACGACAACAGTTTCTAAAATCAACCTATCGACACTTCGGAAAATTGAAAACAATGCTTTGATAATTTCGGCAAAATCTAACATGATTAAAGAGGATATACTTAGCAGAGAAAAAGAATAACTTTGGAATGATAATTTCCAATTGTTTGTTCGGGCTATTCATACAATTATATAAATTAAAATTAATATTTTTAAAACACACTCAAATAAATTCAATTTTCAAATAGAGCAAGTACATGATTCAAAAAATTATCACGATTAAATTAAACCGTCTAATGTATTTACTGTCATTAATTAAATTTTAAAGTATGTTAAAAGTGACAGGGTACTAAGTCGCATTATAATTTTCATTTATGATTTTCATATTAGCGCGTTTAGCAACTTTATTTTATACCCGCTGCACAGAACACTCTCAAACCATATATAACGTTTACACACATATATTATGTATACTATATCAAATATATCCAAAAACTGTTTTTAAAGGCAAAAAACGAATAACTACTTAATAAACTTTGCTGTTTACCATAAAATTATTTACCCCTCTGTAACCGTACCACACTTCCATTCAGTCAAATAAATAACATAATAACGCTATTCTTAATACCAAATATTATTATATCATGTGACTGCAGTGATGTCTCGTGTACAGAAAAGTTATTGAATAATTAATTTCCATATGATTTTCAGTTCTACAAAAAAAAACGTTTACGTCTACTTTCAATTTCTTCTAATGTAATCAATATCTGAAGACCCAGACTGAGCATATATGACTAGACATACGTTAATCTGCTTCTGAATATTTATTACCCGTGGATGAGTGATTGTGTGAAATGCAAAACGCACAACTGCATTAAACGTTACGATACAAAATAAAAATGGAATAAATAAAAACGCTTTAATTGCATCATATATTAAAATGACTTAGGCCGTCTTTCGGGGCACATTGAATTCTAAAGATAATTTAATGACTGTCGATAATCAGATTAATTAATTTACTCTCTTCCTCAACTTTCAACACCTTATCATATAAGACTGTCGAATTATTAATAAAAATAAAATCAAAGAAAAAAGAATTATAATATAATGATATCCACTAGCTCAATCCAAAAGAAGCACATATAAGATTTTACCAATTTCATCCAACTTATTCAATACAATTTATAAAATTATCAACAGATGTCCGAGAACCGCAATATCAAATCCTAGTAGCTCAAATATCTTAATGATATATCCACGAAGACTTTATCTTATCAAACAAAATTTCATAAGTGATTTCTCCACAAATATTAAAACACACTAAGAATAAAGTATGTTTGGGCTACCAGGAATTTCATTCTGTTAGGAGATCAGACTGCAAGGAAATGATTGCAGGAACGTAACGTGAGCTGTATATTATTAGTAAATTAATAATCATAATTACAATGTATTTACTATACTCTATACCCTCAATTTCCTTATCATTCCAAAACGGAGGAAATCACGAAGAAGAGAATTGCAATCTCGACGCAGGCCTAACATTCATTGTCATTACAGGACGTAAAATGATTTAGGCTTAGGATAACGATAATTGCTCAAAAAAATATAACTGTTAATTATTACTATAACAATTAAAATTAATGGCAATAATAATGATGACAATAATAAGGATGTATGGATAAAAGCAATAAAATTAATCTGAATAATTGGATGGATGATCTATGACGAACAAATTATAGTGAAACTTGATCAAGAAATTCATTTGTTAATTAACTAGCTAAATATGGTCTTTAAATGCATATTAAGTTGTAGAACAGTATCCAATTATAATTTAAGTCTTTATATGACTGCTGCTGTTAATTATCATTCTTGTTTCTTATCTATTTATCTTTTACTTTGTCCCTTTTCCAGTCACCTATTGTTATTCGCATTTCAGCTTCATACCATAACACAAATCGCATAAGTAATGTATCACAGCGTATATTACAAAGTACATTTTTCATACAATTAGGCAATGTAACTATACCGCAGACCCCTTTGCTGGCATATTCTATTAATTACATGAAAATGAAATATAATTATAAACACTCCTATTAAGATATAATGGTCTACGAAGGAATAGTGTTTAATTTTTTAACTGAAAATACTTACCTACTTCAACAGACTTGAACAATAATACCATAGAATAAAAATTGCCAATAATCAATACAAAAAAAGTGACAAAGGAGAGCGACGCATTGAATTACTTGTCCTGTTCAAGAAAGAAAATCAGTTAATTTTCCTTTTGTTCAATAGTTTATATAATTATGAGAACTATAATTGATTACGCGATTCATGAGTTATTAAATAATGATGACAATATGTTAATTCAATTAATCTGAAAATCATGAACAATGGTACAGAAAATATAGAAATGATAAATGATATAAGTTTGAAGCATAACGATATAAAAATAACAATGACGATCAATGACTCTCGATATAGATTAGTACTATTATTTTGTATTTTCTTGAATTCTGCCTAGAAAAAGGGCCTGAGCAAACGATGGACATTCGCATGCACACTTTAATATTTTGATGATAACTGATATTTTCGAAGTGGATTTTGGGACGTCCTACATTAATGTATTTTCCAGCAAAAGAAAACTGATTTTATATATACAGGGTGTGCCAAAATTACCTGACCAACGGGGTATGGCGGTGTTCGGGAGGCACCACTGATCACGAAAATGACCTTCCTCTTGTCCGGAAGGTCATAGTTTTTAAATGGAAGCAGGTCAAAGTTGACCAATCATAGCGAGGCGTCACGAGAAACGTAGGCACCTACGAACTCTGAGTTTTCTTCCCTCGCTTTTGTTTCTCGGTGGCTTCTTTCTTGTTTCTTGTTTCCAATAGGCATGTCTTCGGCTGACGTCATCATGCCCGAAGCCACTGAGAAACAGAAGCGAGGAAAGAAAACTCAGAGTTCGTAGGTGCCTACGTTTCTCTTGACGCATCCCTCTTATTGGTCAACTTTGACCTGCTCCCATTTAAAAACTATGACTTTCCGGACAAAAGGAAGGTCATTTTCGTGATCAGTAGTGCCTCCCGAACACCGCCATACCCCGTTGGTCAGGTAATTTTGGGACACCCTGTATATACATATATATATATATATATATTTGTTGCAAGATTGAACAACAAATATGATCTCTTAATTGTCTCCAAGAAGTATCAATTATTAACTGATTAATTCGAATGCAATAATTTTAATAATTTATATTATTTGATTTAACGTTAAATTGTTCTAAGCGTCCCTCGATATGAGATTGGCAATTATTCAATTTTCATTGAATTCAGTTTATGCAGAGCGACGCGGGCGATTAATAATTCTTCTATAATTTATGATAACACATGTGGTACCACGTACTGACAATATTCTTTTTTTAGTCACATAGCGACGATACGAAGATTATTGGAGTGATGATATTTTTCCATTTTAAGGAACATTGGACAATTTTAAACTCGTTATAATCGCCTATCCTCGAGATAGTGAGCACTTGATTTTCTTTGGTACATAATTAAATTAGAATATAAGAAACCGAATGAATACACAGCCGAATAACAGTGTGAAATGACCAAATAAAGGTATATCAATATTTAATATATAAAATTCGACCTGCTGTATTTATAACCACATAGTGGCATGTTGCCGGCAGCTGCTTCTTATATAACATAATTTAATTTAATAACTTATCTATCCTAGGGATAAACTATCGTTTAAAACGTCCATTTTTTTATAGATTTTTCCTGCGAGAGCCGATACTAGATCCTAAGTGATACTGTCAGCCATCCAGACCTCTTTCAATAAAATTATATTATACAAACTTATGTAACAGTTAAATATTAAAATGGGAGGAAACATTTTGTAATCGCAATGTTCGTCAGCACACGTTGTATACTTTTAATTCACCCTGTTCCAATAGGAGTGGACTATTAATTAGATCCTCTGTTGAGTGGGAAAACAATTCCTACGATATATCTGGCGCTCGTGGCCCGAGTAATTAAGTCTGAAACAAATATCTATCAGTTTTACATTTTCATGACTGTAATCATAACGTTTGTCTATGAGTACACATTAATTAGATTCATGAATGACATGAACTACCTTTATAAATAGCATGATAGCAATTAAAAAATAATAATCCTACTGCTTCCTATTTAAGGAGTGAAATTTGTTCGACTGGTCCACTTGTGCATAATGTTCTTTAAATTAATAAGCGGCATACTTCATACATGTTGCTTGGTATACATTACATATCACACTTTACCCCACTACTAGAAGCACTTTGGCTATACTGTGAAATCATTATTATCATGACTTTACAATCATTCCTTGTGTTTAAGCATTCTAGCTAATAAACCTTCTGACTTGGTTATTCTTTTATTGGCTATAATAAATATATAACTTGCGTCTTGCGTTCCTACTTGCGCCTAGCTTTTATATTCCCATAAATATACTTGCTCTTCACTTTAAATATTTAACACTAATATCGATAAGCTGAGATATTTATGATAGCTCTTTATAAGCATGTCCAAACACTTTAATTGGATAAACTTCTCACAAAGTCATATACGAATATCTCTAAGTATATCGACAGATCGCAAAAGTCCCTAGTTCTCGAAAATGTTCTTCTCTAGTTTCAATGAACGACACTCTAATAGTCGCACGGCTATTACAAGATAAAAATTGTCCGATAAGGAAGTACTCGAGCATCAAATTACTAACGAACCACTACTTCAATCAAAAAAGCTTCCTCACCATTTTCTTAAGTCCTGTACTCTTTTTATCTTTTCTTACTCTCGTAGGACTTGAACTACCACTACTGGCCTCATCACTATCTTCCTGACGGCCATTGGCTGCATTTCCATTGGGCTCTGTGTTACTGTCATTTTCTTTAAGAATACGTGAACTCGTTGAACTTTCCTGACTAGACCTACTGCTCGAATTCTTCGAGTACCATCCCCAATCAGAGCGTGTAAGCGCCACCTCCTCCGGCTGTCCTGATGGACGTCTTTTATTTCTCATCTCCAGAGCCGTCTTCATAAAGGACGGCGAGGATAACTTAGTACTTTTTAAAATTCCGCCAGGCTGGCCGAAGGTCTCCTTGGAGACAATGTTTTCATCTAAACGATATTCAGATACTGTCTGTAAACGATCACCCGTCGCTAACGAATTTTTATCGTTGGGATTCATCGTTTTGAAATCTCGCCTCCATTCCTGAATATCATCGGCGTGCTTAATCTCCGGGGATGAGCTGCGATCATGATAAACTACTTCGTCGAGATTATCTTCACTGTAACGATTAAATGGTTTCTCTATTAATGAAGATTCTGTTCTTATGCAACGTCCACTATTTCGTCCGCCATCTGACTGGCTTGATAAACTTGATTGAGGCCCACGACCTCCCGGTGTGATGTCTTCCACTCTAACTAAAGCATTTGTTCGGACTTCGGCGTTTCTACGGAGAGGTTCAACTCTCGATGTTCCACATCCAGTAGACCCAACTCTAGTCGTAGAATTAACATTGTCACGCTTACGTTTCCGTTTCTTCTTTTTCTCCATGTCACCGTTCTGGCCACGGTGCTCCATCATTAATTCCTGATAAGAGTCGATAATTTTTGAAGCTATTTCACTAGGTCTTCTGTTCCTCTTAGACTTTGACGTGATGGACGTCGCATAGGTTGTGTCACCAACGCTTTTCCGTCGAAGAACCTCCTTTTCTTCTGAGGATCTATCGTCTTCCATTTCCAAGTCGCTGGACCTTCGACAGTACGAAAGAATCAGGACGACCACTGTGATCTCAATGCAGATGAGAATTAGATGTTGACCAATTGTCGAAAATCTATCGCGCCAACTGTCACGATCATAAAGGAGGGTTTTGACCGACTCTGAGAGACTCAGTACCTCTTGCTTCAACAATTCAATTTCTTCCAGCCGTTTCAATTCGCGGTCCTCAGTTTTACGCGATTCTTCGCCCATGGCTGCCACAGCACGTTCTAAGGATCGTTGCATTTCTTCTACCTGCTTCTTGTAGCGTCGACTAAGTTCCTCAAGATACTGCCCACTTAGAGACATGTTTCTTTCGAGAGCCTAGAAAAATCAAGAAAGGAAACGTTTATATATAATAGTCAACCATGAATAATAAATGCTTGTATTCCCTTACTCACCTTAATCCTATTAGACAATCTCAGGAACACGGATTCCTTTTGCTGAGGACTGTAACTTGCAGCCGGTTGTGATACTGAAGCTGAACTCGCTGAAGGGTTATTGTGCAATGCAGCTGAATCTCCCTCAAAATCTTTCAAATCTGATAAGAGCGTATCAAAGGACAATTGATCCTTAACATCCTGATCCGTTGGTTCTACTTTACCAGGAGTTTGCTGCTTGACCTCCTGTTCAGATGTTTCTGTCCGCATTGATTGCGGCACAGTATCAGAGGAACCATCAGCATTATTAATAACTGGAGCATTCGCAGTAGCATCGCTGAGAACACCCTGATTTTTATCAGCATTAGATGGCAAAATTGCGGTCATCATTTGCGAGACTGTTTCTACAGAGGCATCCAAAATTCCTAAATCCTCAGGAACAGCCTTCCAGCTACTAGCAGAACCGAAGGTTCCCAATGGTGACGGGGTAGTCAGTACTTCCGGTTGAGCAATTCCATCCGGAGGATGCTTACTTGACTCAAGTACAGGTGCAGAAGATTCCCTCTTCGGGTCCTTCTTGCTCAATGTCCTGGTGGGCTTAATCTGTGAAGCGAGACCTTCCTGAGCCGGTGCTATTGGCAATGTTTCCTGAGTTTTTTTTGAGTTGTCGACGTTCTCTTGAGGATCATGAGATTTATGACGTGATTCTCCTATTGGCGACGAGGATACCGATGCCATGTATGAGGGTGTCGGTTGCATTGTTTGAGAGTCACTGGGAGTCGACTGTAAAATAGGCGATGGGTCGGCATTGAGAGCTTTGTCTGAGAGAGGCATAGAATTTTTCGAATTCATAGTACTCTGAGCAGAGTTTGCGCCATTTGTACCGGAAAGGGTTGCACTTTCATTGGCATCCGGTCCAGCTATGCCAATTTTCTTTTTCGGTAGTGCATTGTCGGATGTATTTTGGAGAGCTTCGTAGCTTACATTAAGCACGAGCTTTCTTTCATTTGTTGCTAGCACATTACACAGAGCCATGATACATTCTGGAGGAAAGACAGAACTTAGAAAGCTCGCCTGTAGATTCATGGGGACATTAAGAGACACTTTGTTAATATTATTATTAATGATGTTTCCCGATTCTTCGATTCCCGTATCACCTTTCACATTAACCTTAGAATCAGGTGTCGCTCCGACGTTTGTACAAATGTTATTATTGCGTAAGGTCTCCTTAACAAAATTAATTTTTATCAGCGAATCAAGATATTGTCCTCTGCAGCTGATTAGTTGAAACACACGTGCAAACTGTTTATCGGTACAGTTGTTGCAAACGATCGTGTACCTAGGTGTTATGCAAGTTGCAAAGGAACTTTCTAAAATATTACTCTCAATGTTCTCCTGTATCTTCGTGATATTATTGTGGCTAAGGTTACCACTTTTCACAAGGACCTCAGCAGCTTTTTTAACGATACTCAATACCGCGTCCCGCGCACTACCAAAAAGATTTCGTGATGGCTCGCCATGAGTTCCATCGAGGTTCTCTTCGTCGTCCTCGTCGTCATCCTCAGTGACTGCATTGGGTTCCCGGACGTGACTGTCAGATTCCGTTTCCGTTTCAAGCACTTCAAACTCACTAGTGCCATACGCCCGAAATAAGGAGATAGGACAAAAGTGTTCTGCACCGTAGTGAGAGTGTAACTCGACTTTAATAAATTTACCAAAGAGCTGAGGATGAAGTGGAAAGCTTTGTATGTCTCTCTCGTCCTTAGCAGTAAACTGGCCGACCGGGCTCCAATCTCTAGTAGGAAAACGATCACTGACAAAGACTGAAAAATCCTTGGGGGATGAGCTAAAAAGCTCGAAGTTGGCCAGTTCGATCTTCTTCGCCTGTATCGCCTCGCAAAGCTCCACGACGAACCAGACTCTAGACGTGCACGTATTCAGCATGTACTCATCGCGCGTGGATGCCAAAACACTCTTGGCACTTCGTGCTTCCGGATTGACGGCAACGATCTTAGCACCGCAGTCAGGCGATGCGTAGTTCTTCGAACGAACTTTCATACCACCTACAGTCCTGGTTGGTCCCCCAGGATTCTGTATCGAGGCATTTGGGTGTGCTACAACATAAACATACAGATAGGATTAATGAAGTTATTCTTGACAGACATAATCACATGATCAAAAGATCACTGAAATTGTCTGAAAATCTAATCACGTTATCTAGGTATGATTGATGCTTACTCTTCTTCTTTTCAGCTTCTTCCAATCGCCGCTGAGCCCATTCGCTAAAAGATGGAATATCCTCATGAGGATCGGTAGAACCGGAAGCAACGAGTCCGTCCATTATAACAGCTGCTGCTTCATCGCTACCTTCCCCAACGAGTCTCGCCCTGGCTGCACTATCATTCAGCTCGGGTGCCGTCGTCAGAGCATCAGCCTCGACCTTCCGGATATTCTCCGCAAGCTCCTCCTCTTCGGAAATTTCAACACTTCCTCCATCCTTTCTGCTAATTTGTTCACCCCTGTCACCAGGAACTACCTTTAGCTCTATCTTTCCTTCAGAGCTTCCTAACCCCTCGTTCTGAACTAGGTGCTCATTCGAAGAGCTGGTTCTGTCTTCGTTCCCAGGTTTCTGGTGAGCTCTGACAGTAACAACCGCTTCAGAAAGAACCTCGGCAATGACAGGATCATCCTGATGAATAGTTTCATTCTGCTGATCATCATGCAGGACGGACTTGGACGTTTCACTCGATGCTGGTTGACCAATCTGATCTTCTCCTCGGATGGAACTCGTCGACAGAGTAACATTGGTCAATGGCAATGATTTGCCATGAAACTCTGAACTGATTCTAGGATCGGCTAGACTCTGAAGTTCAGCTGCTGCTGTATCAACCAACGTAAGTACAACAGACTGCCCGGTTTCTAATATGCTGTAACAAAAGAAAATTCCCATTAATTCTCCCCAATCCTTCAACAATATCAAAACCCAAGTTCAAAAATCTGAAATAAAATTGCAATTATTCCCTCAAATCGATCTAACGTAAAGTGGCTTCAGATAATTTGTGAGTTCATAGTCTTATTAAATAATCTCACCGACAATACAAGCTGCTGGGGATGCACCATAATGCCACTACTATCATGAGATAGAAAACAGCAGCCTGCAGAAGCTGTCTCAGCGATCCAAATTCTTCAGTTGAACTTTCTATCCAGTATATAGGACACGTGTTACCTTTAATTCTCCCTTTAGCCATTGTCATTCAATTTTAGCACCATCAATACTACTGGACACTACTTCTTACTGTCCAAGTTACAATAGACTCCTTGTGCGACAAACAGTCACAGTTCTGCGAGTTTCAATCCAAAAGTTTTGCACTCGTCCATTTTACACATTATCTTTAAGTCACTTCTTCACTGAACTGTTATGTGAGTAGCTGCGACATTTACAGAATCTATAAGACTAAAGAATCGAACATCAATGCCACTACAAAAAATTATAAGTATTCACAATCGAACTCATGTATTAGTATTGCTATATATACTAAATCACTTTTTCAGAGCCAAATACCGATAACTGATAATCGATTCATGTAAAAGTGCGCATGGTCTATATGTGCGAATAACCATTGCGGCTGATAAGGCCTTGTCGCTGATTTTATATGTGAATTAAGAAATATATATCCGGTATTCAGTGTTAATGTTCTATAAAAATTATGACAGTTCAAGGGTTACAGATATCATATTCATTTCCGTCGGATCTTCCGAATCCTCCATTTCCTGTGAAGCGCTAAGGGTACGTTTCAAATGAAAAGCTTACAAAATAATTCTAATTCTCTTGACATCTAACGACGATAACCCAGTGCAAGTATTTTTCACTGGTTACGCGCGCGTTAAAGAATTCTTAATGATTTTCTTTTTAATAACCGTGCTTTTCGCGGCCCACGTTCAATCTGCGCGCATTAGGCGAATGCGACTGAATGACGTAAAAAGAGGCGCGAAGAGGACGACGTAATTTGACGAATCAGTACGAATGACCCGAGTATAGCGTTTAATTATAATATAGTTCCAAGAATGTCAAACGAAGTGAAGTTCTGGATGATTTTTCGAAAGACTGACATACTGAACCTTGATGTATTTTTATATGACGGAAGTACATAAGGAGATAGTTCAAAAGTTCAACACGTGCGAAGTTACTAATTTTAAGAAGGGGAAAAAAAATAAAACTGTAATACTTGTAGAACATTATTGTAACGTGACTGATCAAGTCAAATGACGGGTCACCGAACGAAATGATGTAAATTTTACATAAACTGCACAATTTTGCATAGATGTTATGTGAATATACATCGGTATCAGTAATTGCATAGGTATCGGTAATAATAGCAGCTGCTAATTAACTTTTCAGCACATGACACTTGCATGCAAATACACTGTACTATAATTTTGTTCACGGGCGTGACGATCTAGGTGCGAGAAATTCCTGTGATCGTGAGAATCAGAATCATGTATTGCAATTATGAATGAAATGTATGTAAGACGAAGGAAGCGAGGAGTTAGTCGTCTCTTAACGAGTCAAATGCAGCCAACTAGAAGTCGAGCGAACGTCGCAACGACCGGTCGAGACTGTGTGGGTATCGAAGGCAAGAAAAAAAAAAAGTTTTTTTCCAAAAATATCGCAAATTGAAAATTAATCTTAACGATTACTTAAAACACACAAAAAAGTTGGCAGTCGTGTAAATTAGTCGGTGTCAAAAAAATTGCAATAAAGATAAACCGTCTGGATCGTTATAAACGCTAATTACACGGAGATAAAAAATGAACGAGGCGAGCACGACTCATGATGTTCCATCGAGATTTAAAAAATATTTAAAGAAATCGTCATTTTATTGCAAAATCGTCGAATTGGTAAGATAATGTAATTTTTTTTTAAATAATCGCGCAACGCTACTTCCACTCTTATTCATTTTTTCATACAGATTCTACTCGTAATATCGATCGGCCTGATCGTGGATCCCCTGAACAGTGATATGGAAATAAATAAAAATCATGCCGCCATTATCTATACGTCAATTTGCGGTTATATACTGATAAACACTATAATAATATTGTCTTATTTACTTGGCGAGCGTCAGCCTAAGAAAACGGTGAGTGTGGTAAAAAAAAATTTGGTATTTCGAAAAACAGTATTTTTTTTTCACTTTTTTCTTTTAGTCCATCGTATTTTCGACAATGGGTGCAATACTGAGCTGCGTCGCTGGACTGATTTTGATTCACGATTGGGATACCTATCAGGATAACCTGATTTCAAAATATTCATCGCAGTATTTAAATCAAATGTTGTCCAGTGGAATTTTTGCCATTTTGGCCATTCCGTTTTTTATTCTTGACGCTTATTTTACTAACAAGTATCAATGACGTGCTGCCATGTTGCACTGATTGCTACGATTCTTCGATCGCACGGGAGGTAACGCTTAATAAATCACTCGGACGAGGAAATGACTTGCCATTAAAATTAATATATTACAATTAATTACAATTAATACATAAGACTATCAAGATTTTCATTATTTCATATGATCGATTTAATAAAATCGTACGAGTGTTTACAGTAAATTGTGACCATGTATGATATTACAGCTGGAATATCAATTTTTGTTAACTTAATGATTATTAAAGAAAACTTTTATCTCGAACGACGCCAATACGAGAACGTGATGCTTTACAAGATTGACGTGGCATCACGAATACGAGGGGCGTGAAACGTGTTAAAAGATAACAGAAGGAAGTTAAACGAAAAGGATAAAAGAAAAAAAAAAGTGAAAATAGTTACAGATCGGGAATTGAACCGTAGCCAAAAAATGTGTAGTTTGTCACCGAGCCAATATACAGGGTGATCAGATTATAAATGGTCTCAAATTCTGATCAACAAATAATTCAAATTAACGATACACAGCATGAGGATTCATAAGCATATATAAGAATTTGTCTCCGAAAATACTGCTATAACGTACAAAAACATGTAGGGTGAACTAAAATTTCATTGTATATATATCGACCGAGTCATTAAAAAAAAAAAAACTTACTCGAAAAATAGTACAGAACTTTATGAAAATTTTCTCCGCACGCAATTAAAAATCGACTGTAGAGAATTACAAAATTAATAAAAATCCCAAAATTCTTTTCAGCTTTTACTTTCGCAAAATCTTGAATAACCGTGAGAAAGACACTCGACGATTTCGGATGATACACAAGAACAAGTTAATTTATCAATTAGGATTTCTGTGTCACGGGAAAGTACGCGTAAGGTATACACGCGCGACATAGCAAGGCAATTGCAAATATATCCGTATCGGTGAACGTCGGAGTAACGACTGGCGTTGAACATTTACCGACGTCGTCAGGAAGCCGCTATTCCGTATCTCTGCACCACCATATAGTTTCTACCTGGCGGCGTGAATTTGTTCAAAGCGAAAATGTGTATAATTGACAACTTGGATATAGTAGGTAAGCGAGTAAGAAGCAGATAAATATTCGATACGGAACGGAGTGAAAACGTCGGCAACGGGGTCGAAAAAGCCGAGAGGGATGTCAGCGAGTTTGAAGACTTTTATGTGCGAGAAATTTCCCCATGAATTGACGACATGAAATTTCTACGAGAAGTAAGAATTGCATGAAATCCGTTACAACGAGAGATCAAAGCACTGGGCAACTGAGCACCACGTTAAATCTCACCACTCTTTACACTCTGTCTGCTTTCCACAACCATTTTTGTTCATACAATAAAAACATCTCTTACTGGTTTCACCAGCTCATTCCTAATGTATCTACAGTAGACAAAAAGATATTACCAATTGAACTTGCTGTGTACATCTGCAATGTGAAAAGTTAAAAAAATTTTTTTTTAATTATTTTAAATTCACGCATCGTCGATATCGTCAATGTATTGTTACGAATAACGACCTAATTGCAGACTGCAACGATGTCTACTCCAAGAATCAAGAGACAGTGAAATTCCCCATGTACGTTTGTAACGAAAAATAATCAGCCAAATGTAAGATCGGTCGACTAGGATGACTACACGAAAACAATGCGAGTAATGACGCAAATGAAATAATTCAAATTCATTAAAGTCATCGGCACTTATTTGAGCGTTGCTTGAAAAATTGTCAAGCTGATATAAATACACAATATATGCTAAACTAAATCGAATTGGTTAATACCGATGTCTTATTATCGATATCGAAGTGTTTATCGATTAATCGACAAGGAAGAATTGCTTTTCTGTGTACAGAAAAGTCAGCTACCAAATGCGTTGCGCACATTCTACGTATGTCGAAAACCTTGAGTGAGTCTTCGTATTACTGAGGTCGTGTTTTGCCTTATTCCTCTCAACGCGTTTTCATCCGACGGAGCAGCGGCTTTGTCTGGGAGCATCAAAACATCGTTTTCCACGTGAAAATATAATTTTATACGTTAACGCGACATTTATAGGAATAAATAAAACGTTGAATTTTACAAAAATACACCATATTGATACCTACTGAGCTTGTTGAACGTGGTACAATTTTTATTTTTTCTCAACTGGAATCGATCAGCTGTTACGTCATTCCTTAGGAGTCACGTGGGTAACGCGCTTGTTTTTCCTGGATGTTTTGTGATATTAATACCACGTGTCGAAGTTTGTAAACCATTGCGTGTGTCAACCACAAACTGATTGATATAAATGTCAAGTTTGTGTTGTTAGGTTAATTGATTCAGTTCTTATTAGTCATTACATCGTATGTTACTCATATAAGTATCGTGACTTGTGTCATTTTGATAACGTTATGTGTACTGAAAATTAGGAGAATTTATCTTGGTGATATATTTAATGGTAATGGAAATCATAAGGAATGTTCAACGTGAATTGATTATAATGAATTAATGTTAGATTCGTCTGATCTTATAAAGCACACACGCTGGATCATAATGATAAAGATTAGCGATGATAACTTAAGAAATTTTTGTTTACTTAAATAATCGTAAAGAGACTATAGACAAAGCTCTGTTTAATAGAGACAATGATGATACAACGGCTAGAAAATTATTTACTAAATGCAATACCGCACGTGCAATATCTTTAATTTAAAGTGAGACATCTTAAAACTACGGTTGAAGCATTCATAAGGTAATATTCAAATTTTCGTGTTACAGCTATGTATCTCTGCTAAATTTTCCATACGTTGTAAAAATTATAGTATTATTGCAAAAATATACTTAAAACTTTATGTTAAGTTTTACTTTATTATATGTTTAGTTTTCATTTAATTTTGTGAGTACTTTGGTTGCGACTAGTAAATGTTTGTTATTGAGTGTCAGAAATGATCATGTTTTGAGATGATGCAATAGATCATAAAATTTCTATTGGTCCCTTGTAATCACTGTAAATGCTGGTTTATGTCATTAGGCTTAAACCAATTCTCAAAATGCAACTGTTATCAAGAGTAAACGTTTCGAAAATGCCTTCACGTTATCTGCGAAAGGCATGAAATATTAGAGTCCTGATAAGATGTGCATACAATAAATTTGAATAGTGTCCATAATTATGAAAATGGATAAACGAGTAATGTATGGATGGTTCTCTTAACAGTTTTATGTAATGTAATTATATTATTTTATCAGCACTTACCCTTGTGATAAGTTAGGCTGCTGTGTAACAATTTCCGCCAGGATATCAAGGCCTTGTTCTTTTTTCAAGTTATCGTCGCTGTGTGGAGTTTCGAAATTCGACAAGTCGGAACCAACACTATTCTGAAATAGAAAATAATATTACTTTATATAATTCATTTCAAATTAGAGGGTACTGGTAATGTAACTATGCACGTTATACATAATGTAGTGCGTGGACGTACAATAAATTAACTTTGAGTCGCCATAAATTTATTGAATGAAAAAATGCTTGTATTGTAAAATTCCTCGTGTTAACATTCCAAAGTCACAGCGTGTAAATCCAGTTCCTGGTATTAAAAATTTATAGTTTTTAGACTGTTTCAACGTGATTTGACACCCACTTAAAATTATTATATAACTACAAATCTTTGTTGTAAAAATGTTGACACTTAGCTGCTTTTGAATTTTTTAAGTATTATGAAACATCCGATACACATACCTCTAATTTATTTTAAGAACACCCACACAATTTCCATAGTTATTCAAAGCAAAACACAAGTATCAAGTTACTAAAATTACTTTGTTAAAGTTTTATGCAGCGGAAGATTAAAGACTTTTAAAAAAATAGTAGAGTATAATATTTAAGATTTTGCTGTAATAGTAAAACAAAATATTAATCATATTCCACAGCATACAATGTGGGTAAGAGACCACATATGTTACTCTAATCAACAGAGGCAGATAGTTATGATACAAGGACCTGACACAAAAAAAGCCTTCCTCCGTACTACCCACTAGATTACTGAGTTACAAGTAGGAAATATTATAGAAGCTGATATGAAACACCACTGAACTGTGAAAGTAAAGGAGGTGCAGCTGGTTCATTGTATAAATAGTGAGCTTTTTATGTATTACAAAGAAGATGAATAATGGATGCTGTTGCTTTGTATTCATGCAATTTACTTATAATAATGATTGTTTTCAATAACGACTTATGCCAATATTAAATATCATTATGTAAAGATTTTTATATTTAGGAAGATATAAACTATAAACTTAATGTATGATTGAAATATAGAGTACCTTTTCCATATAATTATCCTGGTGATGAGATGTTGCCTTGTGAAGAATTTGAGTCTGCAAAGTCTCCACTGTACCAGAATCAATATATTCTTTAAGAGTATCATCTTTGGTAACATTTTCTTGCTCTCCAAAGTCTTCGCTGCTAATTAAAGTAGAAGACTGCTCTGATGATAAAACTCCTTCTGAGGTTACAATCAGGAATAAGAGTCCGCTAAAATCAGTCAGACAAACACATAATACCATAAGCTTAAATGTTGCAAATACTCATCTATAAATAATATTTGTTGAACCAAGGACTCTCCAGTATCTTATATATTTTATATAGCCTATAATACTATCCTTACAAGAAATCTTATGAAACAACTATGTATAATAAATATTAGCTATACGCCATAAATAGTTCGTACTATAGTCTTAAGTATGCCAAACTACAAGATATGTGCAAGAAATAGTCTCATTAAAGTACTAGTTTAAAAAGTAATTATTAACAATGTGAAATATGAGAATTAAAGGGAACGAATTGTACACTAATAGTACTGCTTCAAAATGATAAACAACGTTAAAATGACAAGAACCCTCAAGAAGCAGCTAATGGACCATTGCTTCTTTAAACACAGTGTTTTTTAAAGCATTTATATAAGGTGTCTGTACAAATAGAGAGCCGGTTCTCGAAATGGAGCGACAAGAGCTGTCAATTGCATGCAACCGCAGTAGACCGTACGTTATAGTCTCACCTTGATACGAAGAAGACGAAGAGAAGAGTGCAGTAAATGCACGACACACAAAACTTCATTTTTTTCGCGAAACTGTCATACTATCGAATACGATAGAAATTCATTCAAATACATGTATATTTCCCGTAACTTTCAGCACTTTCGAAAGCAACTAGCAGCGATCGCTAATCCACGGAAACCTGACGTGGTGTTACTAAAAAGCTTCCGGTCCTTAAAGGTTATGTTGTCTTTCAAATCCTTTGAAATGATATGCAATTATTGAATAATCGTACAAGTTCGCGCTCCTTATCACGCACATCGTATTTTCGAACGAGAAAACGTATTTCACGTAAGACACATGCGTTCCTATGTACAAAAGGAATTACGACTTCACGGCAATATCAGCTGATCGGTTTAGAACATGCGCACTGCCGTCTTCCCCCACGGCCAAATTTTTATGCTCTTTCTTAGTCACGTAAAACACCGCCGAAACCTTAAAAGCTGCAGGAGAATTTGTTAAAATCCTTTTACAGTCTAAGCAGCAAACATTTAATGCAATAACAGTTAATAAATATTTCAAATCCTATTAAATCCGTCTACTACTCCATTTCATATTACTATTTTGACCTTTTGTTTGAACAATCAAATAAAATTTTATATATAATATTATAATAATTATCGAATATCGTAAACGATAACAACATCGCTAAATAATGATAATATCAAAATTTAAAATTGATAATATAAATAAAATAATAAAGTGGTACTATTACTATATAGATTATAGACATATGAATGATGATAAAATATTTGTAAAACCACTTTTTACAAACGTACCTTCAACTTGAACAAAGGTTATACAATTTGAGTTTCACAACCCACAATGGAGCAAGAGCGTGCTAAAGCTATTCAAGGGAGCGTATAAGAATTTCAGAGTCAATGGTGGGGAATAAGCCAATGAGACCCAAGGTTAGGACAATTTAATTGATAAAAAAGTCGAAAGACTCTTCATAAATCAAACATTTAGTATTTATTCGTGTTTTTGAACAGACATGATTGGCGAAATGTTATACCCATCTAATGTATCATTGTTGGACACAGGTATTTTACTTCAAAGTAGTTTCCAATTAATATTTTGAATAATATCTAACTAACAATGATCATGTTTCAGGTCTATTATTAACAACAATGCTAACTGTATTATTTTTAATTTTATCTTACGAACTACTCACAAATAATCGAAGAAGCCGTCGAAGACGTTTTCTAGAACTTTCAAGAAAGTTACCAGGTCCAATGCCACTGCCTTTTATTGGTAATGCATTGAAATTCGCGTGTAAATCTAAAGGTAATTAACAAACGTGCACTTTGAATTGTATATAAGATTGTATAACAGTTAGATTCCGTTTTTTTAAATTTACATACACTAATCATTTTATTTCTCACAGAAATGTTAAATCGTTTGGAAACAATTATAATTTCTCACAGTACGAAAGAAGTTCCAATGAAACTATGGATGGGATCGGAATTATACGTGGTAGTGACAGCACCAGGAGACATTGAAGTATAACTACTGATTTATATCATTAATATATATGTATATAGACATTTTTTTTAATTTGCCATAAAAAATGGTCATTATACTGTAGATTATCTATAAGACCAATACCTGATACATTTACGATAATCCTGAGAATATTAAACTTGTCCGTGTGATCTTTATTTTTCATGTGACACACGACGCCTTGAATATGTTTTATGGTGGTGGTATAATAATTGTGATGCATAACAGGTACTGTATTTCTAACGAAACACTACTTTCGTGCATTCATATAGTCGTATTAAATAGTTTGTCAAAGACTAGTAGCACCGGGAATATTAATGTATATGCAACGTTTGAATATTGCATCACCTTCTAGAAGATTGTAGACCGCTCGCTAATAATTAATCGGCATTAAATCAATGAATATTTGACATTTTATACATATTGCAGAAAGTTTTGAATAGTCAGCAAGCCTGTTACAAAGGACGGGTGTATCGATTTCTTCATCCATTTATTGGAAATGGCTTAATAAGCGGAGATGGTATTGATTTTTGTTATAATGAATACTTTTTGTCGCAATTTATTAAATCCAAATATTTTTTTTGGAAAATAGGTAATATGTGGCGTCGACATAGGAAATTATTAACGTACACCATGACCCAAAAGGTTCTTCATGGATTTGTCAACATTTTTGATAGACACAGTCGGAAGTTAATGGATAAGTTAGAATCGCAAGCAGACGGTGGTTATGATTTTGATATTTTTCCATATATTGAAGCTTGCACTATTGATATTGTTTGCGGTTAGTATTATATTTTTTTTTTAGAACTATACTCTTATCTTTTGGTTGGGAATATTTTGGCTTTCCTGTTTTAGAAGCTGTTATGGGTCGCTTAGATGTTAATGCACAGGATAATGCAGACCAAGAGATTATTCATTATACTGCCAAGTGAGTACTGGTGTAAATCAATTGCTTTTTTTTTACATAATTATTAACTCGTACAAAATTCACGTTAATTTACAGAATGTACAAAATTATATTCGAAAGAATGACCAAAGTATGGCTGCAATCAGATTGGATATTCAATCAAACGCGCTATTATACAGAACAACAAAGAGGACGAGAAGTTATACAAAATTTTGTACATACCGTAAGATCAAGGAAAATTACAATAATAATTCAAATACAATTTAACAGAGAAGTAAAAAATCTTTTTATTTTTCCAGTGCGTCTCAGCAAAACGAAATGACCAGAACTATACACCCTTGTTAAGCAGCAATCAAAAATCAATTTTGGAACATCTCCTAGAATCATTGAAAAGTTCATCAAATTCTCTGACTGATTCAGAATTACAGGATGAAATTTACACGGTTTACATCGCAGTACGTATAGCAACATTATATAGTCTAATATAAAGGAATTCTAATAAAAAATATAATTTAGTCCCAAGACACCATAGCTCTCATAAGCAGCTTCGCAACTCTTATGCTAGGCATGCACCACGAAGCACAGGAAAAGGCAAGAAAGGAGATAGAGGAAATATTCCAAGGAGAAGATGAACCCCTCACGTCTGAATCTTTATCTCAATTGAAATACCTGGAAGCAGTTATTAAGGAGACCATTCGTCTATTTCCAATAGCACCGTTTTTAATAAGACATCTGCGTGGAGAACTTCCTCTGGGTAAATATATTTCCGGTATAAAAAATAATATCATTCTTAAAGGATCCATTCACATAATCCACAATATTTCCCTAGAGAATTGCATCTTGCCAGAAGATTGTCAAGTACTAATAGCGGCATATGTTACTCATAGAAGTGTCGATTATTGGAGAGAACCAAAGAAATTTCTACCGGAGAGATTTTCTGCAGAGGAAAGTAGTACACGGCATCCATATGCATTCATACCATTCAGCGGAGGTCCCATGTCATGCATAGGACAAAAATTTGCAATGACATGTTTGAAAGTTATACTCGCGAATCTCTTACGATGCTACAGAATCGATACCACTTGGCAAATGTCAGACTTGTTACTCAATGCAGACATTTCTGTTCGCTCCATTAATGGCTATCGTGTCTCGTTAAAACCGCACGAGAAAGCAGCTTGAAGTAAACGAACTGGAAAATCCAGATATTCAAAAAACTCTTAGAAGATCTTAGACTCACCGTAACGTTATAGTAGCATGATCTGTGATGCCTGTGCGAAACCAACGAACAATAATCCTCCTTGTTCCATCGAGCAAAATCATCATGTTAAATCCTCTTTTTGTGTTTACACCAAATACGCCTTCATAACAAGGGATGTATGACAACAAGCAGATTGTATAATAAAGTATAAGCTGATCTTCCAGATTTTTTATGAAATAATAACACGTTACTTCCTTTGATTTTTGAATAAAAAAAGCAACACGCCATACTCAGGAACAATAACTTAGTGCAATAATTAGAATTGTGATATAAATCTATATATTCATAAAATCCCATCCGGTTGCATGTAATGATTTTTATAGATTATTTTTTCCCACGTGATCCTAATCCTGAATCCGAAAAAAATAAATATCGCGTGAGGAACTATAATCGACACGCATAAAAATATAGATATACCTATTAGGGAATTCCAGAAAGTATAAATGCTGTGTCAATTTACACGAGTTACAGAATGGGTAATACATCCATCAATAACGCGATACTTAACAAGATGCTGTGCAGTACGTTATTCGTTCTACTTTTTTCAAGCGTGCTAATCGGTTCGTTAACAAGAGCGGATGTAAGTAAACATCATTTTATATTACCTGGCATTTAATATTTCTTGAGATTGACTTTCTTTTAACAGAGCCCATTAGTCATCAATGTGGAGACTCTAGAAATTACAAATAAACCAAACGATTATATGGGCGACTGGTCGGGTATGATTCATAAGAATGATCCTGAGAATACAATTTCACTGAAGATGATTATCAAATCCACTGTACCAGACAATATGATGGTGAGTGCAGCATCATCCCAATACAAAAGAATGAAATACAATATAATTAATTTTTCTTGCAACTAGGTAAAATTGACAGTGAATATCGGCGGAACAGACATGCCTGAAAGCACTACTACTCTTTGTGGCACAATGAGTGACAAAGTTATTGTAGCTGGTATTCTGGAAGTCGGTAAACCAGAGGATACATTTCCTAAAGAGTGTCCAATCGAGGAAGTAAGTATATAGTACAAGTAACAGTTAAAAGCAAATATTAATTTATCTCTTAATTTCACCCAGGGGGTATATGAAGTGATAGAATACCATATCAAGAAAGACAATATACCGTCCACCTTGCCTGATGGAAAACTAGTAGGACATATAGAAATATATATGCCTGGAGAAGGACCAATAGTGAAGATTGATTTTCAAGGAGATATAAGTCATAAGATGCCAAGCATGGGATAAACTGCATAATTAATTACCGATAAGAGAAGTTTAGTTGGGTTGTGACGACAATAACAGATTGAAGGGCCTTTTTCTTATTGTTCAAAACGTAGAAGAGTCCTCTGAGAGTGGAGTTGATGCTGTGGGTCGAACATATGTTAATTAAACGTATATTCAATATGTAATTTATATTATTCCGCAAACTGCTCAGGAAAACTCTCTAAAGGTATTTTAGTTCACTCTGCACATTTTATTGCTTTTTATTTCGGCTTGTGTACTGCGAAATGTAATAATAATGATGTATAAATATTTCGGGCATTCTTATTCGTTATTTCATTATGATTTAAATTTGTACGAAACCTCTTCCTCTTCTTGTGATCCCTCTTAACGCTTGTTGATTTTTATTATATTTATGGTACTGGTTACTGGCGAATTTCACCAACCATGCAACTTCCGAATACTTCTCTGAGGCCATGAGTTTTCGATAATGTCAAGTTGTAGGACAGAAGGAAATGGAGATACAGAAGTAAAACTGTGAGTTTACTGAAAATCTTGAGGACCTCACTTCTCCAGTTGGTGATTCTTTGCATGTTCTTGACAGTGGTATTGTTAAATCGATTTGTTAGCTCTTCTGCGGATAAAAATGTTGCACTTCATAGTTGGTAATAAACATTGAATCTAAATTGAGAATGACGTTCTTACTTGAGCGATAACAACACACGTTTAAACTGGGCTCTGATGTATTAGGGCCTTTTGATTTTGATCTTTTATGTGTTTTCTCCTTTGCTAATCTCTCATTTCCTATAGTATTGGTTATTCCCATGTTTGCCTGTTTAAATTAAACGTAAATGATTATTTGTGTATTTGAAATTTACTCGGCTTACCACCTTTCTTGATTTTCCTGATGGCCGTCTGCTTTCCTCTGGAATGAATTGCAATATAATTCATATTGATTCAACAGGAGTGTACTGTTTCTTTTACCTTTTATTCGGCTCTGACGATCGAAAAAGCTTTTTTTGCTCATGGCTTTTTGAGAAACATTTTTATCGCAACACGTAGGATTTATAATAGACCGTTTCAATATGACTGCTGTATATGGAATCTACAATACAGCATGGTATAATCAGCCATTAATTATAATTTGTATTTTTTTCTATATTCGTCAAATAAACGCACATCAGAATGATCTTGAGCAGTACGTAAACGCGGCGAATGAATCGTTGCCTTGTTCTTTTTAAGGGAAGGTGCGACTGTTTGCAAGTGCATGAACGGCGTAAATAAAAAAAAAGTAGAACAAGTACATGAATGGCATTGAATTAAATAGATTTGTGAACGGAATTATTCACCATGATGAGAACGTCGATGAAGGACGTGACTATTAGAATTCGCTAAAAGTCTTTGAGCTTCATTATTGCACTTGTACTTTTGGTCTCGCTTGACATTCTGCTCAACGATACGCTATCAAAATATAAGATAGATGAGAATTTTATGGGATTTGTAGGATAATTACGAATATAATACCTTTGACATAACTTTAGATTTATAATAATTATCATCAGTAGTCTCATATTCCGGTACCTCCGGAATACCTTGCAATACTTTATGATCGAGCATTTCTTCTCCACCAGAAATTGGTACGCTATTTCAAGGAATCGTAACGGCTTTCTTTTCCATAGAAACAAGATTTTCTTGAGCGTTTTTCACCATTGCCTTGGATATAACAAGAAAAACCAGACAATGTTAGCGATAAAGAATAATACTCTAAACCGGCTTCCTTCAGTGAAATCTACTGTAACCCTTATATTTTTACATTCGGTTTCAGACGATTGGCAACTGTCGTGTATAATGGAACTAATTAGAGAATGGTTTTCAGTTCTACATGATCTGCCTTCCCTCTCGACTGATCGAAGAACACTCATCTGCTTTCTGATCCTAATTAATTCTTTGCTATTAAAAATTTACCATATAGATTTATAACGTCCAACTTCTAAGTCCAACATGTTTCCCGGCTGCTAATAGTATACATGTTATTTCATATGTCGATAGTCGCTTTTAAATGACACAAATATGTATGTAATTTGGTTATTTGCACTTATCAGCATCGTATGTATTTCAGTTCTTTACAATTTCCGACCGACAATATTTTGTACAGATGAATAAATGTTGTATTACAGTTCTGTGATTTAAATGATGGTTAAATGCATGTGACTGAGCAGTGTTGAGCAGTAGACTGCTAAAGTCCTTGCGCAAGAAAGTACAAGAAATTCAAGGATCAGACTAGTCTTGGATATTAATTGCTTTTTATTTTTTTTTAAATGACTATTTAATGACTGCTTGATGTGGATTAATATCGTGATAGTACTACAAGATGCGATAAAGCTTTAGTTAACAGGATATCTAGTTTGTGTTTCCTAACCTCTATAACTTGTATATTCGTAGAATTGACAGTTAGTAAACAATGGCTCATTCATACGATGGATATTATAGTGAATATCACAAAACGGCGGATATACAACAAAATCTTAAATATAAGAGGAAATATCAGAAGCTCAAAAGAATTGTAAAAAATACTGTGTTTGTAAGTGGTTTTACAGTGCTTGTTATCATTTTACAAGGAACAAGGTGTTAATTCACAAGGAACAATAATATATTTTATTATGTTATTGTCGTAGGAAAATGCTGCATTGTGTGATCAAGTAGCACAGATGCAAAGGAATCTTGCCATAATGAAAGAAGAAAGGCTATTTCTTCTCCGAAAGCTATATCAACAACAAGGTGAAGTGGATACAGTAACACCAATGGGAAAGCCCCAAATGAATAATTCTAATTCACCATCTTTTAATACTGACAATGTAACACCTAAAAAGAGTGTTAAAAAAAAGAGCATGGTGGATTTATCTGGTAATCATTGAATGAATTATAAATACAACATGCCTATAACAAGTACATTGGAAAAATTCACTACATATTAATTCTTGTCTTCTAGAAATGAAAAACAAGCCTAAGCGCTACTGTAAAGCAGCACGTAGAGTGGTACAATTGATACCATTAGATGTTCATGGGCGACCAATATTCCCCATTGCCTTGGGTGATCTTACAGTTTACTCTCTTGGTGAAGTAGTGTCCGATAAAATTGCTTATCATACAGAGGATCTTATTTTTCCTGTGGGTTATTGTAGTACCAGGATGTATGCAAGTTTAAGAAATGCACGAGCCAAAAGTCTTTATACATGTAAAATATTAGATGGAGGACCAAGACCAAGGTATTTCTTTCATAGTTTTTTTATCTCTCATCTTCTAACTTATACATACAATGTCTGTGTAAATCAATGAAATTTATAAAATTACAGATTTGAAATAGTATCAGATAATGATCTTGATCAGCCACTAGTTGGCACAACTCCTGACGAGTGCCATTCTCGATTACTGGCAGCTATATCTCCTACACTTCGTTCGATTGCTCCAAAAGGAGCTGATTTCTTTGGACTTTCTCATCCAACCATTCAAAATCTTATACAAAGTTCTCCTGGTACACGAAAACTAGCAATATACAAACAGCAACGTTTTGAGGTACACTTTGAAACCAATGAATCTCTTATTTTCCTATAAACCAAAATGTTTTATTTCACGAGTCTTACTGTTGATATTCGGTACAGGTGAGCAAAAATCAAATCATGCCAGGCAATGTCAGCCCTGCAGGAGACGAGGAAACAGATCCAGGATTAGGTTTTGCTGCACTGCACAAAACATTCGCATTGCATGGCAATTATAAGATCAAAGAGGAACCATTGGACCATGATCTACTGACCCTCCAGGAACTGCTCGTGTGACCTTACTATGTACATATTGATTTTTCAAATGCATTAAAGCACGATTTTTGAAATTAATGATTACAAGTTGATACAAAGTAGCATACAAAAACATTTATTTTACAATGAAATTGTATGTACAATTGGCTGACTGCAATTATATTATTATAAATAATAGTTATCACAAATTGATACAAAGGAAATTGCTATGCGTCTTTTACATTTCTATACCTATTTTCCTTAAAATGAGCGTACTACAAGGCGCACAGGTTTGCCTGCAATTCCAGAGCACAGATTGCTATATTAATTATAGGCGTGTATATATATATATATATATATATATATATATATATATAGTAAAGCTTTGCATGTCGAACAATCTTAATAAACTGATAATCTAAAATATTCTTGTGGGCGCACGTTATGTACCCTTAATGTTTTATGTCAGGCAAGTATATTATACATTATGAAGTACGTGTATTGTCACGTACCAAATTTCAATCATTTTTCATGTTTCTAGTACTTTAGTAGTTATTTTGGGAAACGAAGGAGCTCAGAATTGCAACATTCCCAATACTCATAAAGAATTAAGGAGCCTTTGTAATTCTAACACATCACATTGGCGTTAAATGTATGATCAGTTAAATGTAATAGTGCAAATGCTAGCTACACTATTGTACTGCCATTCCCGAGAAAAACAAAACTTAACATACATTTCTATTTTCACTCTCTTCTGTATGTTATATCACGTTATCGCTAATTATTTCTATTGTATATTTTCGTATGCCTAAGACTAATGAAGACATGGTTTGTCATATAGCAACCAAATTATATTTTGTCTATGCATTTGCACAATGTGCAATACTTGCTGCATTCACTTACATTTGAGAAATCAACCATAAGCGCTACGAATTTTTGTATTCAATATATTATACAAAGATGGAAATCATCATAGCTTCAATCGTGGTTCCAGGCAACGAGTAGATCGTTTATAAAACTGAAGTATATGTATAACTAAGTCAGTAAGGCAAATAAAGGAAATTCGACGCGGTACGTTAAAATCTTAAAATCTTAGAGCGATAAAGAGTAATCATTTTCAATTATGCTATTAATAGATCATAGCACCTCTTACATATAAAAAAAATCGGATATACATTTTCTGTCATGAGGAATATATATATAAATATATATTTTTTATGAACTTACGGATAAATAGATTTTTCATGTTGGCTCGTTTACTTTGGAAATTCACGTATTTTCAACTGTCACCGTCTATTGGCGGGACCAATGGTTTTGTTGAAAAGTGTATTCGCAATAGCGATAACTGGAGAAAACAGTTTTAGTGGACAATCACTGTAAGAAAAAAAAAAATACTTAAAGTTCTGGCTAAAGATAATTTGTGGAGATATGGTAGAGTTTATGTATCCGATTTGTTAAATAACTCTTATATCGTAATCAGGTGAATACAAACTTTAAATAACTATAGTAGTATTATGGCAATTGAAATAAAAAGTATATGACGGAAATAAAAAGTATATAAACGGGTCACATACCACACTCCAGTCACAGGTTCAGCTTCATTCCCACTTATAATAAACAGTGGGAAAAGAATAGAGAATACACAGCCACTGAAAGTAAAAATTTATATACATATACAACATATTATTTAGTTGTCAATTTTATTCTAAGGTCTTTGAATTTTACCTTATAACATATGAATTAGGCAACTGCGTGAGCACTGCTAACGGCATCCCGAATCCAACAAAATATGGCCAATTGGCTTCAATAAAAGTCAGTCGTCTATGAAGCTCCCAGCCCATATTGAACCATTTATATTCAAAGGCATAGAGGGCATACAAAAGGCACATATGGATAAGAGCCAAAAGGTCCCCAATAGGAGGTAATGGCACTTTAGACACTAGCATCCCTTGGCCAAGAAACAAAGCTTGAACCAGCACGCTGAAAAGTGTGTCTGCTACCAGTTTACTCACACTCGAAAGGAGAAGAGGTCTTCCTTGTCTATATCTGTATGCACTATCTGCTATGTCCTATATCGATTAGAAAATGTACATTAACTATAAAAATAATATATATTAGGATGTCACAGGACCATACCTGAAACCACAAGCTGTTGACTATTCTGCTAAGTAGAAACAAGGGTAAAACCCATACTGTCCCAAAGGTAAGAGATAAAAATGGTTTTGTCCAGGCCCAGACTGTCGCACTCATACCTGACGAGTGACCAAACACAATGTTCAATAAATATTTTAGAAAAGGAAGCAGTCCACATTCAAAGATGAGGATGCTAGCCCAAAATACGCCACCATTTAATGCGCAACATTGTATCGTTCTCTTTAGAACCTTTGATTCTCTGTAATTTATAAATATCAACATGTTGTGAGTTAGCAGTTAATTGCTACTACTAATAATAATGGTACCGTTGTTCTTTTGGCCGTTTTCCTGAAGACCGAGCACCATCATCTCGTCTATGAGAATCCAGTCTTGATGGTGAATTCTGAAATGTTTTCTCGTTGATCTGTTTATCCATATAGAAAAGAACCACAGCACCCTTTAGACTGTCCATAAATCCACGGCACATAGCACGCAATATTCCCTAAAAATAAAATGTTAATTTCAACCGAGTTCCATCTCTAGGATCTATCGAAGTATGAATGAAACAAACAAAGCAATCAAGTGTCAAAACTCTAACATGAAACATAATAACTAAAGCGAAGGCGTTATTTATTTTCTAAAGATAATAGCTATAAACATAAACAAATTATTATCATACAACATAATAGTTTTATGTGATGTCATTCATAGACTAACCATTGTTATCTTTAACAGTGGTTATTAATCACAGATAAGGTTATGTCCGGAATTTAAACAAATAGTTGACATGTATTAAAAAGAATTTACACTCACCGTTATGTTGTCCATATTTTTAATGCTATATTGACATACTTATATCAACGCACATCCCATATATTTTCCTCACCCTGACAATGGAGACATTTACAACTCGTTTCGTGGGTTCAAAGTACGAACACTACGACGAATTATATGACGCTTCAACTATTCAGCAAAGACGCTCAAACCCATAATAAGGGAAGAATGATTAGAATTTCACATAAACGATTTATCATCTAAAAATATAAAAATTCCCGGGAACACTGTCTATTTTCGAGGACCCACGTCTGATCCCCGATATCTTATTCCTTTTCAATATAAGCTGTAGGTAGAGAGCACGCGTTATCTATTATTTTGTAATTTCGCAACTGTAGTTGATGATGCCAAATCTTGCGACAGAGATACATAGCTCTTATAACCCAAGAAAGCTTGACGATACAACGAGTCCCACGTATTTAACTATGCAAATCATTTTTAAGATTAAAATAACATTGATATTAGCTGCTGTCCAAAATGAAATTTTGCAATTAAAAATTCAACCTCATGATTTCATATGGCTAAGATTTCATACGAGAACCTCAGGCTTTTCTTACAATAAATAATGAATTATTGTTATTACACAGCATTCTTCACATTTACTTGATTTCCAAAAATAAATTTTAATGAGTCTAAAATATTCAGAGTTTCCTATGTACTCAACGGACGGATTAGTATTTCCGCGTGTATAAACGATAATATGCTTATACCATACGTGATACGTGATAACATAGCAGGACATCCAGTGGACACGTATTGTACACTATTGTGTTGTACAAAACACTGTGCTTTTAATAATTAATTAAAAAATAAATATTCAATATTTTGAATAATAGTATATGATTGTAAGAATAATCTCTGAGAAAATACTAATAATTAATCATTGTCCAGAGTTGTATTCGTATATGGACTGAACAAAAAGGTATCCAACGGAACCCAGGGTCATGAGTATGTGTATCTTTTTCTTACTCACGCAATTGCTCGTATGTTCGTCTCTCTCGCACGCGCGGCATCAGATCACTTCAAGAATCTTCAAAATGGCCACGGGAAAATTTCTCGCACATTATATATTGTCCATTACCAATAAATTATGTTTAATTAAGTCTCTCCTTAATTAAACTTCGTTCGAATAGTCGTGTTTAATTTGTAATATATAAATCTATATAAATAAATATCTATCACTTATCGACATGGGTGATTAAATTATCGATTGTGATTCTCGAATAGAAATATCTCGAAGTTCGAGCAAGGAATGTCGATATTCCTTAATGACAACTTCGCACATTGCACATGGCCTGTCATGGCGAGGGTGCTTGACAGATGTGTAGATCTATGATATGCTGATTTCATAGCGCGCAAAGTAAACAAATACAGAGTCGGTAGTATCGCTGTTACGCGAACGTGGTAATTATTGGATTTTACGTAGTGCAAACAAGCCTAGGAGTTACTTTTCGAGAACGTGTAGGCAAATGCGCCATGAAGCGTTATACTTTTATAAGTTTGGCGAGTTTGGACGTGGCGCGGGTGTGACAGTTTATCGTGGGTGCTTCAAAAAATCACGTACCGCGGTGCGCTAAAGTGCTTTTGTTACCTTGAAAGATGTTGTTCTGAAAAATGGTGCCTTTCACGATGCACCGGTATACATAACAGTGATCGACTTTCATATTTGCTTAGGAATCTAGTACGTTTCGCGTGCAATACTAAAATTTGCTATCCCTTTGACGTTTATTTTTCTTCCTGAACATTGAGTATTTATCATACGTGATTTGTCAACTCTGTAGTGGATATGATATGTATATCAGTTCTATATTATGATATACGGCTGTTTGGAGCACAGTGCTTTCTATGGATTTTTTAGAAGCATAATACTTGGCTCTTGCTAGTTCTGGAAACTTTTGAATATCAATATTTTCTTCAACGGAAAGTGTATGGATTGGAAACACGTGCAACATACACGGACAGACATGTCGCCAAGTCCTGTAACTCATGGTGCTACGACAAGGATAGCAGGAGATATGTATCATGATATGACTGGCCAAATAAATCCAATTGGTTGCATACCACCGCCATCGTATCATAATATTAATCTTCCACTTGGCCATCCATCCGTATTGGCTAGTGACCGTGGAGCACCACCATCGTATGAAGAAGCCATAGATCCAAATGGTATGAGAAATTTTTTACAAGACTGAAGATACGCTTTAAAAGGAAGATTGTTTATTGGAATATTGTTACAGCTCCACCACCATCTTATGACTCTCTATTTGGTCGAATGAGAGAAGCGCATAAAGCATCCAAAGGTGTATTTAATTTCTTAAAGAATATCATCGTCCTCTTGTTAGGGACAAGTGAGTGTTCAATAAATATATAGAAATAACATTATTCACCTACTCAGTCATTAATTCAAATTTTATTAATATTTTTAGTCGGTTGCAGTATCATTCTTGGAGTTTCTATAGTACTTCCAATATCTATGATGATCATTGGAGGACTCTACTTATACGATTGTCCTCAGGGCGAATATATTCCTGTCTACCTTCTAGTAGGTGGTGGATTCAGTGTGCTGAAACAGTTACTTCATCTCTCAGCCAGGGTACGTCAGCGTCAAGAAGAAAGGGATGAAGAAAGAATAAGGCAGTCACCAACACAGACTCTCATTAATTGTTTTATGCTTGGCTGGTTTATTATTGGTAAGTTAATAAGCTATGTGAATTTAATGTTGATTGTTAATTGGCTGGCACAACCAATATACGGATACGTTTTTTTATCCTCGTCAGGTTCCATGTGGGTCTATAAGGAATACCAACCAAACTATGACCCAAGTCAGGGCAAGTATTGCAACAAGACATTGTATTTGTTCGCCTTTTGGTTAATAACTTCGGCATACATTTTACTTGGAGTAGTGACTGCGGCACTGTGCATTATTTCTGTGGCTAGTATCGCGTTTCAAAGACCACCGCCTGATTTAATGTGAGACATTCCTGGTCAATGCACGCGCCAGAATGAACTGCGCCCAATCGTACAAGTGCTGTCGGTGCGAGAAGAACCACAGCTGTGTGGAACGATATAGTAAATATATCATAAGTGCTGCGAGTAAGAAAAGAAGAAACAATACGCTATAATCCGTGATAGGTTGTGACAAAAATCGTCCATCACACATCGTCCGTACGCCGTCGCATCCGCCTATATGCTACTACTATTCTAAGGATACTCAAAAAATAACGAATATATACTCGAATTATGAATCTCGAGTTTAAAAAACGGACCATGTCTGATGACAAACACCGAAAGGCAATGGCTATTCAAACCAAAAGTAACAAGTGGAGGTAAATGTTTAATTGGATTTGCTTGAATTTCATTTCTCGTGTTCAGGGTTGGTAGAATCGGGAATCTTTCTTTATAAAACCTGAATATTATATTTGACTATCTTTAGCATGACACAAACAACCCTGAAATAACTGGATAACTCATATTTTACTTTACTATATATTCGAAATCAGATAAACCGGTTTTTATAACGCAGTTGAGGCCAAACCTCAATAAATTCTTTTAGTAATTTGTATATATTATTCGTAAGTACAATCGTAAGTACAAAATAAGAATTCCTTTTTCTACTCTTTACAACGTCTCTGAGGATATCTGGTTTTCGATCGTATGTATAAGTGATCGACACTCGTTAAAAAATATCGGGAATCATGAGTCATAGGTAAGCGACACTGGTCGTATAAAACCAAAATAAATAGATAAAAGATACCGTTTCGTATCTCTAAACTTCATAATTAACAAAAGGTATATAATTATATATATATATATATATATATATATATATATATATATATATATATATACACATATATACAGCGTTGTTCACAACTATTGTGCCAGCTGAAGTTTGCGCTTCATTTGATTTCTATCAATTTTTATGCTGGCACAATTATCTTCAGCTAGCATAATGGGCTGTGCGTAACATTATCTTAAGTTCATATTTTGCCAACTCTGATCATGCTCGTGATGATAGTTTTCAATAGAAATAGGCTAAGAGCGGTGCTGGTATTCGAAGGAGGCTGTGGATATATTTCGTATTGCGTGCGAAGGTTGTACTATTGTGCCAAGAGAGGTTTTGTGCAAAGGGAGAGAGGACATAACTACCAGAGAAGCATGCAAAATAGATGAATCAAGAGTTAAAAAGAAATCCCCCATAAGAAGGAAGAACATTTAAAATAACATATTTTGCTATTGCAAAATTCGCAACACGCCGATACAATAAATAAACCATGGACATGCACGTATGTCAGAGAACCATAAACGCCATTGACATGCACGTATGCATGACTGGAAAAAGAGAAGTATGGACTGGCTGTTTATGAACGGCATTGAGACTTTTATGTTTTTGACTCACCTAAAGTAAGCTATTTATGTGCATGCGTGTTTTGACAGTGAGGAGGAAGGAAGCGTGTGTGCGTTATGTAGCGAAAGAGAAAAAGAAAAAATAGATCACGGCGTCGTGACAAGCTTCTTAATCATTTCTCTATCCATGAACGTTGCCAGAACATAACTATTGCGCGTAATTATTAACGCGCCGTGCGCCGTGTGCGTTAACATTTCTCTATTACTATACAGGTATGAGAGAGCACGTATTGATGCGAGGGAGTAACGAGTGCGAGAGTCCGTGAAAGAATGTTCTGTCATGCAATCTCCCAATAGGTATGGCTGCCTTGATCGAATCTAATTGATGACGATCGTGTACGATTTCAGGCTTTACGTAAGAGAAAGAGATAATAGTATTAATTTAAATGCGCAAAATGTAAATATAATAATACGAGGCAGCGATGTTTACGTCCAATATTGTAGACGAATGCTCGCGTCAGTTTCTGAGTATTGCAGGCGACTGTAAAAAAAAATCGAGTGTCGACAACAAACTTTTCAAGAACGCCAAAGTTTCCCTTTTTGTCCGCGTCCATTGTACAAATTGACGAATTAACGGCGTATGTAATAATTCACGTGTATTTGATATAATGTGTGAATGCAAGTATGGTAATGGCAGCTTTCGATATACAAGTATGACACGAGCGAAGAATATTTACTTCTAAAAATGGCAAATATTCGACACTTAAATGGAAGAAGAGTACACGTATATCAAGCAAATTAATTTATAATGGAAGCTTTTTAATGCATGGATTACTTATCTAAGAACAATATTTATTGTTGCTATTGTGAGGATCTGCAATAATGACAAATATATAGTCTGATAAGACTGCAGATGCCATCTACAAGAGAATCTCAAAAGTTGACTTTGAACTTGAAGGAAACGTTAATCCGGATACAATTTTTGTTCTTCTAACAAGTCAAGAAAACCAAATGATTTATGTAAGCATAACAAGGAATTGGCGGATAATAATTAAGTCGAACATGGAACGTCGTAGAGAAATTGCTTAGAAAGGTAAAAGGATCATTTGTATACAGCATTTAAAGTTAATACTACGTATAAATTGATGATATTATTACAATGTAATCGCGTGAAAGAAAGAATCGAAGTACATGTTTAAAAGATTATCTACGAGACGTGCAACGTAAAAACATGTACGTATCCGTTATTATAATTTCTTAAATAAATGGCTTAAAGGCTCATATTCTATCTCGATTAGTATTTCTCTACCTGCCATTATAAAATAAAATTGTCACAACTATAGGTATAAATGAAGTGGACATTCTTCATGCTGTTATTCAAATCTGACTTTAAGAGACGATTACATTACTTATACAGGACGTGGAATTTTATCCTCTTCGTCGTCTTCCTGATACTCGTGTTCACCGTATTCACCAGTGTACTCGTATTCTGAACATTGCAAATATTCAAGCTTTTCTAGATCCTCCTGTACAGCATCGAAGTCATCGTTGCACTTGTCCGGAATGGAATCAACGGATGCCTGAATTATTAAATATTCATTAATCTTTTCATATAACAGTTTTAATAACATGCATACCTCTTCCTGGAGCGGAATTGGTTCCGGTGGCAATAAATCAGGATTGTATCGAGTTACGTGACGAACTCGCCAAAGAGACAGGACACCCTTTTTCAAAGGTGGTGGAGACTCGAAGTTATTTTGTATCTTTTCTGCTTTATTTATATCCTCTTTAGTATTCATATCCTCGGCATCCTTGGGCATCCTCTAGTAAATTAAATAGCGTTGTTTATTAAATCTTAATTAAAAAACAATTCTTGAATTACGCACATCGAATTCATTCACTTCTTGATTTTCTACATTATCGTATTCAGGATCACGAATATGAGTATAATATCCGTGCAGCATGCAGTCATTCTCAAAGGTAAAGCATCCACGTCCGTAAGGCTGTCGTCATTTCCGGATTAAATGAGCACGTAAAAGACATTAATTAATAATCATAATTAGCTCAAGTTATATGAGGCAACTGTACATGCTACCAGTTGTCACCAGTTGACAACGTTAGCTAGTGTAAGAGATACAAAAATGTTAGCAAAGACAGCATTGATAGCCAAATGAACAATTGGTACCAAATTAAGCTGCCAAAATCCATGGTAACGATGACGTGGATAAACAAGCTGGCCAAAACCTTGCATACGGTCCTTGATCCATGTACCCATGAACTTGGTACCTGTTGACGCATAGAAATAGGTACCTAGTCCATGTCGAAGATTCTTTTTCCAGGATCCTTCATACAGATCTTGATTAGAATAGTAATATGATCCAAATCCATACTTGGTATCCCTTTTCCATTCTCCTAAAAGATTTTTCTAAAACTAGACACAATATTTTTAAACTCTTGAGAATGTACCTTCGTAGCGAGTTCCATCCGGATACCAAAAGGTACCTTGACCATGTTTAACATTTAGTCTCCATTCACCATCGTATCGCGCACCATTTCTAAACACGTAGAGTCCTTTGCCATGCCGAAGACCTTTACAATAGTTTCCTATGTAAAAATCACCATTCGGTAATATAGCTTTTCCCTGGCCATGTCTTTCACCTTGTTCATTACGTTCACCTTCGTACTCCTAATTAAAAGCTGTTTTTCTAATATGCATTTGGAACTAATAGTAACTAGTTGAGTTTTTTCACTACAGGTATACATAATGATCATTTAGCAAATGTCAAATGGCTGAAATTTATGAACGATGGAGAAAGATTTATAGGATATTGGGATCTATGAATAAATAAATGCTTACCCCTAGAGGATTACCCTTATCTTCACCATCCTCACCGGGATCACCAATCATTACGGTATTGTATGTTATAGAAATTTTTTAATATTCAGTAACTGATGTTAATTTTTTTTTTCTGTCTAACAAGGAACAAAAATCGATCATGCGATTTCAAATCATGTCATTTTTGATTCACTTTTTTTTCAGGCATGTGAACTTATTCTTATGATATGGATATCTGTATCAGCGGAATCTTTCGGTACAAAGATTATAATATAAATAGGCACGATATATAGTATATCCCGGTATTTTATCCATTCTCATCCTGACGCTTGACTCGCTTATATCCAGTAGTTGAAAATATATGCTCGTCCTGAAGAATTCAATATCAGTGAGAAAAAAGAAGTGTCAAGACCGTTATAAAAGTATTAATGCTTCCTTTATTCGCACGTGTGACATACGTAAAAAGAATCGAATTTCAAAGTACAAATCTTTCTCAGAATTTGATAGTTTACAGAGTAGATGTTCAATGAGATAAATAAATGTAGGGAAAGTTTTGATCTATCATATAACGTGTTATTAGATTTAAGGAGGTAAATAAAGAGAGAAATAAGAAATTTGAGAAAAAAAATACAATTAACAAGTATAACACAGGTATCACTTTATTTTTGTAGCATCACACAATGTAATGCTTCACCTTTATAAGTTTTTGTTGGTAGCGCTTGATGCGTGATCGATCACTCATCTCCATGTTTATCTCCTGCAGCCTCTTAGACGTCCTTAGATTAAATTCACAAGATCCTTATGATACCTCCGGTAATCTCATCCCGCGGATCTTTGTCTGCTCTTCATTTAATTAAGAAAACCCAAAGACATGTTTCTCGAGAATTGGAGGATCCAGATAATTTTACAGAGGACATCACATTCGATGCCTAATATTTCATACAGTCAGCTCTATGTCCTAAGAATATATAAATAACGATTGAGGAGTTAAAAAATTCCTAAGAGAATTCACACCGATATAGCTAAGTATTCTGAGGTATAGGGAATTCTTCAAAATTTTTACAGGATAATCGAAAACTATCGATCTACACCTTTGTCAAGTTCTTCTTCTAGTTTCATCCTGGTCCGTTAATCGATGGAGGATATTCCAGGTGTTAGGATGTATCCAGAGGGAAACTGTATTTTGACTAATTTCATCGTCCTGTCAGAAGTCCAATCAATGCCTGCTTCTCCTTTTCCTTCTTACGTACGGTTTCCAGGTTCCTTTGTTTCCATGAGCTCTTGCGCAATTTTATGGGTCGCGACCCTACGTACCTTCCTGCAACACAATGAAAAAAAAGTTCATGAATCATAGGATGAAGAAATTTATCGAATTTATGTAAAATACATAATGGTAATCCTGTAAGCAGTAAAACGACAAAGAGTGAAAGAAGTGGAGTTGTTGATTTGTTTACGTCAGTTACTTTCCCGGGCAACAGGTGATCATAATCCGTAGACTTCTCACGATGGCATAGCACGCAACACACAAATCCCGTATTCACTTGAATCTTTAAATTTCATTGAAATCTTTAGTTAAGCAGAAACGTAAAAGTCATGAAATCTTGAATTTCACGTTAGTCCATTTACACCCGAATAAATCATTCCTTTAGCGTCTCATTGTTCGTAAGAATCTTTTTAACGAGAAATATTTCTGATATACTTTCTCACTGAAGCCCCATATTTTTTTCTTAATATTGCAACGATATCTCACAGAAGTTCAAAGTTAATCCCAGACGCTTTTTCATTTCGCGCTGAGGTGAAGCAGTGAAGGGTAATATCTGAATAAATTGCGAAAACTAAAAGACTGTACCCTTTTTTCCCTTCTTGTAATAATATTCCTTCATACTCTAAATTTATTATTTAATTACTACAGTACTCGAGCATAAAGTCTGTTTTGATATGATTTACAACTGATAATGAACCTGATCATTTTTTAATGGCATTTAATAAATGGCATTAGTCTGTGGAAAGGAACTTATGATTCTAGATGCTTTAATAAATAAATTCAGGTTAACATAGCAAAGCGAGTAGACAGGGTCATGGATCAGCCGTGAAATTTTGATCAGAGCCACGCAAGGTTACACCAGGAGACAGTTGTAAATCGCTTCTTGACTCTGGTACCTCAAACACTGCTCATATATCCGTTCGTTGGTTCATCATTTCCGTGACCCAGTCGCGCTTTTGACTTATAAATCAGACAATCAAAGAGACTAAAACATAGCGAGTGTTACTCCGTCGTGTGATACTTTACGCAAGAAGGATATCCCACAGAATTAAGCTATTGTCGTCCGCCTGAAAATTGAATGAAGTTTGATAAAAATTAATCTTAAGATTCTCTGTGACAAGCTGAACGTACAATAGATGGGAAATTCAATAACGATAGGTACACCGGTGTATGGATATAAAAGCATGTTTTCGTCTGCACTTGACAAGCACGCTAACTATTTTTGGATGCAGAGAGAAGGAAATAAAGCTTAAGAATTTATATAATAGCTGAAAATTCATTCATCAAATAAGATGGACTTCCGCGCCTTTCCTCCTGCAACACATAAGAACTACTTATTGCGTCTGTCTAACTTGTCTCTACCTTTACCGTACGTACGTTTTGGCTTTTATTTGATAAAACGTTCATGATTGCGGATCGGATTGAAATAGAATGAGTAACTAAAGAAATTAGTATGCCATGTATACAACCAAAGAATACTAGCGATTTATGAAACCAAAGATGAAATTGGGTTCAGCCATTGAAGGCATCCGCCTACTAGGACAAAGAGCAATGTGGCTTTTGAAAATGTGTGCCGCAATTCATTTTTAATCTGCAGGCAGTATCTTCAGAGCATTACGAGGGTATTAATCTATCAAGTATCAAGAACTATTTGGTATTTCATTTCGACGCCCACGGGGATGTTTCTGCAGTATGCACGTCTGATTCACGTGGCGGAAAAAGTTGAGGATTGGTTCTTTATATCCGAAAATCCGATTGGCCTGTTTCCGAAGGGTGGGGTCTTACGGATCGGGTAGGGGTTGTTGAATGAGTACCGAGACGCCCGTCGACGCGACGCATTCCGTCGTAGTCACCCTGACGATCAACGAAACGAACACCGAGAACTACGGGGAAAACCAGTCATCCTCTTCAATAACGTCGTTTTTCTTTATCAAGGATACAAAGTTTCGATTTCATTTCTTCTTTTCACTGCATCCCCTTTTCCTTTAATAAATCCTGTGCAACCACGAAGAAGGAGGATCCATCCCCTGACTTCAAAACAATCACGGAAGCGCCAAATCACTGGGGATAAAAAAAGTGAACAGATAAAGAAATTAGAAGAAATAAATTACCAAGACAAGAAAATTCATACTTGGATAATCTGCAGCGGGTAAGTGCAGCAGTCTGTCTTTTTTTTATTCGCGCGCTGCTTATTTCCAAATCCGATCGACTATCAGGGGTTAGAAATCACCAAATGAATCTCATGAATACGCACACGGACGAAGAAACCAAAAAAATTTTAACACATTAGAATCATTGCTCCTGATGTCCACTGCTAATAGATCCGAAGTCATCCGCTAAACGTACAGTGCAACCCTTGGGGTGGTAGACAGCAGAACTTGTTGATAACATATAACAGCCACAAGAAAATAAAATAATTCGTTAGCTTGATTAGTTACATTAACTTTTGATAATACATTCGAGCTAATAATTTCAAAATTACTGATACGCTCTTCCGGTACCTTGACTTCCATCTACCTGTTGCTTATGAGCATACACAAGTATTTGCACCAATCGCGCAGTGAACTAAACACATCCATTCTTTGAAATTTAAATGAAATTTGATCCTTGATTTGTAGAATTTTCAAACTCAGAGCAAAGTTCAAATTTGTCACACGCAGTACAGGCACTTTACAGAGGAGATTTATCTATGGAGAGTTAATATTTTTTGTACATCTAAGCTATCGTCAGACATTGAAACAATTATTTGATATATGCGAACCGGGCGAGAGGGAAAGAGAGAAAATTATAAAGTTAGAGAATGGGTGAGATACGACGAGGGCAGAGAACACGAGGGACAGTGTTGTAATGAAAAACAACTGTTTTAATTTTGCATGACCTATTAAATCTCACGTCAGCTCACCATCAGACTTTCGATTGACGTCCATGCAATTATCTGAGAGCTTATCGATATTCCGTTCATTCAAAGCAATTCTCGAATGAGAGGGGACCAGCAATGCGAGGGGTAGCATTCACCATGACTTTTAGACTACCTCTTGTAAATCGCGAGATTTCACATACTATATATGTATTCAGCGTATTGCGTAGAAACGATTGATCCTCAAGCAGAGACAGGATAGACCAATGGATTGGAAAGTAAAAATATACGTAAAACCCCATACAAACAGAATAATACAACAACGTCTTTTCAGAAAAATGAATTCACTGAACGTAAAAGAATTGAAAACCTGGCAAGTCTCTCATTCATTCTTAGTTATGGCCCCTAACATGTTTGTTACACGATGACAATAACCACATTGATATGGATTCTTGTGATTCCGTTCAAATGTTTTAGCTATATATAATGCTCTTGAACAGAGAAATATATCGGTGGTAAAATTCAATAATGTTTTACTTATGCTTGCTCATGGGCGTTGTCGCTCTTGTATGCAAGCAAAATATACACTCTTTCGTAATGCATAGATTGATGCACTTTAATAAGACACACTGATCATTCTCTCTGCAAAAGTAGATGGTTACTGAAATGGACTCGTTGCTGCTCCTTCTAATGCATCGTAGAGGTACCGTACTCCAGGTGCACTTGAATTTTCAGAGCCATGGGAATACCACTGATAAGGCATCTCTGGTTAATTGAACCTGGTTCTGATTAGAGTCTGTAACGTGATAAGTTCTATGATAATTCAAAGATCACAGGATTCGAGAGTAATTTAATTAGTCCTAGAAATGTTTGGTTAGCACAATCAGCCGATCCGCCAACAGCCTCTCAAGTTTTAATCGAAAATTAGAAATCTTTGTTCTATTGAAGAACGAGGGATGGATGCTTATGTCACTTCAATTGTCTGTTCAGGATCATTCACAACGGGTTTCCCATCGATAGACTTCTAGTTCTCCATAACAAGGTTCAGTATTCTCTGGTACACTTGGATGGAACCGGCATGACTTTCTTGAAGATTGGCATTCTGTATATTTACCAAAGAAATACGAGAGGAACATGATGATCGAAATTTTTTAAGAGTTCAGCGTCCAAATGAGCTGATTCCCACTCTACCAGATACAGGGACGTGTGTTGGACACGTGTTTTTATTCGTGGCAACGTACGCAGGCAGAAACTTAAGAATGTCGGCACGCAGGCACGCACGTATTATCAGTTTTTCTACGGTGGTGTCTCTCTCCTCTTCGCCTCAGACGTCCCGATCACAAGCACATAGCAGTTCTAAATATATCAGGAATGTTATACAAATAGACTCACGCATTGCAGAAATTCACTGAAACGTAAACAGCATGCCCTCTTACCTATAAATCAGCGTTGAATGATTTAAAAGCGTTAACGAATTGTCAAGTGGTCATCCCTTCTAGTGTGCTCAAATATGACCATTACGTATGCCACCACCACCCACAGCCATTTTATATGTTCAGGAGCCACATGTGCATATCCACACTCGACGACGACTTTACATATACGTATCCACATTAGCCGGTGACACCTATGCGGATACGAGTGGAAAATCGTAAATAAACCATTTTTCTGGTATAGAAATGTACCATGAATGACGAATGGATTCGACGGAGACGGCGTGAAATATTAATTAAGATTACCCTCGCAACTGTAAATTAATGTTATTTGATCCAGAAAATTTGGTATTCTCGCACAGAACAAATATCCGAGTGGTTAATTAATATTGTAAGGGAAAACGTAAACAAGAAGTTGTAAGGACCTATATGGAGAATTTGTTTTTCCAAGTATGTTGTCCTGTGCGAATGTGCGTTGACCCGTTTATGCTAATATCGCCTAATACTACATAATTATGTTTCGCCATGTTGTATTACTATACTTATATATTTACAGTATACATTTGGCTGGAAGGACGCCGAAAGTATTGAAGGAATACTCGAATTTTCAAAGAACAAGCAACTGAAGCGGATACTGCAAAGGAAGAAATAATAATGACATGGACAACAAGTTGCTCATCGCGGATGACAAGAACAAGGAGAACGAGTACGACGACATCCAGATTGGCCATGACTTTAGTCTTGATCATAGGGTTGAATGCAATGTCGGTGCTGCCAAGTCAGGCAGCGTCCACTTTGGACCGTAAATTAACTTTGGAGAAAAATGATCTTTCTGAACCTCTATCGTCATCGACTTGGAAAGCACGCTACTGGGAATGGCTTGTTTCATTGGCCAAAGACTGCGACAAGGAGTAAGTACAGCACCCTAACGAAGATTCAAAAGATTATAAGTATTAGAATTGTCTGGACACGAATATCTCTATGGACACGAATACATCTATAGACACGAAATATGTTTTTACCCATTCTGAAGGATTCATCATGTTAAAGAGCCCGTCTCTGTATACTCAATCCATCAATCAGTATGCCACCCTTCTACTTGTCCAAATAGCACTGGCTGGCACTATGTGTCACAGACTAGTCTCATCGTCTTGAATTTCCTTAAGTCTTATTAACCAGCTTTTTCCTATCCTTTCAGAATGCAGGTAGATGGGAAATTGGATTCTGAGATAGATCCATGGAGAGAAGGTAGTAGAAGCTTTGATGTGGAATTAAAATCAACTTCCCCATCTGTCAGACAAGTTGCCAGTAGGCTCTCGAAGAAGGATGTATTCGTATCACGTGGCTGGGGTGCTGGTGGTATGCCGTTCTCTGTACTTTACATGAGTCCACATAACACACGGAATAATGGACCAAGTAATGGCGTACCAGGTAAATAATGCAAAAGATTTCCTTTTCACAGTCAAATAAGTAACTGATATTGAGAACGAGATGCTCTTTTCAGGAAGTGGTTTAGTGGAGCCTGCACGAGCTCTTCCTTTGGAACATTCCCTGACACCGGCAACGGTATCCAGGCATCCACCGAATTATCGGCTGGCGCCTAGAAATGGAGCTTCCGGTCAACCAAGACGGCAATATTCAATAATACCTCAACTCTTTGTGTCCTATGGTTGGGGACCGCTTGGGAGATAGAGATATTATTCAGCTAGTACATATACGCTTATATGCTTGCTTGCCACCTATATACCTCATTGTGTTTGAAATTGTATTGCGGTTGTCATTGTTGGAGCAATTACTAGTCAAGGATAAGGTTTAAGTTATAACAAGATTCTAGATCCTATTGCTGTGTATAAATATCAAACGGTATTTTTCGTCAATAAGACGCAACCTTAGAGATTCTCAATTGAAAAATGCGAAATGAATCTATTAAAGGAGCCCTTTTTCTGCACGTCTAATTATTATGGCTTGGCTACTTTAGAATCATTATAAACGATGCAATATAATATCTTTATTTTTTAAAAGATATTGCATTCACCATATAAACATTCACAATAGGTGTACGCTTAGTAGACGGAATAATATTTGCCAAAGGCGATTTGAGACAGGATGCTTTCCATGAAATAGAGATTGATTAATTCCGTGGTCTCAATCCCTAATGCCCTAATTCAAATATTAAAACGCGAATGTTTCATAAATAGTATTATGAAGAATATAAAATGGGGCTTACCATTCATCTCCTTCATAGCTTTAATGAAGTCCTGTGGATCCTTGAAAGAGACAAATCCAAAACCCTTGGTTTTATTAGTTCGCTTGTCCCTGACGACTTTTGCTCTTTGGAAGCTGGTATATTTGCCAAAGACCCTTACTAGCATTTCATCGGTGACGTCGTTACCTAGATCGCCGCAAAATATCCTAAAGTCATCTGTGAATTGTATGAAACAAAGAAAAAAATTAAATATTAGAATAGTGATGCATTAAAAATATTTTTTAACAAAAAATATATACCGTCATCCCATTCAAGTAGGGATGGGTCTTCCCAAGTTTGTCCACCAGCCATTCGGATGATCTTCTTGTTTTTCTTTCCTTTTCCTTTTGGATGACTTTCCTCAGCACTAGCATTAGCCATGATGGAACTAGCTTTACCTTGGCTGATTGCTAATTCGGCAGCAGTGCTAACACCTTTTACCTTTGGTTTCCTTTTCCCATCATCCTCTGGTATTTTTGTATTGATAATCTGTTCAATGATTTCTGGATGTATAATTGGTGCTGATGGTGACTCGTATGTTTTTGGAGTGGCACTCAAACAAGGATCCACCATATTTGATAAGTAGGGATTACTTATTTGTGCAGGTGATGAGTAAGTTGTAATGGGTACAGAACCTACATAACAATATGCCTAATTAATTTATACAATTTAATTAATGATTAAGACTTTTCTTTGTAAAAAAATTACCTTGTCTAGCAACTTGGGGTGGTATAAGTATTGGTGGAGGAGGTGGTGGTGGTGGCGGTGGTGGTGGAGGAAAACTAATCATTGGTGGAAATGCCAGCGAAGCTGCAGCTGCAGCAACTGCTGGTGTTGGTAATTCATGTTGCTCCAATTGCCGAGCAACCTGACTATATGTATTAGCTCCGATAACTGTCCTAACCATTGGAGCAACCATCTGACCCCCAATTTCCGCTTCAAACCTGAATTAATAATAAAGAAATAGTAATAACTCAAAAAAAAGCCCCCATTAAAACACCATGAATTTATTAATAGCAAGAAAAGTTCAATACAGAATAAATACAGTCCAAATCTTGATATGATTGAAAATAGTAATTACTTTGTACTACTAACAAAAATTAGTAGAAAAAGAATCACAAGAATGATTAAAACAATCAATGCAACGAAAAGTTTGAGAAAGTTCCAGAACCTAGAGGGTAAAACCATGTTACTTGCAATTACCTGTTCATTTCGTCTTCCATTTGTCGCAATTTTTCCTCCATTTCGACAATTTCTATATGTAATTCTTCTAAATAAATGTAACACTGCTCAAAACGTTACAAATACGTTGCTTCACTGAAAATTAACAGTTATAAGTAAACTGTAACTCAACAAGCCCACTGAAGCCCACTAAACTTATACCACAGCGGCGACTCAAGCACTATTGCAACCATGGACGATGTAGTTGTATACACAGGCGTCCTCACAGTACTGTTAGCCAGAGATGAGTAGGGTGATGCACAACGCTATGGTTTTAGGCGATACCAAAATCATGGCGCTAAATCGTAGTGGCCAGTCCGGACGTAGGATTTTGTGATCGTCGCCCCCGTCGACAAAGCGAATCCCGTCGTAGCCGAGCTGAACGTGAACACGAAAGTGTAGCTTGGCGGGCAGAGGTTTTCCGCAACTTACCGCTGGTTCCTAGAGCAACCCTTAGAAAGAGGCCGCTTATCAGATATTGCCTAAATCTTTTTTTTCGTAATCTTAAATTCAAATGTACAGTGTAAGCTCGATAAGATTTACTAAGACAAAAGTCAGCACCTTATGCCTGCCTGTGTTAAGTAGTGCAGCGATGCGGTGCTAGCTTCCATCATTATTTAACAATAGTTCCAAACGGAACTATGGTCCCAACATTGAGTACTTGAGAGAACTATTTCGGAACTGTTTGAAGCACAATCTGAAAACAACACTGAAAGCCAGCTCCTTATGCATACCTGCACTGAAGCGTATCGTGCGACTAGTATCCTTAATAGGTATTTTACCGATGTTACGTAGCAGAACTATTGTTAAAACCTACCAGGAACTATAGAACTTCTCGAGAACCATTGAAAAAGCCTATTGTTCACAATTATTTTAGATGTATTTATACGCTGGTACATGGGTAAGTGTTGTGCCGTGATTTTTCGATTCACGGTCACAAGGCGACTCCAGCTACCGATACATATAACGTTTTCGCTTTCTGGTTCCCTTCGAATTACCACCCTGCTCAGAAGCTACGCTCCCGGGTTGATTCGTATAGATATGCCATCGCTCTCGTAAGATTTCGTTATTGTTTAGTTGACGTCCAGGTGCTCGAATCTGCCGTGGGGAGATAGTCTTGACGTAGGGAGTTGCCCGGCAGAGGAGAGTACCCGACGGAGACGTCTCCACTGACCGGCAGAAGCTCGGGTGAGATGCTGGCGCTCCGCTGGAGATGGGCAAAGGGTTGTCGAGCAATCGTAATCTTAAATTCAAATGTACAGTGTAAGCTCGATAAGATTTACTAAGACAAAAGTCAGCACCTTATGCCTGCCTGTGTTAAGTAGTGCAGCGATGCGGTGCTAGCTTCCATCATTATTTAACAATAGTTCCAAACGGAACTATGGTCCCAACATTGAGTACTTGAGAGAACTATTTCGGAACTGTTTGAAGCACAATCTGAAAACAACACTGAAAGCCAGCTCCTTATGCATACCTGCACTGAAGCGTATCGTGCGACTAGTATCCTTAATAGGTATTTTACCGATGTTACGTAGCAGAACTATTGTTAAAACCTACCAGGAACTATAGAACTTCTCGAGAACCATTGAAAAAGCCTATTGTTCACAATTATTTTAGATGTATTTATACGCTGGTACATGGGTAAGTGTTGTGCCGTGATTTTTCGATTCACGGTCACAAGGCGACTCCAGCTACCGATACATATAACGTTTTCGCTTTCTGGTTCCCTTCGAATTACCACCCTGCTCAGAAGCTACGCTCCCGGGTTGATTCGTATAGATATGCCATCGCTCTCGTAAGATTTCGTTATTGTTTAGTTGACGTCCAGGTGCTCGAATCTGCCGTGGGGAGATAGTCTTGACGTAGGGAGTTGCCCGGCAGAGGAGAGTACCCGACGGAGACGTCTCCACTGACCGGCAGAAGCTCGGGTGAGATGCTGGCGCTCCGCTGGAGATGGGCAAAGGGTTGTCGAGCAAGCGGAGATAAGGTTTCGTTACGATAAGGGGAGGAACTTCCTGCCCGAGTTAAAGATGTGGTACTCAGCTGTCGTCCAATGTCCCGGGGAAGCCGCCGTGGAGGATCTCCAAATGTTACGTACCGATTTGCTAAGGAACGCTCTCCACTTGATTCAAAGGGACGACATGAGGGAAAGGAAGAGTTATAAGGATCTCGACAAATCGGATAATCAGAATGATTAGTTCTCGAATTTGGCCTTCATCAAAGCAGTCTATCTCGTTGATAATTTTTCTAGCTGTGTTTCGAAACGGTACAGAAAGTTATCGCTCGTGTACTTCTCGCGTTGCTCTCGCGATATCCAGGAAATTCTATGGATTTTCTGTGAGTGTTCTGGAAGTGCAGTGCTGTGTCCTAGTGTAGTGCCCACCTGAGCGTCTTCTGGATGCACTTCTTGGCCTTCACGGATTAGCTGCACCAGCTCCGGTAAATATATCTCCACGTTCCATCGTTTACACCGTCACAGTTTTCTTCAGCCCATTTCATGCCATCTCTTTCTATACTCTTTATCATTCACCTTTATTTACGAAAAAAAGTGTGACGTAGTGAATTGATACGTTTGAATAAGTGCGTCGCGAAGACATTATCTAAAGTTCGCGGAAATTCGCGTATTGGTCTATTCGTAACAAGTGAAGAATTAGTCCGCAACCGAAAATACAGAAAGTGCAAAATAGTGGCCATGGCTGGAATCGTTAAGTCGTCACCAAAGTGGACCTCGAGTGTCGAAAGATGTACTGGACCAATGAACAATACAAATGGACAAGAGAAAGGCAGACGAAGATCCTGGGGTAAGTGATCTTTTTCTTTTTTCCTTTTTTTTTTCTACTCACCATAAACATTTATGTAAGCGTCCATGCTGAAAGCCATAAATTTGCTATACTCAGCAGATACCGGAAGTATAGCATAGATCTGACTTATATTTGTGTGAGATTTTGGTGATGCATTCGGAAAGTGTTCCCATGTTGCGCGGTAGTGTCTGACTATATTTCCAGCTATACTTGTTTCCGAGTGATCAACCGCAGATTCTGCTGCGTACTAAATAATTTTTCCTCGTCCACGCGAGTCTTCTGGATTTTGCCAATTCCGCGTTTATAGCGCACCGACGAGAAAAGAACACTGTGGACTCTCTATTAAAATACATATTTATACATATTAAATTAATACATATAATACATATTATATTAACATTACAAAAATGGAGGTGCTACCATAGAGTTAATACAGATAGAGCAGACAAGCCATAGGCTGCTCTGCAAGTGGAAGTGTCCGTTCGCTCATAATGAGAAAGAAAAAGATAGCTGAACCCCTTTAGCTATCCGTCTTTGCACCCTGATTTGCATCTATCTCTCTCTTCGCCGCTGCCGCGTTGAGAGCTGGCTTGTCTGCTCTATCTGTATTAACTCTATGGGTGGTACACGGATGTCAGCTCCAGCATCGCACTTTTTTAAAATCTCTTAAAAATGATTCAACAATAGGCTTTTTCAATAGTTCTCGAGAAGTTCTACAGTTCCTGATAGGTTTCAACAATCGTTCTGCTACGCAACATCGGTAAAATATGTATTAACTATGCTTGTGGCATCATACGCTTCAGTGCAGGCAGACATGAGTTGCTTGCTTTTGTCATATTAAACTTACCGAGCTTACACTGTGCGATTGAATTTAGGATTGCAAAGAAAAAAAGGATTTAGGCTATATCCGATGAGTTGTCTCGTTCTAAGTGTTGCTTTGGGAACCAGCGATACGTAGCGGAGGACTCTGCCCGCCAGGCTACCCGTTCGTGATCACGTTCAGCTCGGCTACGACGGGATATGCATTATCGAAGGAGGCGATGATCACAAAATTCTAGTCCCGGACTCGCCGCTACGATTTAGCGCCATGTTTTTGGTAACGCCTAAAATCGTAGTGTTGTGCATCTCCTTACTCATGTCTGCTGTTAACCAGAAATAGTGTGAAAATCTAAAGTCGCCGTGAGTGTAATTTCTTACATACAAACAGTTTGTGGTGTAAGAAAGAAGACATTTGTTGTATTTTTCTACCAATTGTATTATACATATGTAACGAATTGAGAATACACATTAAAATTATTGTACTAAATAGTATAACAGTTGAAAAATGACATGTATTAGAGAACTTATTTATTCGTTAGTGTTCTTACTATCGTGTCTCATATTCGTGTCAGCTGATGTAAGCACGGCAAATCGTATGACCATTGATAACGATGAAGATTCTTCAAGCGATCTTTACGTTATTGAAGGTAAAGTGTTTCCTTGGGAAAATGCAGCGTCAAGCGGATGGCAACTTATGACGCACGTAATGGTTAATGGTGGAGAGCATTATGGTTTTCTTAGGTAGGTTTTATATAAGAAAACATTGTGCATGCATGAAATAATAGAATAACTGCTTATTTGTTATCGGATTGTCTAATGATGTTATTTGTTTGTAGGGAAGATGGCACATTTGTCATTTCAAATGTGCCTTCTGGCTCTTATGTTGTTGAAGTTGTGAATCCTAATTATGCTTATGAACCAGTGAGGGTAGAAATCAATTCCAAGGGAAAATTCAGAGCCAGAAAAGTAAACTTGGTTCAGACGTCACAAGTGATTCAAGTACCATATCCTCTTAAGATGAGACCCTTTACTCCATTCCGATATTTCCAACTTAGAGAACAATGGAGGGTAACAGATTTTCTTTTTAATCCAATGGTATGTAATTCTAATATCCCTTTTATTTTACTTTTATACATAGATGTCTAATAACCAATGTCTTGTCTGATATTTGTTTAGGTTCTTATGATGATTCTCCCCTTGATATTGATTATGATTTTACCAAAAATTATGAATGACCCAGAAACCAGAAAGGTTTGCAATTTGTTTCATATTTATGCAAATTCATAGATATTTATAATAAACATTAATATCATGTATATATGTCTTACAGGATATGGAACAGTTAAATAATCTGACAATTTACAACATGCCAGAAATGTCAGAAGTAATCACATCATTCTTTGCTGGGGGTGAAAAGCCAAAGACAAAAGCAGTAAAAGCAGCGAAAAAAAGACAATAATTGTCAAAGCATTAGACTATTGTTTTGTTGCTTACTGAAAAAATCCTATTTCTATTACATTTTTTTTTTATTGACGTAACGGTCAAAAACTGAATGAATAACGTTCCGTATCTCAATGTGGTATCATTACGAGCCTTATGTTTTTAGTTTGATATTTCTAATACAGTTTACATGAATGTAGAATGCACTTTGTCTAGTCTGCATTTATAAGTATAATTTATTAATACTTTTAGATCATACAATTGCAATATATTGTAATTAATGATTAGGTCATACCACCTAGACTCATTTTCTTATTAAGAATAAATGATGCTCTGATACAAATTGTGTATGAAAGTTTAAACCATAAACCTTGCACACCTTTCTATAACTGTTATATCTAGTAGCTTTATGAAACTATTTACAAAATATGAATTCAAGATATTTATTGTATCTAAGAACTTTATCTTTGAAATTTATTTTTTATTTTTTGTTGCACACCAATACCTTATCTCAATAAATAGTCATATCTCGCTGTTCAATTACTTTCAATACTAGTAGACTTATCCTGAAAAGAATAAAGTACATTGCATGTCATTCGATATAACTATATTCCATTGCACAAATATGTATAATGTACTGACTCCTCAAACAATCCTTGCAATCAAATTAACCTCTTTAGTCTCAATTTTCAGACTAGTCTTATTACTGTTTTCGACATAAAGGCAAGCATATAATTTTTGTAAATAACATAAAGTATTCGTTTTATCCTTAATAATACTTCGTGCTCACAAACGTACTACAAATGTGAAAATTATAATTACCAACCATAGTTGTCACCACCAGTTAACGATTTCACTTAGAAATATTGTTGACCAGCTAACGGTAAGTTTTGAAGTGACAACTAATTTTAAAAAAATTGATAACTAAATCGCATTAAAAAAAACTTAAATCAATACATAACAATAAGACAATAATGTATACATATCTAAAGTGAATGATTATATTTTTATGTAAAGTTCTCTCTATTCGTGGTAAGTTATTATGCACAGTTGGTAAATTGTTATGACGTTGACCCACGTTGAAAGTTTTCATAAACACCTGTCTGAAATTCTTCGTCGCGAATTTTCATAGTCGAAGCTTTCGATTTATACCATCGCAACGAGTCGTACGACGTGTAGTAGCTAAAGACTGTTTAACGATATAACAGAATAACTATTATCCACTACAAAATAATAGATCTGTCAAACATGAATGGGATATACTCATCAATTTTTGTGTAGATAACGACGAGAGAAGAAATCGTAAACTCTTTTCGCGTAATATTTTTGTATATCAACGTGAGAACGTAAGAACTATTACATTTTGCTCTTTATAATTGTGCTGTCAACAAGGTAGTTGACAGAATTATGTAGTTGAAATGGTGAAGAGTGCTACAATTGACATGACTGGCTCTATATATCATGAACGTCAGGTAATTATAAAATGTATGACGTTATATTTATGCTGTCAGAGTCATGCTTAATTATTGACATTCATTATGCAATTAAAATGTCAGTTATACTTAGATATATCGATGTGATTAGATGGAAATAAATGTGTAATGACTGATTGTTTACTTATTATAGTAACCAGAATTATTCTTCATTCTGTATTAGTATTTTTCTGATAGAAATTTAATACAAGACACATATCTTTATATGTCAAATAGTTACTCATGTATATATGTTTTGGAGAACAAATGTTACTATTGAGTGAACTGTATGAACATTTAATTGTGTAAGATACCTGCATAGTAGAATTGGTATATCTATCGTGGAACAAAAAAACTTGATATATAAAAGTTTTGTCAGCAGTTTTTAATTGTTACGTTATTTTCTTTCTAAAATAGATTCTTACATGTTATTTATAGGTGAAAGAGCTATGTGCTTTACATGCTCTGAACAATTTATTTCAAGAACGAGGTTTCAGCAAACAAGAACTAGATCAGATTTGCTATAGCTTAAGTCCTGACGTATGGATCAATCCTCATAAGTCATTACTTGGGCTTGGGAACTATGATATTAATGTTATTATGGCTGCATTGCAGCATAAAGGTCGTGAAGCAGTTTGGTTTGACAAACGCAGGTTTGTATATTGAGTCGATCAATTGAATTATATATGACTGAATCTTCTGTACAATTTGATTGTGATTACTGTTTCCAGAGACCCAAACTGTTTGTGCCTAGAAAACATAGAAGGCTTTATTTTAAATGTTCCAACCGAGTACAAATTGGGTTTTGTCCTTTTACCTTTAAAAAGACGTCATTGGGTTGCATTGCGCAAAATTCATGGTGCCTTTTATAATCTTGATTCTAAATTGGATGCCCCACAACTTATTGGAAAGGTTGATAAACTTTTTTATTATCATTATTGATTATCAATCATGTACACAAGCATTCTATAAAAAGTCTTATTTGTTAGGACAACGAGTTACTAGCGTACCTGAAGGAGCAAATAGATAGCAAGGAGAAGGAACTATTTCTTGTCGTATCCAGAGAAGTGGACAGTACACAGGGATGGTTAATGGACAAATACGAGAATCAAAATCAGAATGGCATTGATTATGATTCCATAAAATATATTGAAGATAGTTTATCTGTGGATTTAAGTTCAAAAAAATCTACAGAGATAGAAGAAACTAATACAAATGAGCAGTTACAGAATAATCACAATTCCAGGTAATTAGCGTAAAATCAGCCTGCTGTAGCTTGTATGTCCCTTCAATAAATTTCAAGCAAGAAATCACCCGTAAATAGTAGAATACTGATGACAATAGTTTTGAGATCAAATAAAAAACAAATGAATAGCATTAATGACAAAGTCTAGTGTTTAAGAAAATAATTTATTTGTCAAGGTTCTTAAGTTACTACATGCAAATGATATTCAAGAAGTTTGTTATTTATTTACAGCTAATTATGCAGAAATGTATATGAGAATAATTTAATATTCAGCACATTGAGCACCTTCGATAATCATATAGAGTATATTTAACTTTATACTCAAAGTACGAACTATGGAGAGATTGCGTATTTTTTTAATACCATTACTCTACACGATATGCAATATGAATTAGTATGCTAGTCGCATATAGTACGAAAGATTGCATTTACAACAAATTGAACGTTAAACAATTTTATAAGCACGTACAAAAGTAATATTTAACAATACATTTGCTGATTTTGTAAATAATCGCGTGTCCCAGGTTCTATTTATAAAAGTTTACTTTTTATTTACAATGATACCAATGGATGATAATGCCAATGGGTTTGAAAGAATACTTGATCATAAAGTAAAAAAGTGTAATGGCTAATTGCAGTTGAATTTCAAGTACCCCTTTTCTTTATCAGAGTTACTTTCCATATTTCGCATAATATAAAGGATAAGGCTGTCGCTTGATGTGTCAAATAATTTCTAACAAAAGTTACTTTTTTTTAGTCAATAGAAAAATCCTGTAAAAAATGTCGGGATAAATATTTTCTGATTGATCATTTGTGAGCTTTTTGTGCACACTTCTTTTGTTGTATACTTCTAAGGTAACTATAAGCTTTACGTACCTTATATTTAAGAAGATAATGAACATATGTCAACGATAAGATTTAGCTATGATGACTTCTATGTATTAGAATAAATTTCTATCAAATTATAGTAGGAAAAATTCCTTTGTGTAAAACCTAAGAAAAACAAGGCTTGAACAAAGTGACACTTGATATATATGTTTGTGTGTGTGTATATATATTATAGTGAATATTAATATTTTGAGTAGACTTCTGCAATTTACTTTTACTTATTAAGAGTAGCATTCATTTTCAATTTAATCCTGTTAGTGTTCAAACTTGATTACGTCATTGAGAGTGATGATTTGATATGATAATTTATCTTTATTTCTGTTGTTATCTTGCAAAGTAATAAATTAAGATTATTCGTATTACGCAATCAAGTAACAAAATATATAAATGATCCAATATGGCATTAATGGGAACAAATGATTTTGAAAACCAGTGTCAATCAAATTCATATAGAGTCAATGAATTACATTTTTAATTTTTCTTTGAGATATAGGAAAGTTCTTTTGTACTGTTATTGCTTTTTTCATTTCGTTACCATTTCTATATTGGTGAAGAGTTTAATGGTTGTCATTCAGTCAAGCAGTTTGTCTAAAATCTATGGTACCATTGTTCTGTGTTGTGTGGTATAGTTAAAAAAATGGTGTGTTTATGAAAAGTATATAATCTAGGTACACGTCGAAAGACTTTTTCGAAAGTTAATTAGCAGATTTTCTAAATGACCTATCGTAATGCAGCTCAAGTGAAATGTAGCTTATTTGTAATAAACGCATCTGACAATATTTGCATATTTCTTACCGAAAAAAAGTGTTTCTTTGAGAACTGAAGTTTTTATAACATGAAACCTACATTAATCTATCAATCCATAATCTGATTACAATTTGCAGTGATACATCTAAACATCTTATGTACATTAATCACTTCATTCCAAAAATTATATCATCTGCAGGTCATGATTTGATGATAAAGCTAAAACAAATAACTTTTATTACATTGTAAGTTCTCTATTAAACTGATGTGTTCAATAACCAGACATCTATACAACTGTTACTGGAACAGTTATAGATATTACAGTGTAATTGATAGATGTATTTTATTATTGTAATAAATGTATGTTATTTTAGCATAAAACAGTAGATTTTCATATTTTTCTAAAGCGGAAATAATACAGTAATATATTCTGTTCACTCACACTTTTCTGCAATTTAAATATCACTTGTACTTCATAACAATCTTATAATATTTACATCACCAACTTTTTGTCACCACTTAATAGCTAGCGCAGTGTTCATTTTTTCAATCTCATGATACTGAGTTTGAAGGTACGCAATAGATTTATCAGTATGCTCACCACCAAGCCACACCTTATATAAATTTGTCACAGCAGAATTTTCTTCTGATTTACTTTTAGGAAGTTTATGGTATTTCATCTCCAATCTCTGTGCTAATTCTCGTGACTGAGATCCGTCTTGTGGTCTAATTTGGGCTCCTCCATTCAAACAGCCTAAATCAAAATTAAAGGATGAATGTTAATAAAGTATCAGGGTTGTGCATCGACTAACATTTGCATTATATCGTAATTTTACCCAAAGACAAAATAAACTCACCAGATGGGCATGCCATTACTTCTACATAATGATAGACACTCTTTCCCCTCTTAAGTTTTTGTACAAGATTTTGAATGTTCCGGAAGCCATTAGCAATTGCGAATCTCAATAGGATTTTTCCATCTTTCTCAAATATTGCTTCCTGAAAGTCGGGATTTCTTAGATTTCGAAATTCCAATTTTGCATTGGGTTCTTGAAAGAGATGCTGTGCGGCGTAGTGAAAAATAAAATCTGCATAGCCACCAGAACCCGAACCATGATGTCCCAATAAATATTTATCAGATTGCTCAGTGTATGAGCCAAAAGGTTTTTCGATTACGCCTATCTCCAATTCACCCAATGATGTTCCTTGGCTACTCAACATTTGTTCCACTTCAACTGAAATATATATGTTACAGTTTTTGTATTTTGTAAGACAGACTTCTCAATGAGTTACGCACTTGATGTTATTACGCAATCAACATCTCGTGTTTGCCTCAGATCATTGTAAAAATCTTCTCTAGATGCTTCAAGTTTCTTGTCATAACAAGGCATCAGTGTAACATGATATACTTGTTCTGGTGAAAGTCCCTTCGATTCTGCTAAATGATACTTAACCAATGATCCCATAATCTGCTGCGGGGATTTAGTAACACTTATGTATGGCAATATAAAGTTGCCATGTGTTTTCTCAGCATAACATACCCAGCCTATTGAAATACATTACAGCATATTTTATTTTTTTGAATTTAATATTCTACTTATTACCCATTATATAAATAAGTTACCAGGACATGACGAGGCTAACATGGGCAATTGGTTTTTCACACCATCTTCAGCAGATTTGTATCTTTCAACAAATTCTTTGGCAGATTGTATAAGTGCAAAATCATCTGCTATTGTCATTTCCAGAACAATATCAGCACCCAATTGTTGGAAATATCCAGCTAATTTAAGTGCTGCTTCCTCTGGTTCTAAATCATACCTTTCAGCCAATGATAATACTGGCTGAACTGATAAACTCACTACTATGTATTTGCAATCCTCTGACTGACCATTCTATACAAATAAAAAAAAATTTGGCATAAGAACATTCAAAAATAAAATATATAATAGAATTATATATTTTATATTATATACCTGTCATACCTATCATATTATTATACCTGTTCTTTAGTTTTCTTTTCTTCAAACACTCTCAATAATTCTTCTTGACTTTGTTGTGAAACAAGAACACTTTCTGCTGAAGTAATGCAGCCTGAACAAGCCAGACAATCAGCTAAAGTAATTTCAACCTTTTCCAATTTTTGAGAAGCACCCCTCTGTCAATTGTTAAAAACCTATAATTGTAACTAATCTAATTTTGTACAAAAACGTTTGAGGAGACAACTGTACCTCATTTAATTCCACATAAGCACCGTCTTCCTGAATTTTAATCTTAGCTCCAGTTTTGCTTTTGGATTTTTGAATTTGAATAGGCTTGATGCATTCCTATTTCACATTTAAATTTTTCTCTGTAATGCAACAATAGTAGCAGAAGATTTAACCTATACTTACTTGAGATGGTGTAATAAAGTCATCCAAGTCGGTAATTTGCAACGCCCCACTAAATCGTGATGCCATTTTACCTGTTTCTAATTACTATCACCTTAAAGATATAATATTTTTGTTCATAAAAACTTCTAGTACTCGTAAACCTTACAATTTTTCAGTGGCAATTGTCCTCGTCGTCTATTATGGCAAGTCAATATTAAGTCTGTTTTACCAATGGAACACTGATGGCAAACTTGTGTTCTTCTTCGACATATACCCGAATTGTTGTTAAGGGTGGAAACCATATTACAGGCGTCCTGAATTAGGGTGGGAGGTCGTCCCCACGTAGTCCCATCTCTTCTGTGAGTCACAATTCAGAGCCCACTTACGCCTTGGCTTCTGCAACCACTGCGCTCTTCGAGATCGCCGGATAAAATAAATCCGGCGTTGTAATAATTTTCGCGCAATAATCAAAGAAACATGACTGAAGTGAAGAAGGACGATGTTGTCAAAATCCTTCATACTTATCCTCTTTGTCGAGTAAGTAAAACAAAGATCTGAGTAATAGAGTAAAGAAATTTATTGGATCAATAAACAGATCCGTAGAATTCCTAATTGATATAACGTACGTTCATTGTTTGTTTTTGTTTATTCACTAAAAACTGCAGTTAAATTACTTTAATTTAATTGTAATAATAAATAGACATTGTCATTGGTACATTTTAAACAAAACTTTACATGTTTCATGTATTATATTTATATTTTAGTATATTATATACATATGAAAAGAAGAAAGGATAGAATATAATTATGTGAGAAACTCAAGGAAATTTGTTCTCTTTCAGAAGTGTGACATGAGCGACGAGATGAAACAGGAAGCAATGGAATTGTGCGTGACGGCCGCTGAGAAATATGCTGACAATTACGAAAGCGTGTCGCGTATGATTAAGGAGACAATGGATAAAAAATTCGGTGCGTCCTGGCATACAGTTGTCGGCGAGGGATATGGATTTGAGATTACGTACCAGCTTAAACATTTACTTTATATGTATTGCGCTGGAAATCTTGCCATTTGCATATGGAAATCTGCGTAGTATATATTTTGGTTGGACATGAAAATTTAATATAGAAAGTTACTATTAATTTAGACACATATGACACATTGGTAGAAGCTATCTAAGAAGAACGCATCCATAAGATAACATAGTGAAATCATCACCGCGTACATATCTATGGAATAATGAAATAATTTTCTATGGAGTAAAATTTATTACGATGCCCGAATTGACATAGTTTCTCAGAAAGCAACTTTGCTATGCACAAGTTCCTGGTATACATATTGTATAGATAGTGTCCGATAAAACATTTCCGATAAAGTTTTTCACTTTTATACACAAGAGTCACCCATAATACAGTATTATGGAAAAGTTACCTATTTTGTCACGATAGAGTACAATAGGAGATCTTGTTCAATATATTCTGATAAGAATAATACAATAAGAGTGAATTGTTCAATTTTTAAGAAAACAAAATAATGTTTCTTTGATACACCATAGTCTCACCTTGTAAAATCATTTTCAATGATATCTAAGCGTGATGTAATGTGAATTTATACAGTTAAGTATTGTGCAGTAGAATATTTATTAAATGCATGTCGTCATTTACTGTTTAATATATTTATAAATTGTACGAGGTGTTTTTCTTATCCAAAAATTTATTCTTGAAGCTAAAACGTTATACTAAGAATAGAATGGACAAATTTATTGGAAATTTTACAATTAAAAAGGATATTAGAAAAACGCTCTTTGAGTGACCATCAGAAACCGGAGACTGTTCTCCATATAAGAGCTGCTATGTTTCCGCCTGTGTACATATAAAGTAATGACTTTTCTTGATAAATTATGGAAAAAGCATAAGCTTCTCCTACGACCACTTGAAACGGCGGACTGAATTTTTTATCCAGACTATCCTTGATCATTCGTGCAGCATGTTCATAATTATCAGCATATTTCTCCACAGCTGTTACACATAATTCCATAGCTTCTTGTTTCATCTCTTCAGGCATGTCGGTATGCTGAAAAACTTATAGATTTTATTAAAATATAATTCAAAGTTTGAGAATGCCACATGCTCTGTTACGGAAGGCTAAGTACGAAAATTATTGCAAATACTTGGTACAAGGTTTTTTGCGTACCTTGCATAAGGGATAAGTATGCATGATCAATTGTGGAACCTCTTTTATTATTTCCCTGGCTGCCATAATTTTCAGCACAAAAAATGTACTTTTTGCAGAGCACTAAAACGGTACTGCTAATAAAAATTATTTTTCAAAATTCTCTATAGTAATATAGATCCGTCAAGCGTGACATCAGATGAGATATTGAAACAACTGAATTCTGTAACATCAGATAGAAATGTAGAGATTCGGGTGTTTTCATATTTCACAATTTAGTTTCATACTAATCAAAGAATAATGAATGTAGCATGAAATGAAGTTGAATGTGTATGATTGTTAATAATACCCAATATATTTATATAATTTATCTGATTTAAAACTTCAATGAATATAAACATTATATAACTTTACACATGGTAAATACTTACAATGAATACGATATAGGAGTATAGTCCAAAAGTAAGTATGCATTCGTTAAATTTTTCTTGATAAAATTAATATAATTACATTTAACAATAATCGTTAAAATACTAACGCTCTAAATAATATATATTTTAACGCGTCCGGAAATTACAATTTACAGACAACCGGTAAATTAACATTTTGTTGTTTTTTCATTAGAATGGAGGACTCCTCATTAATGAAATAGGTCAGTTGGGAGCCTAAACTAATTTGTTTGCGAACATTCATCGAGCACCAAAGAATTCTTGGATTTATTCATCCAATAATATCCAGAATAGTAAAACCTTTCTGACACAGAAAATATCATTGCATCAAAAAGCTGAAAAGAATTTAGTTAAATCCACAGCTAAGAAGTTCATTGAATATTAAAAGTCTCCATGTATAAAAAGATAACGAGTGTTAATATAATTTTAAAGAATGAAATCGATGACGAATTGTCTTGTATGACAAATACTCATATTGCACTCGATATAATAAACAATAATTTTTACGGATTCTCATGAATTTACTTACTTGCCGAAGAGATAGATATATTAAAAAATACATTATAATTGAGCCATGCAATGTGACGTAGCATTTAGTGTAATATAATTCAGGTCTTGTCACATTTAACAAGCAATTAACATTTCGATTAAAGATTCGATAAAACCTAGCAAAATACTTGCAGTTAACGCGCAACAATTATTTTCGAAAAATTTCGAAAAGCTCTGTGTACGATAATAGGTTTAATTGAAAGATTAATTTCAATCTAAACAACTACAAAAATCTTGATACATATAGAAATCAATTCTGGCTAATGAAACATTATAACGCACAACACGCATTACAATGACGTGTCATACCTAAACCGCTTATTCATAGTAGAGCAGTCGTTGATATATATGGCTATTCAGTCTTTATCGTATTTTGGGGAAGTGAAGTAATGCGCATCTTTTTCTAATGTCATGTTAAAATATGAATGAAGAGCAGCTTACTACTTGTCGGAATTTCATATTCTTTTCCGACGTACAATATAAAGCCAAACCCAGATTAAGACTTGCATATCGATCAAATAATAATAAACGTAAATAGTCGATTGCTACTGATATTTTTACCTTCCCGAAGGACAACGATGCTTTTTAGAAGGAAAAAATCTCAATCTCCGATCCCGAGCCTCTAGGAAAATATACAGATATTTACACATACCGTAATAATCCTTAGGGTCTTCCTAAATACAATAGCTACGCCATTTATGTCATTAGGTCGTCTGGAATTGAGTGACGAGAAGTTTTGTGGCTTTGGCAATATCATATGCACATGAGCGTACTTGTTGAAGACATCTGTCCATGTGATCAGTATCGCTGGTGCATCGTTGAAGACCAGCGCACTCAGCCTGCAGTCTTCCAGTGTTACCGTTTAGTTGGCGCAAAGCAGATCTGATATTCTCGTCAATTGGATTCTAAACAGGATAGACAAACTTTGAACGAATGTATAATTAAGAGCTGTGAACTTTGAGATTTATTCTCGTTTCTATTAACCTGAGGAAAAATGGCTGTCAGCTCGGCAACTGCTACGCGAATCCTTTCTGCACATGGTACGAAAGCTTCTCTGCGACTGGGATCTTGCATAGCCATCCACAATTCTTGTATACGTCTTGTAACTTGTTCTGTTCGTCTGGTAACTTCCTCGCTTGGCGGAAGATTCGGTGCACCGTATTCCCAAAGACTTTGGGTAGTATTAGGTCTGGAGTGTGCTTCTGTTTCACGTTTTGCCTGTCACGTAATCAACGAGCAAAGTCAATTGTTGCTTCAGAGTTTTGATATTTATTATAAATTTAGAGAGTATAATATATTCGTTTACCTGACCAATGGCTGACCAGGAAGATGGTTTACGTAGACCTTCCCTTGTCTCGTACATCGACGCTGGCCTTTGATTTCTTCCTAGAGACGATTTAATATCCAACACAGGTTCCAATTCGGGTTCCTGCTCTCCAGTGACATGGCCATTTATTTCTCCATCAGTCGTAATTTGACTCTTTCTTGGAATCTACATTATAATAGACGTTAAACACTTATGATCTAGAGTTTAGGATTGCTTTTGATGTTATTTTTACCTGAGTCATGCTTCTTAGTTCACAATTTTCTTGAGTAAGCCGCTCCACTGTAGCCTGAAGCGTACGAATTTCATCCCGCAATTCCTTTATCGTTGATTCGGAAAGTGTCAACTGTCTTTTCAAAACTTCGACGACAGATGGGAGACCCTTGGCCATTGGAGCAAATGCTTTCTGAAGAAAGAATGCGAGAAGATACATTGATAATGGGATGCTATAGTTGATCGTATAACAACACGATAATTAATACATGATTCACTGTAGATAACTGATGCTTGAGGGAGTTAGGGATACATGAATCCTAGCAGGCGATTCGAGCTACATATTATTGGGTGAGAGTGCTTATCCCTCTAATTAGAAATTATGTAAATTATTTGGGAGTGAACAATTTTGGCGATGGCTGCGCATGCACAAACACAGATCTGTGCACTTGCCTAGTAGCACCGTCTACAGAAGAGCCACGTGCTTAGTCGATTCCTTATTCGTCGTTTTCCTACTAGTGCAGGTACCTTCAATAATTTACCATATAATAATTCAATCACGTAGATGATGCCATTGAAAGAGATCCACGATACGTAATAACAACTTTACATAGCTTTACCAGAAGTAGTATTCCATCCTCTAATATTTCACAACAATATAAACGCAGTATTGTTCTAATTATTTTATATATCATAGAAGGAACGAATAGTGAAGAAGAGATTCTTTAGTTAAATAAAGGAAGATATTATTACAGCTAGTCTAGTGATCTCAATCAGCCCATTAAATACTAAGCATACAAGAATATGTTACCTCATCATCTAATTTCAATTCTGATGATAGTTGAGCAGACACGTTATCTGTTGTCATGGTTGCATAATCATCGTCAGACGCCACGCTGTCATACAATGGTTCGTCATCAGACATTTGTGAACCATGTTTTCCCAGTATTTGCTCCTTGCGTAACATGGATATTGCTGGATCTGGAAATAAAAGAGTGACTTGTACCAACTGGTTTGAGCGAAACTTATAATACAAGAAGTTGGTTGTATAAAATTGCCAAACCTTGTAGCGGTGCACTATTTGCTAAGATGTGCCTTTGTCTTGCTTCTGTCAAAAGATCTATGATAAGAGTAGCAAACTCTTTTGGCGTGAATCTTGCCAATTTTTGTCTACCTTGATTCCTCGTTGAAGATAATTGGGGATTCACTGGTAAAAATGGTACCGTGCATCGCTCCAGGAGTGATGATGTGGATAACCAAACTGTTGAGAAGTTGAAAAAATCCATTACAGCTATACAGAAGAATATTTTACGGGTCAAAGTGCATTTTTGATACGTAAACAAAATTTTTTATAACGTCACATTGATTCCCATATCTTTACAAATATACAAGTACTACTGTAGGAATGGTTAATACTCTGCGCCTTGTCTGAGACTATTTGTATTCTTTAACATTGAATTTAAACATTTTGTATATTGACAGATAACATACATATCATGCAAAATGTTTAAAAAGTGTGATTGATGATAATTCTACAAGGAGCTTGTTTAATTACATGTTTGATTTTGATTATGTACATGTAGTATTTAGGTTGAATAGTTTTAGCAAAATTCGTACTACATTTCTACAATTAACAAAGACCAATTCAGTTGCTGAGATGATGGACTCCGTGAATTTATGCGAAGATATGAATAAAAATCTTTGAGAATTGTGCAAGTTAATTCAAAATGCAAATGGAACTACAATGGAACGAATACAATAATCACTGAAATAAAACATAATAACATGCCAGTCGGTAAACTCGATATTCTTTTACTTACCCTTCCTTTAAACACGGCGCAATGAAAAGATCATGCAATTTAAATGACAATTAGAATAACAATAATGGATGTACACATTTAGAGTATTGTTCAATGACAATATATAATAAACGTGATATCTAACGGGAAATGAGATTCACATATGACAATGAATAACTATATGCGGGGAGTAATTTCCGGTAACAACGTCCACGAATTATTATCTATTCCAAATTGCGGAATTCAAATAAGAAAATTATCCTAGCTTCTAAACTGTTTATATAATTTAATTGATATACAATGTGTCTTACCAGCTTCAGTTTCTCTTCGATCTACCTCGTCATAAACGTCCATTGCTAGTTCTTCTAATAAATGATTGGGTAGCTGAAAAATAGGAAAGATCTTTGTCATCTTATTCTGTATCATCCGAGTCATTTTTATCAGTACCTGGACGTTCATTGTACTTACCATTTGCAATTTGTTTCGAGCCTCAAATGCCAGTTCACTTCTCTCTAATGTTGCAGCCCAATCAGGAATAATTAAATGCTCACCGGTACGATGATCAGGTTTTCGAGAACATACATAGTATGTTAATCTATCTGTTACTTCATACATACATTCGATCAAACGTTCAGATAAATCTAAATGTCCTGCCATCCTATAATGAAGGAATAATTAGTGAGAGTCTAGATGATGCCCAAAATAAAAAAGAATAATCACTTTGCAATCTCAGCAGGTGTCTGTCCATTTGTGTCAATCATACTTGGATTTCCACCATTAGCTATTAGAAGTTCTAACTGAAGAGCTTGACCTGCTCGAGCTGCAACATGTAGAGGAGTTGTTCCCTTTTCCTATAATTTTCAGAACAATTATATACGTGAAATTACGTTGCATACTAAATTGGACATTACCTATAGCAAATCCCATAACAGTAACATATTCCAATAATGTGTAAGTACCTTATAAAAATAATTAGGGTTGGCTCCTTGCGCCAGTAATCGAAGTGATGTTTCCAAATTGCCAGTACGTACACTGCTATGCAACTGTCTACTCAATTCCTCCTCAGTACAAAATTCCTCTTTGCTAGGACGTAATACGAACGTTAACTGCTGATGTTTAGCTTTAATAAACTCTGCCTTTACAGGACTGCAAGAAGATATGAAATTGTTATTTCCCATAAAATAATAAATGAAAAATTTGTGAAGCATACATTGAAAATTAGGGATCAGTACTCACTGTAAAGGATCTTTAGGCTGTGGTTTTCTTCTACTTATCTTTGAGTTACTAGGATCTAAGAGGGAATGTTCCCAAATACTGTTGGCTCCATTATCATTTAATGTACGCACCATCTAAAAGATGTTAATTGGTATGTCTTTCATAATACAAGGAAAGATAGAATCATACTTATGTCTTGTGACTCATCGTAACTTCTTAATTTATTAATCAGCATTTGCAATTATTATTTTATACATAATACTAACAGAGAGCAAATATGTGCTCCAAATGCCTTTGTGAAGAGACTTTATATGTGATATATGACGTCCAAGACTACGGTGTATACTGCAACATTCATCGCATAATAAAACAGCTCTGTTCAAAGAAGCCCATCCTGGTTCTGAAACAAATATGATTCTATTTTCATTTTAATCTAATAAACATAAAACCTTTATTTTGTGATTTCACTGAAAATATTAATGGTATGCATATCTCGTGATACCATTATATCACCATTTTTATTATTTATTTAACATCATGTCTCAATTGGCAGTATAAATATCATTATAAAATTATTTGAAAAAAGCAAAACTACTATATGTGCTTATTTAAGATTTTGCCAGTGTCAATTATCTCAACTCCAAATACAAATGTTTAAATTTTGTGCATCATTGATGTAGTTACTCTATAGTTTTCCCTAGTGCACTTCAAACATGTATACAAAACAACACGACTGTCAACCTCAATAACTGTATGATATTTCAGCAAGAGCTATGCTTCCTACGTATGACAAGAGATCTTATATATTCCTTAGGATGTCTGACGGAAACGTATAATCAAATGAGGAATAATTAGTCCCAGAGCGAGGATATAAATAAAAATGATGCACTTACCAAGGGCCCCACAGTCAGCGCATATATCGACATTAATTCTATGCTTAGGACGCGCCATTGCATTACTACAAGATTTCGCAATAACTTCCCAATCAAGGATATTGCAGTGCTCCGAAACAACCTCACATAATTACAAATTGATTGGACGAACGGCAACTATCACCAAGTTTAATTAGGAATAAAAACACTTCACGACGTCGCCATTAAACTTATTAATAATTCCAACGTGAACCAACTATCATTGGCTACTAAGACGTCGCCATCAGTCGCCATTAATAAATTTGTATTCTAAGAAAACTGTAGACTTCCGTAGACTCTCTTTCTTTTTGTTTTATCTGAATACAGTATCGAATGTCAATTAATCTGTTGTTGATTGTGTTTAAATGCGCCAATGAGCTTGAAACCTCGTACGTGGCTTTCTTTTCCTTTCCAGTAACTAACAGGAATGCCGATGTCTGATGCACCGGAAACCGAGCTTCTTTCAAAACGTGTGACTTTATTCATACGAATTTTATTTATTAATACTTCATCCAGGTAGGGATCATATCTTCCAAGTATTGCTTCCTTTTTTCCCTAAAGATTAAATTCCATACGAATGTTTCACAGTTTTAGGTGGCTTGCATTCTGTATGCGTATCATAACATCTAGATTGATATTCATTAAGTAGACTGAATAATAGATTGATTTATTTTGCGAAAAGTATATTGTCTTTCATAATATTATTTTCTTCTTGATCGGTATACTCTTGCATATTGGATATGAGTGTGCCTAGAAATGCTTGAAAGTCTGTTTTTAATTTGTTCCCACCTTCTTCGACGTTGCAACTTACTTGAGATACTCTAGCAAAGGTAGCAGCTAATTAAAGTAAAAAGTCATAATTAATATCATTGTTATATTAGATCCTTATCTTATGACTATAAACAGTTGATTGAACCTACATATTTTTTTTGGAGCATCCAAAGAATTTTGATCAGGATCAAAATAAAACACCACACAACTCTTTGCTCCCAGTCTAGTCTGATTTACAAAATAGTCATAAAATTGTTCCAATTCTCTGGTATATTCTCGTGACTTGCTGTTGTACACAAATATAACACCATGAATATCTTTTCTCATTGCTGGCCAGCAATTTTCAAACCTGTATCAGGAATACATATGCTATTAAACATATTTTGGAATACATTGCAGCACTATATAAGTTTTATTAATTACTGATGATCTCCACTGCAATCCCATAATTCAATGTCTGCCTTAACATTCCTATTCCTTACACTTATACCGTCAACATCGAATTCCAGAATTCGAACACCCTGGGTAGGCCGATATTCTGAAGTTACTTCCGTTGCATCGGCCAAGAAATTAGAAATCGTTGTTTTTCCAGCCTGAATAAAAAATATTGTTTATTTCTCTATAGCCACTCAATTTTGATAATGACTTACCCCAAGAGGGCCTACAATGACTAATTTCAATTGCATATTCTGTCCAGTATATACAAAGGTTTGTTTGTTACACGGTTACTATGGTAGTCATTTTAAAGAGGATGATATAATCTGGTTGGCCAATAAGTAAAAGGAGTGCGATTCTTCATTTTTGAAGATTGCTTGACAGGTTGGAAGTAAATGTGACAGCAAGATACAGAAATCATTATAGAAATGGAGTTGCACACAGATTGATCCTAATTTATTTAGCCCAGAATACTGTAATATTCTGAAAAACTATACATGATAAAACTTACATTGCAGAGTAATCACTTTAAGGGGTTAGGACAATATAGGATTTTCAAAAAACCGATTTTTTTTTAGATAAAAAGGTACCTTAATATCTATAGAATTATATTCCACAAGATTATGTTCGTGAAAAAACCCTAAGTACTCGATTTTCGTACTCTAGGTATTGAAACATTATTCATGTCCTGATTTCCTACAAACTTTAAACGCGTTTATCTCAAAACTACATTTTTTAAGTCAACCGAACTCATACCTCAAACAAATTTCAACCAATTCATTTGAAATTTTACTGTACATTTAGAATTACATTGTCTAAGGCAGTACGTAGAATTTTTTCATTATATTGCATAGTTCCTTTTTTATAAACAATTTCCTGACGACTTTCTCATGGCATTGTATACTTTTTGACTTAGAAATGCGCCATTTTGGCAATAATCAATATATCGAGAAAATCCTACGTACTTCTACAGCTACAATCATAAATAATCGGAAAACCTTTGGTTTTTCATCGTAACTTAAAAATTGCAGGAGGTACTGATTCGGCCGTATAAACAAAGGCGTCGTCGGAGAAATGCTGTGCAGTCGCCATTTTGACATGTATTGCTTTGAAAAATTTTTTTTTTATAGTATATTACTTGTATAATAAAGAGCTTATTTTGTAATTCAGATTTATTTCACAGTTCCGTTGAAAAAAATTCACAAAATACGCCTATTTTTTCCGCCGCTACAGTAGCCTAACCCCTTAATAAGTGATAAAACGGTAACAATGAACCACTTGAATTATAATACTTGCATTATTGAAATTATGACATGATAAGAAAATGCTTAATGAAATTGATAAAGTGAAGGCTGACTATTACCGACAAATAACGTCGTTGTCGTTCCTAAATTCCATCATTGTATAAGTATGCTCAATGATATGCATTATTTTAATAAAAGTGTATATGAAAAAGATCATTTAAGTATAATTTCATTTTGTTGGCGAAAATGGTTAAGTTTCAATTTTTAACCATTAAAAGTCGCACGTGTCTATAGATGAATTTTAATAACGTAAAACTTTATATTCATTATAAAGATCAGTTTCCTGCTCTGAGCAAAATGGAAAACTTTTCCAATACTATGATATATCGCATGCATCTATTCTCTGTGGCCTTTCAATAAATTCATATCTCATGCAAAATACGAATAAATCAATGAAGATATTAAAAATTCTTAATAAAGATATTAGTAATTCTTAACATATAGCGATGTCTTCCGTGTGATCCATTGCGCCCTGTTCGATTTTTACATCTTCCTCGGGATACGTCAAACCGTAAAGAGCACTCAGTGCTGCTTTAGCGGCTGTTTTCTTAGCATCCTTTTTATTTTTTGCTACAAAAAGAAAATACAGATAAGAAGCATCCAACAATACATAGTCTCATAAAAGCGATAGACGTTACTTAAACTTTAATTATTGCATTTACCTGCACCAGTATATTCGACACCATCAATATCAACAGCTAAAGTAAACATGGTGTTAGGCGGATTACCAACACGATTTATTTCCACATACGTCAGACCTGGTCTCATTTGATTTAGTAACATTACAGGATGAATGTTAATTGCATTACACGGAAGTTCTTTTTGAACGGGAGACTTATGCTCCTTCTTGACCTTTCCTGGAGACACGCCAGGTCTAGGAACCGGTACAACGGTACCCTGATTTTGCCATTCAAGAAATAACTTGTAAAGTGCAAAGCTGGCGAGTGAACTCCAAGGAATCTCGTCGGATTCCTCCGTAGTGGGTTCTGTGGAAACGATCATATTCTCGACATTCTCTTCTTTAGACGGAGATGGTGTTGTTTCCATTGGTTGACTCGCCTGTCCGTCTGTTTCAGCATCGATTCTAGCCTTCATTGCTGCAGCCGTCATTTTTTCAAGTAACAAACACTTCAAAGCGTTTTCCGCGGCATTTTGCCGTGCGAGAGGCTTCGACAACCCTTGACCGACATATGTTTTACCATCGATCTAAAAAGATGTTTTTTTTTTTTTTTTCGTCTAAAGATACTATTCATATTCATGAAGTAATCGCACGGACATAAAAAATTTGATTTTTCTAGATAATGATAATCAGAAGGTATAGAAAAAATTTCTCACCTCAGCATGTACGAGAAAGAGAGAATTTGCTTGAGTTTCTGGGAATGTAAACTGAACTCCAGTCTTCATTTCATTTAGTACCATTATCGCATTCTTTGGCTGCAGCGTCTTCCTTAATCGTTGATTCATCCGCAGTCGCTTGAGGCGTCTATTTACCTTGTCTACATCAAATATCAATTAATGAGAATACATGAATTCGAAAGATCTGCTGCTATACTAGTTCAAACTCTCTTATCAGTATCTAATTTTCACATCGATTTTTGAACATCCGGGCTCAACAAGAATTCCTGGAGCTCCACGAGTAAGTTACATAAATCTTCAAATTTGCGCAGTGAATTGTCATCATTTTGTAAAACGAAGCTTTTGCTACACACGTCATTCTTAAAAGTAATAGATAATAATAGAAAAAGTCATATTTACATCCAAGTGTTTTACTCCGTTTCCACTTAGGCACATCTTGCGTGTCCGCGTCTACGCTCTCCATTGATGTATTGTCATTCTGAGTTTCCTGACCATTATTAACTGGTGCAGGTGCGGGTGTAGGAGTAGATGCTGGTGGTGGAAGCTGTGGTGTATTACCAGGAGCAGCGGGTTCAGGATTAGGAGGGATACTACTAGTTTGTTTGAGAATCGGTTTGAGCCGCGGTGGCTGTGGAGGTTGTTGGACAAGTAAATGTTGTTGCTGCTGTTGCTGTTGTTGTTGCGGTTGCTGTTGTTGCTGCTGAACTGATGGTGGTGGTTGTTGTTGTTGCTGTTGTTGAAGAGATGGTGGCTGTTGTTGCTGCGACGGCATCTTCACTTGTTGTTGATTTTGATTTGGGTTTCTCATTACCTGTTGCTGTTGCTGTTGCTGTTGAGGTTGAGAAGGAGGCTGTGGCTTGAATGGTTGAGAATTCTGAAGATTGGGCTTAAAGTTACCCTGCTGATTTGCTGGTGGAATTTGTGACGGCTGGAAATTCCCCTGCTGGTTGTACTGGAAAACACAGGGTGGGTCGCCGCTACACAAGGAACCTCTACGGTTGTGCTATACCACCAGGGCCAAGCGTCGCGAATGCACTGTGAGCAACCTAACGCTGCCCCCATAGCTCTTACCAGCCGTGCTTCCCATCACGGTGGCCGACGTTTCTTAACTCATGACTGAGCTGAGTTTGCGTGTTTTTAAAGACACGACAGAAAAACATACAAACATCTAAGTACCTAGATATGGCAATTACATATTCTGCATTATTGTTACTATGAAGACTGCGAAAAACTTGTATAAATACTTCTGAAACCCTGTCTCGAAGTGATCATGAATAATGATTGAAGATCGATAGAAACATCTTTCCCTACAATATAAATTAGATATAGTTAGTTCTCAATACATTGTTCATAATATTAATAATAAATTATTTTTCTGAAACCAACAAATTCAGACTTGCCTCTTTTCATGTACTTTGTGATGATGCATTGTGGTAATACCCTTTTGTTTGTCTGTATTTTAAAATAGATGTGTGGGTATGATATATTTGTAAATGCAGAATCGTAATCAACCAATTTGCTTAGGCACGAGTTTAGTACGAATTACCGAGGGAATTTAAGCTTCGGATAGGCCATGCGATGAGGGCAACTGGCGAACTTGCCCCTGGCGGAACGCACCTCCTCGGTATTGTTGTATAGCTACTAAGGCCTGCGTTGCAGGAAAGGGGAAATATGGGGACCACTAATTAGTACATGCAGATACAGATACCCCTTCCACACTTTCATTATAACCGACACCGGCTACATAGGCATGTTAGATTGTATTCTGCTGCTTATCAATATGCATTTCAAAGGACAACAAAAAACTCTAATAATTTATAATAGGATATATCCAATCTCGTCAAATCAAATATACAAATATGAATTGATTTTGCATCTTCTGCATTACAAAGGTTTTAATATTATCAAATAATGAAGCGTTGCTCACGAGTAGTAATTTTGGAAATAGATTTGAACAAACATTTTGTTCGCAAACCATGATATTACAGAAACAAATTGGAAGCATAAGCAATGTGGTAATAGTTTATAAATTGGCAATATTAATGAATTTAATATCTTTTGCAGAATTATATAATTGGCTGTATTTAGCAGACATAGCACTGTGGGAATAAAGGCATCTAATTGGTCGAAATTTACAATTGTTGCAAGATTTATGATCAATGAACCAATCAAATGTGATTGCTGCTTAGTGCAATTTTCTGCTGAATACAGCCAATACTGAGAATCTCAAGCTTATATGATGGTTTTGTTCTTTGCTTTGCCATTGAATCTACTTGCAAACTCATAAATTGAATCAAACTTTTCCTAATGTAGATAATAGCAGAGATTAAATAAGACTTACTGTGCTTGGTGGTGGAAATGCTCCTCCATTTCCAGGATTGTTCATAAGGCCACGAGCTATGGATTATATTTTTTTTATTAACAAGCATATAACACCAAAATTATATATATATATAAATATATATATTGGCAATTCAGCATTAATAGCACAAATATTCAGGGTTGAAATATATATTTTCTAATATTTACATTGAATCTTTATCTAATGTATACAATGAAATTATACAATTGAATACATTGCAAGTATCAATGTATAATGTGTAATCATTCTCAATTAAGATTCAGTCTTTACTCAACAATTAATAATCATTGTAGCTGCCAAGAATTTCTTTATTTGGCCTAACGTAAAGTCATAAGCCTCATGCAAAAAATTTATTTCAAAGTGCAGTTCTAAATCATAATAAAATAATATATGTAGAAAATAATTGCAGTTATAGGAATCTGTCCTATGTTTAATATAAAAATTGTAATCAATTAAGTTGTGAGCAAACAATGAGCAGTAAAAGTAAATCAAGCATCACTGAAGGATGCCATTTTTTCATAAACCCGGCGTATTATTGATTTTTCCAAGTCGTTGGTAATCAGAATTTTTCGTGTAACAGAAACCAAGATATTTAGAATCTCAAACATGCATTTCAATGCCTATTCAGAGATTATGTTAAGAATCCTTACTTCGAATATTAAATAAATAATTACTTACCATTGCCATAGCTCTGATTTGGTCTGTTTCTTGAATACATCGTGAATAATGTCGTCGACTACACACCTTTGTCAGGAATTAATTGTACTCAATTGTAAATGCTCATTGATTTCAATGATACCCTAGTAGCTGTAGAATTATGGTTTCGTATGTGTAATTAAGTAATCCGTTTTCTTTCTGTAGAAATTTACTCTGTTCTTACACCATTGACAGAGAGTGAAGCAAGCTCTACATGCGTCATGGAAGCAACGGATGTGACGTTTTTGGCAAATGTACAAACTTGATGTCGGCGTCATCCGCCATTCGAGTACCGAGTGCGCATGCGCAGCATTGACTCAGTTCGAATATTTCAAAGAAATTATTAACAAAAAAATTACTCTAAATAAAATCAAGCACGTAAAAGATTTATATTATTTGTATAAGTCATATATTATTTAAACTAGAATAAAGAAACTAAGAAGAATATCTAACTTTCGTCCGATTATATGCACATCAAGTACTGTTTGCTTACTTTTGGAACAATTTATTGTACTATTTGTTACAATAAGACATTTCCATAGCATAATACTAAGAATATATTATTGTGTACGATGAACATAGTCACAAGTTTAATTTCTGTATTTCTTACAACGATACATAGTACACAAAGAAACATGCAGCGCTTCCTCGACGCAACCCGAAATGAACGCATGTATGTTGGATTGCCATCGTCCGGGGGG